GGGTCTTCAAACTTGGCCACTTTAAGACTTGTGGACTTCAACTCCCAGAATTCCTCAGCCAGCCAGACTTAGAGTAATGAAAGCAATGGCAGTGACTAAGTATTCCCACAATGACTTCCAAATTTGCTTAGAATGTACTTCTCTGTCTCCCCATTCAGCCAACAGGGCAGTTTGAGGTTTTTATTTATTTTGCCTATGGCATCTACAGAGGCCACGCTATCACTGATACACAATCCTAATAAAGGACATTGCGCATACAAACATAAATATAAATTTAAATAAAACGTCAGCAAATATAATACAAGTAGTCCTTCACTTGCAACAATTCATTTAGTGACTGTTCAAAGTCAAAACAGCGGTGAAAAAAAAGCGATTTAAGACTGTTTTTCACACTTCAGACCATTGCAGCACCCCTGTGGTCAGTTAATCAAACAAGGGACGCTCGGCAACTGGTTCATATTTATTTATTTATTATTATTTATTAGTAAAATTTATATGCCACCCAATCCCTAGGGACTCAGGGCGGCGTACAAAATTAAAACAACAAGTATAATAATTAAAAAAAAGAATACATTCACACAGCATGTCCCAATCGAATCCCGCCCCCCCCCTCCGGGGACATCAACCCCAGGCCTGCCGGAACAGGAGAGTTTTAATAGCTTTCTTGAAGGCCGGCAAGGTGGGAGTAGTTCATATCTCGGGGGGAAGTTGATTCCACCACGTCGGAGCCACCACAGAAAAGGCCCTTCCCCGAGGGCCCGCCAGCTGACATTGTCTGGCCGACGGGACCTGAAGGAGGCCCAATCTGTGGGACCTCACCGGTCTCTGGGAACTATGCGGCAGTATGCGGTCCTGTAAGTTTGACGGTCGCAGTGTCCCAAGGTCATGTGATCGCCTTTTGTGACCTTCTGACAAGCAAAGTCAATGGGGAAGCCAGATTCACTTAACAATCATGTTACTAACTTAACAGCTGCAGAGATTCACTTAATAACCGTGGTAAGAAAGATCTACTTTATGTGGTATTGTCCACAGACTTGATATATCGTACTGTATATAAAGTGGTGGACAATACAATATAAAAGATAAAATATTAAGGTAGAACTATGATAAAATCACCTTAGAATTCTTGTGGAAATCGAAGGACTCTTACGAATTCCAGAGGGCTTTTAGCAGAAAGGTTTATTGCGCAGGTTCAGAAGCAATAGCAACTAGCAACTCTGAACCCCGAGGGCGGGTTCAGACTTCAGTTTTATACTTTCTTTTTCTCTCAGGAACAAAGGATTACACATTGGAATACACATTGTAATATATTAGGTTAGTTTCTCACGGGTATACAAGGGAGAGTTTGCTACATACATTATATCCAGTGCAATGCGCATTAGGTTAGTCACATACTGCTAACACAGCACTATTCCAATAATTATGCAGACACATTATTCTAGTGATTGTTAACTTTTCCACATTAACATGGTGCTACAGAATCGCTATAGGATAGATATTATAATTAGTATAATTATAATAATATATATACATAATTAGTTTAATTACTAACAATATATACAAACTATAATTTTATTAGAATAGAATAGAATAGAATAGAATAGAATAGAATAGAATAGAATAGAATAGAATAGAATAGAATAGAGCTGGAAGGGACCTTGGAGGTCTTCTAATCCAGCCCCCTGCTCAAGCAGGAGGACCTATACCATCTCAGATAAGTGACTGTCTGGCCTTTTCTTAAAAATCTCCAGTGATGGAGCGCCCACGATTTCTGGAGACAAGCTGTTCCACTGGTTGATTGTCCTCACTGTCAGGAAGTTTCTCCTTAATTCCAGGTTGCTTCTCTCTTTGATCAGTTTCCAACCATTGTTTCTCATCCTTCCCTCTGGTGCTTTAGTGAACAACGTGACCTCCTCTTCCTTGTGGCAGCACCTCAGATACTGGAATACTGCTATCATGTCTCCCCTAGTTCTTCTTTTCTTTAGACTAGCCAAACCCAAGTCCCGCACCCGTTCTTCGTATGTTTTAGTCTCCAGGCCTTTGATCATCTTAGTTGCTCTTCTCTGAATTTTTTCCAAACTCTCAACATACTTCGCAGGATCTTGATTCTATGCCTCTGTTTATACAACCCAGGACTGTATTAGCTTTTTTGGCTGCTGCTTTACACTGCTGGCTCATGGTCAAGTGATCGTCCACTAGGACTCCAAGGTCCCTCTCACAGTTACTGTTTTTAAGCAAGGTCTTGCCCAATCTGTACTTGTACCTTTGATTTTTCCTGCCTAAATGTAAAACTTTGCTTTTCTCCACGTTGAAACTCATTTTGTTGGATAGGGCCCATTGTTCAGCTTTGTCTAATCTTTTTGGATCCTGAGTTTGTTTTCTGGGATGTTGACTACTCCTGCCAGTTTGGTGTCATCTGCAAATTGGATGAGTTCCTCTTGAATTCTCTCATCTAAGTCATTGATGAAGATATTGAAGAGTACTGGGCCTACTGGGCCTATATTATATTAACTATAATTACATGAGAGGCCACATTCCCATTTTTAATAGAATTTGTATTGTAATGCAAGAAGAATGGTAACTTTCCAAGCATTGAAGGGAGATCTCAGCTTCTTATGGGTTTCAGATGCCTGTCCACTTATGGGCAACATCAGACAACAGCTATTAACTTCTCTCTCTGAACCAGGATCAAGGAAACAGTGATGCTTTTGACCTGGGAAGTGACAATCAAGGATGTTCAACAACTTTCCTCACCCAGTTTCCCAACCCTGTGGCAGCCCTTGCTTATGTTTTCACTTCATCAGTTTATGCTTTAAAATTCTCACCTTCTTCTCAGGCTATTGATTCCTTAATTCCTCCCTTTTGCAATTCAAAAGTCCTCCATTCTTTCTTTCCAATGGCATCCATCCCTTGTCTACTCTGCCTCCTGGTCAAGCATACTTTTAAAGTACTTTTAAATACCCCATTCAAGATATGTTAATGCCCCTTTTGACAGACCCAATTCTCATTTTCATAAAACTAAGTGGGTACAATGCAATCTTCCACACAGTCAATTCAGCAAATGTTCTGGACCAATATTGCCCATTAAGCTTTCACCAGCATTTGCATTTCTCCATCCACCCCCCCTCCTCAAAGTCAGTCTTGACCCTTAGCAACTAACATGGATAAGTCCACACATTTTTATTGGCAAAAATTTTGGCCAAGATTTCCAGAAGTGATCTTGCTGGGATTTTCTTCCTAATATTAAGAACAAAGTAACTAGTCCAAAGTCACTGGTTTTGTGCTAAAGGCAGGCTATGAACTCACAGTCTCCTGGTTTAACCACTAAACTGACATTCTTTCCTCCATCTTTTGTAAAATAAAATAAACTAGCAGTTTAGTTTACATTTAGTTTAGTAAACTGAAAAACACTGTGCTATGAGTTTTCAATTCCATTCTATTCCTTATTCTATTCTATTCTATTCCTTATTCTATTCTATTCCTTATTCTACTCTACTCTACTCTATATACTCTACTCTACTCTATTCCTTATTCTATTCTATTCTATTCCTTATTCTATTCTATTCCATTCCATTCTATTCTATTCCTTATTCTATTCTATTCCTTATTCTACTCTATACTCTACTCTACTCTATTCCTTATTCTATTCTATTCTATTCTATTCTATTCTATTCTATTCTATTCTATTCTATTCTATTCTATTCTATTCTATTCCTTATTCTATTCCTTACTCTACTCTACTCGACTCGACTCGATTCGATTCGATTCGATTCTGGCAAATCACCCAGAGGGAGTGTACCAAGAGGCCAGAGACTTGTTTCTCACTACTCTAATCCAGAAGGTGACAAACAATTACAGATCTGGTGCCTTCACCATCAAGCAAGGACCAGTTGTGATTTTTAAAAGGGAAAAGAACTTCTGTTTTCCTTTGGGAGAAGCCTAGGAGGTGGGGTACCAAAATCATGGCATCCGGCCGTCTCAATTCCTGGCAAATAGATGGAGAAGAAATGGAGGTAGTGACAGATTTTATCTTCCTGGGCTTCAAGATCACCTCAGATGGGGACTGCAGCCAAGAAATTAAAAGACGCTTGCTCCTGGGGAGGAAAGCTATGGCAAATCTAGCCAACATACTAAAAAGCAGAGACATCACCCTGCCAACAAAAGTATGTATAGTCAAGGCCATGGTTTTCCCTGTTGCAATGTATGGCTATGAAAGCTGGACCATAAGAAAGGCTGAGCGCCAAAGAATTGAGGCCTTTGAACTATGGTGCTGGAGAAGACTCCTGCGAGTCCCCCGGACTGCAAGGCGATCAAACTGGTCAGTCCTAGAGGAGATCAACCCCGACTGCTCTTTAGAAGGCCAGATCCTGAAGCTGAAACTCAAGTACTTTGGCCACCTAATGAGAAGGAAGGACTCGCTGGAGAAGGGCCTAATGCTGGGAAAGATTGAGGGCAATAGAAGAAGGGGACAACAGAGAATGAGGTGACTGGATGGAGTCACTGAAGCAGTAGACATGAGCTTAAATGGACTCCAGAAGATGGTAGAGGACAGGAAGGCCTGGAGGAACATTGTCCATGGGGTCGCGATGGGTTGACTGGACACGACTTTGCAACTAACAACAACAACAAAAGAAATCAGGAGATTGAGTTCTGTCCCAGTTCCTCTCTCCACTGGGCCCAGTTGCCATGGCTCATCTTCCAGACTTCCCTACCAGCTCACATTGAAAGGGATCGGCAGATCCTAGGGGGAGTGTCTGTGGTGAGGACTCCACAACTTGGCTTTATTCTATAGTCAGGGAAATCTTTCAACATCCATCATCCTACTGCAGCTTGAGAAGGGAGGATTTCACGGAGGGGGGTGTACTCCTGTCAACAGTTCACACACCCCCTTCACACAAACCTCTGGTGTCCTCTTTGCCTCTCCTGCTCTCCCAAGGGTTAAATCAACCAAGCTGAGATTTCACAGAGCGGCTTTGTTATTTGAGAAGCCAGCCAAAGGACTGGTTACAACTAACATTTTCCTGCTGCTGCAAGGAGATTGAATGCTTCATGGGGACCCTTAAAAAAAAAAATTCTAACCTCTGACCAGCTGTGATTGCAGCTAGGACTAGCAAAAGTGCTGGGCGCCAAAGGCTGCAGGCGCTACTTTTTTTCCGTGGCTGAGAAAGGTGAGCTAATATGGCAAGGAGGGTGGCTTGAGAAAAGGGAAGGGAGAAGGTGCACACAAAGAGCAAACAGGCCACAGGAAGGGTAATAACTGCGGAAGAATCCAGCGGCACCTTTTCACAGGGGTCATCAATCAATCAGAATAGAGCTGGAAGGGACCCTGGAGGTCTTCTAGTCCAGCCCGCTGCTCAAGCAGGAGATCCTATATAGCCTTTCAGATAAATGGCTGTCCAGTCTTTTCTTAAAACCCTCCCATGATGAAGCCCCTACAACTTCTGAAGACAAGCCGTTCTACTGGTTAATTGTCCTCACTGTTAGGAAGTTAGTTCTAGGTTGCTTCTCTCCTCGATTAGTTTTCATCCAATGTTTCTTGTCTTGCCTTCTAGTGCTTTGGATAATAAGTTGACACCCCCCCTCCGCTTCTTTGTGGCAGTCCCTCAAATACTGGGACAGCGCTATCATATCACCCCTAGTCCTTCTTTTCTCTAGCCTGGCCATGCCCAATTCCTGCAACAGGTCTTTCTATGTTTTTGTCTCCTGGCCCTTAATCGTCTTAGTTGCTCTTCTTTGCACTTTTTCCTAAAGTCTCAACATCTTTTTTTGTAATGTGGTGACCAAAACTAGATGCAACTATTCCAAGGGTGGTCTTACTAAGGTTTTATAATGCGGTACTAATACTTCACACATTTTTGATTCTATGCCTCTGTTTATACAACCAAGGATTTTATTAGCTTTTTTTGGCCACTGCCGCGCAATGATGGCTCATGTTTAAGTGATCTTCCACTAGGGATGATCTAAGGTCCCTCTCACAGTTATTGTTTTTGAGAGGGGCTTTGCTTGCTTGTGCAAGATGGCTGCTGCTCGTGCGAGAGGGGCTTGCGTACTTGTACAAAATGGCTGTCGCTAGTGCAAGGGGAGCTTCATGCACGAGTGCAAGCGGCTGCATCTCATGCAAGGAAAGCCTCACACATGCACTTGCCCGCGTTTGCGTGACCCAATTCTGAACAGGCTGCAGCCCAGTAGTGGGTCACAGTCCAGGGATTGGAGACCCCTGGACTAGAGAAAGCCCATCTAGACATAACTAAATACATAGCAGACCCTAGGAATTTGCATTCCAGAAATAATTGCCTCCAATTTAGAACTGATCCGGCCAATGGTGGTTTAACCTCCATATCTTTGTCTCTTCTAGGGCAGGGGTAGGCAACCTTGGCTCTTTTATGACTCGTGGACTTCAACTCCCAGAATTCCTGAGCCAGCCATGCTGAGGGGAAAAGGAGAGGTTTCCAAGCTGAGCCAGGCTGGCTCAGGAATTCTGGGAGTTGAAGTCCACAAGTCATAAAAGAGCCAAGGTTGCCTACCCTGATCTAGGGTTTCAGCCACCTTGATCGATACGTTGATGAATTCTTGGTGAATTCTTTATTGTGAGTAGTCCTCGGCCTACGACCACAACTGAGCCCAAAATTTCTGTTGCTAAGCAAGGCAGTTGTGAAGTGAACTTTGCTCCATTTTACGACCTTCCTGGACACAGTTTTTAAGTAACCCGCTACCGTGGTTAAGTTAGTAGCACGGTTGTTAAGTGAATCTGGCTTCCCCATTGACTTTGCTTGTCGGGAAGTCGTAAAAAGTGATCACATGACCCAAGGACACTGCAATTGTTATAAATATGAGTCAGTTCTCAAGCATCTGGATTTTGATCATGTGACCCTGGGGATGCTGTTAACGGTCGTAAAGGTGAAAAACGGAAGTCACTTTTTCCAGTGGCGTTGTTAACTTCGAATGTTAACTAAATAAAATAAATGGTTGTAAGTTGGAGACTGCCATTATTCCCTTGAAAGTGCACGCCCACTGAGGTTATTGGGGCAATGACAAGCTTATCCCTTTGTCAATCCTGGACACTCATTGGCTGGGTATCCTGAAAGCCAGGCTCTAATTGGTTCACCTAGTTGCAGGTTAATTGGCAGTGATGTTTTTATTTTAAAATGACAGCCCTTGCAATAATGCCAGCTGGCCAGCGAATTCTTCTTTTGAGACCTATTGGTATGAGGTGGAGGAAAGGAAGAGGCTACTGTCAACCTTTCCTCCACCAGCAGTGATATTAAGTGGGCTTGTAGGCTGGCTAGTTGAAGGGATGGGAGATTATCAGAAGGACCTTCTCTTTAACCAGGGTTTCCCAATCTTGGCAACTTGAAGACGTGTGGACTTCAACTCCTGGCTGGGGAATTCTGGGAGTTGAAGTCAACACGTCTTCAAGTTGCCAAGGTTGGGACACCCTTACTTTAGCATCTCCAGAGCTTCCTTATGCCTTGTTTAATGAAGAGAAGGACGAGGGGGGACATGATAGCAGTGTTCCAATATCTCAGGGGCTGCCACAAAGAAGAGGGAGTCAAGCTATTCTCCAAAGCGCCTGAAGGCAAGACAAGAAGCAATGGATGGAAACTAATCAAGGAGAGAAGCAACCTAGAACTGAGGAGAAACTTCCTGACAGTGAGAACAATTAACCAGTGGAACAACCTGCCTCCAGAAGTGGTGAATGCTCCAACACTGGAAGTTTTTAAGAAGAGACTGGACAGCCATTTATCCGAAATGGTATAGGGTTTCCTGCCTGAGCAGGGGGTTGGACTAGATGACCTCCAAGGTCCCTTCCAACTTTATTATTATTATTATTATTATTATTATTATTATTATTATTATTATTATTATTCTATTTATCTGACCAGGTGACACCCAGGTGAGTGAGAAGAATGAAGAGACCCTTCAACTAGAAGATTCTGAGCCCAACGAGATATTCCCCAGGAGCAGATGCCTCTTGGAGCAATTCTCATTTGATTTGAGAGAAGCTTCTAGAAGTCCCCAGACCACAGATATGAAAGAGGGGAAGAGACCAGTTCTTCCCATTCCAGAAGCTCACCAGCAATTGAAAGAGCCCAGACTTTACAATCGCGGGTCTGTGAACAGGTGCGTGGATTGTGGGAAGACTTTTAAGCAGAGTTCCAGCCTGTACAGACACCGGAGACTCCACACTGGGGAGAAGCCGTATGGCTGCATGGAGTGTGGCAAGACCTTCAGCCGGAAGTCGCATCTTATTACACACGAGCGGACCCACACAGGAGAAAAGCCCTACAACTGCCTGGAGTGCGGCAAAAACTTCAGCAGGAAATCCCACCTCACCACTCACAAGAGGATCCACACGGGAGAAAAACCCTACAAGTGTGGGGAGTGTGGGAAATGTTTTAGTCAGAGTTCGACCCTGGTGGCCCACGAAAGGTCCCACACAGGTGAGAAGCCATTCGCATGCCAGGATTGTGGGAAGAATTTCCATCGGCAGTCGGGTCTTTCGGCGCACGAGAGAACACATACAGGGGAGAAGCCGTACCAGTGCACCGAATGTGGGAAGAGTTTTAGCCAGAGTTCGGGACTTTTAGCCCACGAACGGACCCACACAGGCGAAAAGCCCTACGGGTGCACGGAGTGTGGGAAAAGCTTCTGCGAGCGCACAGCCCTTGTGAGACATCTGAAGACTCACACTGGGGAAAAACCGTATACTTGTGCGGTCTGTAGGAAAAGTTTCAGCCAGAGTTCGGGCCTTTTGGCGCACGAGCGCACCCACACTGGGGAGAAACCCTACAAATGCTCGGACTGCGGGAAGAGCTTTGGGCACCACTCTGACCTTCTCAGACACCAGAGGATCCTTAAGAGGGGGAAGCTGTACAAATGCTGCAAATGTGGGAAATTTTTTGGCCGCAGCTCAGATCTCCTCCAGCATCAGCAGATCCACACGGGAGAGAAGCCGTATAAATGCACCTGTTGTGGGAAATGTTTCAGCTGGCGGTCGAACCTTATTAAACACGAGAGAATCCACACAAGAGTGAAAACTCTTCAATGAACAGTTGGAGTCTAAAAACGCTCCTCTTCAAATGCAAGAGGTTCTACACTAGGGGTGTCAAACTGCCGGCCCACGGGCTGGACGCATCACACAGAAGCCGCGCCCACCCCATTGCCGGCCATTGCAAAACAGTCACATGATGTTGCGAGTTTGACATGCCTGCTCTACGTAAACGAAGACACGGCACCAATTATTTTGTAGTCCTCGACGTACGGCCACAATTGACCCCAAACTTTCGGTTGCTAAGTGAGACGGTTGTTAAGTGACTTTTGCTCCATTTTACGACCTTTCTCACCACAGTTGTTAAGTGAATCATGTGCAGTTATTAAGTCAGGAGCACGGTCGTGAATTTGACTTCCCCAATGACTTTACTTCTCAGAAGGTCGCACAAGGAGATCGCGTGACCCCAGGACACTGCAACTGTCGTAAATACGAGTCAGTTGCCAAGCGTCTGAATTCTGATCACGTGACCATGGGGAGGCTGCAATGGTCGTAAGTGTGAAGACAGGTCATAAGTCACTGTTTTTCAGTGCCGTTGTAATTTAGTGAACGGTCACTAAATGAACTGTTGTAAGTCAAGGACTGCCTGTATGCTGATGGTGAGAAATTAGCGAGAATCGTAACTCACACTTACGACAGGGCAGTACATACAGTAAAACTGTTGCAGAAAATCTCCACAGACAGAAAGAAAAAATATTACAGGCAGGAGTGTGAGTGTTGCGGGAGGTGGGTGGTACCCTAAGCAGGTGCACAGGTGCCTTGGGAGGGCAGGGATTGCTGTGGACCCATGCAACTGGGCAAATAATTGGTAGGAACAGGAGCAACCTGCCACTTCTGCCAGATTACCCATTGATTCTGCTTGTGGGAAAACAGCAGGGAACACTGGAAATGGCCACCATGTGATAATGGCTCACTGTGATATTATAATCGCCAACCTGATTATGATTGCCAAGCCGAGGTGGCGCAGCAGTTAGAGTGCAGTACTGCAGGCCACTTTAGCTGACTGTGTTTAGCAGGTCAGCGGTTCAGATCTCACCGGCTCAGGGTTGACTCAGCCTTCCATCCTTCTGGGGTAGGTAAAATGAGGACCCAGATTGTTGGGGCAATGTAAAATATATATATATATATATATATATATATATATATATATATTATATATATATATATATATATATATATATATATATATATATATATACATCGCTTACTGGTGTACACCGCTTAGAGAGTGCTTGCACTTAAAGCGGTATATAAGTCTCATAAATAAATAAATAAATAAATAAACCTGGGCATCCAGACTATGATCACAGAATAGAATAACAGAGTTGAGAGGGACCTTGGGGGCCTTCTAGTCCAACTTCCTGCAAAACAGGAGACCCTATACCAGGGCTAGGCAACCTTGGCTCTTTTATGACTCGTGGACTTCAACTCCCAGAATTCCTGAGCCGGCGTGGCTCAGCTTGGAAACCTCTCCCTTTCCCCTCAGCATGGCTGGCTCAGGAATTCTGGGAGTTGAAGTCCACGAGTCATAAAAGAGCCAAGGTTGCCTACCCCTGTCCCCTGCCAGAGGCAGCACTCAGAGACCTCTCTGTGGGCACGGGCGCCACACCCCAGGCCCGCCTCCCCCCACGGCCCCTCATCAGCAACCCTTCTGAAGAGTCATCCCTGGGCGCGGCCTGCACAGAGGAGTGCAGCCAAGTACATGGCAGCTGGGCAGCAGAGCAGCAGAGACAAGACTCTGCCCTTGCGCCCCATTGCACGAAGATGATGCTGTGGGGCGCAGGTGGAGGGCATGGCCGCCATGGTGCTGCACAGCCACCTGGGTGATCTGCGGTGGGCTGTGGAGGCGGTGGGTGGCCCTGCAGGCAGGCAGGGAGGGTGGGGCAGGGGTGGAGTGGGTAGGTGGGTAGGGACAGGGACAGAGAGGGCGGGCCAGGGCGGTTTTGGGGCACTCGGTCTCTAAAAGGTTCGCCATCACTATGGCCTATACCAGGGGAGGGCAACCTCGGCTCTTTTATGACTCATGGACTTCAATTCCCAGAATTCCCGAGTCAACATAGCTGACTCGGGAATTCTGGGAGTTAAAGTCATGAGTCATAAAAGAGTCAAGCTTGGCTACTCCTGGCCTATCCCATTTCAGACAAATGGCTGTCCAGTCTCTTCTTAAAAGCCTCCAGTGATGGAGCACCCGCATCCATTCTGAAGGCAAAGCCGTTCCTGCCTGAGGTAACCCCCCACCCCCCACGCGACACTGCAACAGTTGACAGTCCAAGGACAGATTGTCGGTCCCGCTCATTCAGCGCCATCGTTAACATTGAACAATTACTGAACAAGCAGTCCTAACCTGAGGACTAGCTGTACACCCTAGAGCATACTAGCACCGATGACATTACTTAGTGTGGGCAATGAAAGGTCTGCAAGAAAACAAGCGAACTCAAGAGGGCACACCAGAAAATCCACACTTAGGAGTGCCCCATTTACAAAAAAAAGTTTTAGCAATCAGACCTCTTATCACCAAATACTAGAGATCTTGCCAAGGGGAGAAACCATGCTCAGCCTGTGGAGAAAAAAACTTCCATTCCATTCCCAAGTGCAGTATATATTTTGAGTGGCAGGTCTTCTCTTACCAAACACGTCCAAAGCCATACAGGTGAGAAACTGTACAGGTGTTACATTTCTTAGCACAGATTGTTGAAAAGGTGAATGAGTGCCTTCTACAAATGCAGCAGGAAGAGTTCGCTAACCCCCTTGTTCTCAGAAATGGAAAACTTGAGATGTGAATGCAGCCACAGGGGCGCTCATGTAGAAAAGGATGGTGCAAGCTCAGACAAGCAGAACTAGATTTAGTTGGTGCTCAACTCTTTAAGAACTACATTTAAAAAAAAAAAAAAAGTGGCTCCGTATACATTCATTCTTTTGGGCCAGAAATTAAGATGAAACTGCCAAGCAAAAAATATGGAAATGGTTTAGGAACAGGGATGTCCAACCTTGACAACCTTTAAGACCTGGGGACTTCAACTCCCAGAATCCCCAGCCACCCATGCTGGCTGGGGAATTCTGGAAGTTTAATAATAATAATAATAAAAGTTGTAAGGGACCTTGGCGGTCTTCTAGTCCAACCCCCTGCTCAAGCAGGAAACCCTATACCATTTTGGACAAAGGGCTGTCCAGTCAATTCTTAAAAACCTCCAGTGTTGGAGCATTCACCGCTTCTGGAGGCAGGTTGTTCCACTGGTTAATTGTTCTGTCAGGAAGTTTCTCCTTAGTTCTAGGTTGCTTCTCTCCTTGATTAGTTCCCATCCATTGCTTCTTGTCCTGCCTTCAGGTGCTTTGGAGAATAGCTTGACTCCCTCTTCTTTGTGGCAACCCCTGAGATATTGGAACACTGCTATCATGTCCCCCCTCGTCTTTCTCTTCGTTAAACTAGACATACCCAATTCCAGCAACCGTTCCTTATATGTTTTAGCCTCCAGTCCCCTAATAATCTTTGATGCTCTTCTCTGTACTCTTTCTAGAGTCTCAACATCTTTTTTACATCGTGGTGACTAAAACTGGATGCAGTATTCCAAGTGTGGCCTTACCAAGGCATTGTAAAGTGGCATTAAAGTTGTCAAGGTTAGACAAACATGGTTTAGAAGTATCTCTAACCAACCCTGTTGAAAGATTTCCAGTTTAAAAATAATCCGAAAGCCTGGCCTTAGATGTTGAAAATATAGTTATTAAACTCCTTGTAATTCCTAAAAAAATGAAATAAAAATAAAATAAAATAAAAATAAAAAGGACTTGTCATTTATTTATTTTTTTTAAAGAAAACCTTAAGGTCCTAATTCAGCTATCTTTCAGGGGCTAAAATTTGCCTGGAGGAAAAATATTTGAAACACGATTTCCAAACTTCATGAAGGCATATACGATTATTAAAATAACTGTATAACTTTTGATCCTTTCATCTTTTTCCTCGTTCGTTAAAGCAGGCCTGTTAGTCCCTGCCTGGATTAGATGAGCTTGATTACATAGAAAGTTTAGATGCATTATCCTTACAGACTGAAAATGTGCAGCAGGGGTCTTCAAACTTGGCCCTTTTATGACTTGTGGACTTCAGCTCCCAGAATGCCTGGCTGAGAAATTCTGGGAGCTGAAGTTCACAAGTCATAAAAGGGCCACGTTTGAAGACCTCTGAGTTACAGAAACTAAGTTTATTTGGTGCTATGGCCAAAGCTAAAGTACAGGAGGGTGGGTTTGCTTTTGCATTAAATTCCCAGGTCCCAGAACTGCCATCTTGACTATCCACCCTGCTTCAATCAGCACGTTACCTCTGAATTCCCCACTCTTAACTTCCCTTTGCCTTTGGTTGGCACGTCTTTGTATTTTTTTCAACTTGCTGTTCCACAAAGAAATTGCTTTCGCTTCCAAGCTTTATTATCTAGTATAAGCAAAGAGTTCCTTTATTCAAATGCTACCAAAGATTACTTCTTTAATAATAAGCTTGATCGTTCCACCTCTTAGCACCATATAATGGCATCTTCATACTACAGGGAAGCTGCTTCCCATGACATCCTACTTTTTTTTGTTGTTGTTCCAAGAGCTAAACAACAAAATTCATTTGGATTTGCAGACACATATAGACAAGGACATAAGCTAACCAAGGCAGCTACGTTACTGTGTTTTCCCCGAAAACAAGACCCTGTCTTTTTTCTTTTGCCTCCAAAAGAGGCACCAGATCTTATTTTAAAGCAGAGGTGTCAAACTGCTGGCCCGCAGGCTGGACACGTCATCTGGATGCTGCACCCACCCTATTGCCGGAAATGGCAAAACTGTCCCGATACATTGCACGTCATGTGATGTTGCGAGTTTGACATGTCTGTTTTAAAGGGTGTCTTTTCCACGGTCTCAACTCGCGGCAGCACCAACAGTCCCACCCAGCTGACCCGCTTCTTCTGTGGCTGAAGGAGCAGCTTCAGTCTGCAGCTGAGAATGGAATTCCGACCTGCATTTCGCAGTCAGAGGCCTTTCCAGAAAGGTCTCTGCAGCCGAGAACCGAGCTACGGGTTGAATGCGTATGTCAGGTCGCCAAATCCTTATTGTCTCCCTTCCACATATATATTCCTGTGCTTTGCTTTGGGGCCTGCCATTTAGCTGGGGGGGGAGGGGAGATATTTGCTTTTGCTTTCTGCTTTCCTTCTACCTCTATCCACTTGGGAAAGGAATGCATCTCCCTGGGAGCCGGTTACAGAGAAATGAAAGCTGGAGAAGGCCTTGAGATGGGCACCAACTGTACCAGTTACCCGCTCGTTGTGCCACCTCTGGATTGGCTGGATTTCAAACGGACATTATGACCGGTGGGAAGAATATTGCTGGTTTATTTATATGATTTTCCTCAGATCTCGCCTTGACTTCTCTACTGTCACTGACCCCTAATAAAAAGCTTCCTTTTGAGACAATGCCTGTTTCAAGAGTTCTGCTTTCTTGGGTGGTTAGCTGAGGTGGGTCCTTACAGCATAGCTTGGTTCTTGGCTGCAAAGACCTTGCAGGTCTGGGGACGCCGCAGAAGTGGCCCGGCGAGGAGAGACAGGTGTCGATTCAAGGGAGGCCTGGTAAGTAGATACAGGGCGCATAGGGCAGCTCCACCCTCCCATACCCACCCTAGCTTGACTTTTAGGCCTGCGCCTCGCCCCAAAACCAGGGCTTATTTTTGGAGTAGGGCTTATATTAGGCCCACCCCACAAAAATCAAGCTAGGGCTTATTTTCGGAGTAGGTCTTACTTTTGGGGAAACACAGTATATACTTGGGATGGAACATTGCCTGGAGTCACAGGAGGGGGGGGCGCTTGATTGATGCCAGGCCCCACAATAACCCAGTGTGTTAATTCTGAGGGTTTCTTTATTGTTGCTCACCTACGGACAGAACCTTGCTAGATTAAAGCTACTACAGGTAGTCCTCAATTTACGACCTCAACCAAACCCAACATTTATGTTGTTAAGTGAGAAATTTGTTAAAGTGAGTTTTGCCCCACATTACAACTTTCCTCGCCACGTTGGTTAAATGAATCGTTGCAGTTCTTAAATTAGTAACCCGGTTGTTGAATGAATCGGGTTTCTGCATTGACTTGGCTTGTCAGAAAGTCACAAAAAGGGATACTGCGGGACCCAGAAACCGTCATAAATGTGATTCAGCTGTCAAGCATCCGAGTGTAAATCACGTGACCACAGGGATGCTGCAACGGTCAAGTGCGAAAAACGGTCATAAGTCGTTTTTTTTCAGGGCCGTTAATGAACTGTTGTCAGTTGAGGACTACCTGTATTTGCATAACTATAGATATACAGGTAGTCCTTGACTTACGACCACAATTGAGCTCAAAATTACCGTTGCTAAGCTAGACAGTGGTTCAATGAATTCTGCCACAGTTGTTAAGTTAATCATTGTGTGTGAACCCAGTTGTTACGAGCGGGGTGATTTCTTTACTCATGCGGGTTCTGCCATGATCGTGGGGGGGGGGGGAGCGATGGGCGCTACAATGCATCCTCTCCGCTTTCCTCTATCTGCCTGCTCTTTGATCTATTTCCCTTGATGTCGGCCGGGGGTAAGAATGGAATATTAAATGTTAAACTTAAATATTAATGGGAAACTAAAAATTGGGAAAAACAAATTAGGACATTGATTGTCTATAAAGACTGAATGTTAAAATAACCAGAACAGAGGGATAGAATCAAGATCACATGAAATATTAATACCACTTTACAATGCCTTGGTAAGGCCACACTTGGAATACTGCATCCAGTTTTGGTTACCACAATGTAAAAAAGATGTTGAGACTCTAGAAAGAGTGCCGAGAAGAACAAAGATGGTTAGGGGACTGGAGGCTAAAATATATAAGGAACGGTTGTTGGAATTGGGTATGTCTAGTTTAATGAAGAGAAGGACGAAGGGGGACATGATAGCAGTGTTCCAATATCTCAAGGGCTGCCACAAAGAAGAGGGAGTCAAGCTATTTTCCAAGGCACCTGAAGGCAGTACAAGAAGCAACGGATGGAAACTAATCAAGGAGAGAAGCAACCTAGAACTAAGGAAAAACTTCCTGACAGTTAGAACAATTAACCAGTGGAACAACCTGCCTCCAGAAGCGGTGAATGCTCCAACACTGGAAGTTTTTAAGAAGAGAGTGGACAGCCATTTGTCCGAAATGGTATAGGGTTTCCTGCCTGAGCAGGGGGTTGGACTAGATGACCTCCAAGGTCCCTTCCAACTTTTATTTTTATTATTGTTGTTGTTATTTTATGTATAAACTAAAAATTATTGATAAATGTAAGAAAGTTATTTTTATTTAACTGATATAATAAGAATTGTATTAGTTTAAACATGAGACAGTAAATACGAAGGGGAAAAGAGAGGAAATACTTCATGTAGTAGCTTGAGACTTGTACTAAAGATACTTGTATGTTATTGAATTATTAACTCAGCCGCCACATTGCTTTTTAAATATTTAAATGTAAAATTAGAAAATCAATAAAAACTTTTTTTTTTAAAGAATGGAATGTGCCTCCAGCCATCAGCCTTATCTCTTGCTGCGGAAGAGGCAGGAAGGCCTAACAGTCTAACAGCCTTGGCAATGACACCTTATCAACCTTGTTCTCACAGTGGATTCACACCTGGGGATTGGGCCATTTGAACTGGCCGGTTGGATTATTGGGGCGGGGTTTGCCAGTTACTCTTTTAACCTATCGATTCGCAAGGGAAACTCTCAGATCCTGCCTTTTATGCCAGCTGTCAACGTCTCCTAATAAAAGTTCCTTTTGGAGTAAAAGGAAAAAGATTTATGTGATCTGAAGAGAAACCAGAGTTTTGACTTATTAGAAGTGATTTCATATTATTAATTAGAGGGTTAAAGGGAGAAGTTGAGATAAGGGGAATTCTGGTCATTAGATTTAAAATACTTGGAAATTAGTTGAAAAATTAGACCTAAAAAGAAAAAGAAAATTAATTGTTATGAATATGTTTGATTTATTGATTAACTCAGGTAGTATACATAATGGTTTTGATTTATTAAAGGGGATGTTGTATTACTAAGTAGATGATTTAATATGGTGGGAAATAGATAACTTTTAGGAAATACAGCAAGATTACATTTAAATAAATAAAATGTGTATTTTGGATAGTAGATTTTGTTATGAATTGAGATAAGGGAAATCTTGGTTACCTAAGGCTTGAAAATTATAAATATCAAAGGTTAAATTGGGATATTGATGAGAAATTAAAAATTGGATAAAAATTAATAACAGGATATGGATTGTTTATGAAGATATGAATATAATTAAGATACGTATAAAATGTATTGATAAATGTAATAATGATGTTTCTATTGAGTTGATATAATAGAAACTGTACTAGCTTGAATATGAGACAGTAATTGTTAAGGGAAAAACAGAAGAAATATTTGATGTTGTAACTTGAGATTTGTACTAAAGATTTTGTTATCGAACTATTGATTAACCCAGTCACCACATTGCTTTTTAAATATTTAAATGGAAAATTAATAAAATATTATTTTTTTTAAAAGTTCCTTTTGGAGTAAAGCTGTTCCAGGCGTTCTGCTTTCTTGGGAAGAGGGATTGAGGCAGGTCCTTACACACTGCAGTTAAGTTAGTAACACGGTTGTAAAGTGATTCTGTTTTCCCCATTGACTTTGCTCGTCAGAAGGTGGCAAAAAGGGATCCCATGACCATGGGGACACGGCAACCATCATAAATATGAGTCAGTTGCCAAGTAACTGAATTTTGATCACGTGATCATGGGGATGCTGCAATGGCCGTGAGAGTAAAAAAAGGTCATGTCGCCGTTGTAACTTTCAACAATCACTAAATGAATGGTTATAAGTTGAGGACTACCTGTACTCTGTGAACTGCTAGGGAGGGGCCGTCTTAGCCCTCTTCCTGCCTGTCAGTCATTCCAAGCTCCGCTGCCTCTTTGCCCTCTGGGAAGCATCCCTTCCCTCCTGGGGCTCCAGACTACATTCCACTACAGTTGTGTTGCTAATTACGTCTTGAATGGTGCTCCCTTATCAATCAATATTTCTCAATTGTTTCTAAACTTCCTAAGAAGCTACCCAAACCCCCCTCACTTTCAACCCCTGAAGGAATCTAGATCCCAATTCAATTGTAAAATAAATTCTAACTAGTCGCTATTCAGTGTAACAGACCAGGAGAGAGCCAAACCCCTTGGTCAGGGGTCTTCAAACTTGGCCCTTTTGTGACTTGTGGACTTCAACTCCCAGAATTCCTCAGCCAGCATGCCTGGCTGAGGAATTTTGGGAGTTGAGGTCCACAAGTCATAAAAGGGCCAAGTTTGAAGAGTCCCGCTCTTGGTGGACCCTTTGAGTAGTACATGAGTGTTAGAAAAAAAGACACTGAAGTCCTTTGCTGGACTTGATGATTTCTGGGACTCCTGCAATAAAATTGGGGGCTTAGTAGAGCCCCACTGAATTTCTCTCCAAGTAAGTGTGTGCAGGAGAAGGGCAGCTTAGAGACTGCATCCCTCTGTGGCTCCTGCCTTCTCATTCTGCTGGGGAGTTTTCCAATAGCATCTGGAAACGCAGCTAATGGATCCTGGATCAGAGGCATAAGGCAGGCTCGTCATGTAGCAAATCCTGTGTTTGATCTCTCCAGGTAGGGCAGTGAATGACACCTGCCCATTAAGTGCTTCTTCCCAGTGATACCGACTCAATGGGTTGAGGGTCTACTGTAGCATAAGGCAGCTTTCCACATGCCCACACGTTTGGGTTTTAACATTTTGCCCCCGTTCCAAGCAGGCCTCTGGTGGCTTCTCTGGAGTGAATTCTCTTGTGCCTCCGGAGAGAAGCTTTATGACCAAAATCCTGCCCACATTCGGAGCACTTGTACGGCTTTTCTCCCGTGTGGACCCGCCGGTGATTGACCAGGTTTGAGTTCGTGCTGAATTTCTGCCCGCAATCCGAGCACTGGTACGGCTTCTCGCCCGTGTGGACCCTCTTGTGGTTGACCAAGTTGGAGCTGGTGCTGAAGCTCTTCCCGCAGTCGGCACACTCGAAGGGTTTCTCTCCCGTGTGGGTCCTCTCGTGGATGAGGAGTTTGGATCGGCTGATGAAGCTCTTCCGGCAGTAGCTGCACTGGTGGCTTTCTTCGCCGGCTGGGGCTTTCTTCCCCGTGTGCAGCCGCTCGTGCTTCCGAAGGTAAGAGCTCGAGATGAAGCTTTTCCCGCACTCGGGACACTCGTAGGGCTTCTCCCCGGTGTGGATGCGCCGGTGGATGATGAGATCGGCTTTCTGGTTGAAGCTTTTCCCACACTCAGGACACTCGTACGGCTTCTCTCCGGTGTGCGTCCGAATGTGGATGACCAACTGCGGCCGGTGAACAAAACTCTGCCCGCATTCAGAGCACTTGTAGGGCTTCTCCCCGGTGTGCACCCGCTTGTGGGTGATGAGGTTGGAGCTTGAGGTGAAGCTTTTGCCACACATGGGGCACTCGTAGGGCTTCTCCCCTGTGTGGGTCCTCTCGTGCACGATAAGCGAGGCCTTGTCGCTGAAGCTCCTGCCGCACTCGGGACACTGGTATGGCTTCTCCCCCGTGTGCACCCGGGTGTGTTTCATCAGGTTGCAGTTGGTGCTGAAGCATTTTCCACATTCTGAGCACTTGTACGGCTTCTCGCCCGTGTGGGTCCTCTCGTGGATGATCATATGCGCGCTGTTATTAGAGATCTTCCCGCAGTAGGTGCATGTGTAGAGTTTCTGCACTTTCCGATTCGGAGGAAACTCAAAACCATGGTTCAGAACCGTCCCCCAACTGGGGGGACCTGTATTCTTTCTCCTTCTCTTCTGATCTCCCCGCGGGAAGGTGTTTTCTCGTAAACTTCCCTCGTGGAAAAAAGCTGGGATTCCTGATGGGTTTTCCTGGTGGATTTCTTGATGAGGCTCATTTCCTGCCATCTCTTCCAGTCCACACACCTGATATAACTTCCCATTGAGTCTTGCCAAGGACAATCCACTGATGCCTATTTGCGGGTGTCTTTCAAAGGGAAAGGTCTCCTCCTTGTTTTCGTAACCTTGGTCATTGCCTGGAGGTACAAATAGGAGAATCGTGACTAGTAAGAGAGTAGGGAAAATGAACTTGATGGAGAAATGCAACAGAGGTTACCTAAAAGCAAAGGGAGCTAAAACATTTTTGAAGTCTAGAACGTCCAGATGACACTCAGAAGCAGCTCAGACAAGCACCTTCTTAATTCAGAGGATTATAAGAGAGGGGAGTGAAGGTAGAAGACAAAGAGACTTGCAAGATTCTGTTATTATAGCCGGTCTCAATAATTTTAGTCTTAGCCTTGCTGTGGCGTTGATTTCCTGATCTGGTCTATCTAGTGGGGCTGACTGTCACTGTTCCAATAGATGAGACCAATTAAAGCAGAACTCTGAGGCTTGAGTTTTCCTCTAAGAATATGTTTATTGGCTACAATGTATTGGCATGGTTAAAAGTGAAACCAAGACTAAAGTTCCCTCCAAAAAAGTAACAGTATTGTATTACAAAGTTAAACTTCCTACCCCAGAAACTATGGCAATCAACTTCATTTCCCAACAGAATAGTTTGGCGGGCTTTCTAACATTAGGCTCAGCCCCCAGCCTAACGAACAGAAATGACCTTGGTTCCCACGGGACAGAGAATTGTTTAGACTAGCATAAAACTCCCCATTCCTTCCCCCAATCTTGTGGCAACCGAAAACAAGCAAGATGGCTTCAGCTAGGTTCGTTGCAGAGTTGACACTGACATAATCTGATGTGGTGGAATGTGGTCTGGAGTCCCAGGAGGGAGGGGCTGCTACCCAGAGGACAATGAGGCAGCGGACCTTAGAATGTCTGTTAGGCAGGAAGAGGGCTAAGACGCCCACTCCCTAACAGTTCACAGATTATATATCTATAGTTATGCTGATAGTTGCTTGAGTCTGGAAAGATTCTGTCTGTTGGTGAACGACAATAGAGAAGCTACTCAGAAGTAACTCCAAGCGTCATTCTTGGTTCTTGGGGCTGACATCAGGCTGCTTATTGTATAGTTACAGAATAAATACAGCTTCATAACTTAGCCAGAAACACTGCATCCACCAAACACATTCAACTCTCTAAGGGAGATACTATCTGAGGGAGTGTTTCTTCCCAGTTACATCAGCCCACTCCATTAGATCATGGAAAGAAGGCACGCTGCAGATGCCATCGGCAAGGCCAGGGGTCTGCAATCTTGACAACTTTTAAGACTTGTGGACTTCAGCTCCCAGAATTCCACAAGTCTTAAAAGTTGTCAAGGTTGCAGACCCTAGGCTAGGCCCTACAATGGATGGGTCCTGGGAAGTGTGCCTTCTCTGCTGCAGTCCCTGCTGGTAATATTGAATATTCTTGCTTTGACAATATATGCAGAACTGTCTGGTATTTTTAGAGTTAAATCAGGTGACAGGGAAAGGGGAGGAGAATATAAGGAAAGCGGGGGGGGGGGGGGGAGAAACGGAAGTGAATCTTTGCCCTCCAAGTTAATTGGAAGATGTGAATCATGACCCCAAAATAGGGGAGGGGAAATGCCTGGAATGTTATGTGCAAAGGAAGAGAAATTCAGATCTTAGCATTTCCACCATGCCGTGCTGACATCTCTGTAACACTAATAAAGGCTTTGTAGGTTAAAAAAATGCCTGAAAGTTCTTTGAAGTGTTTCGTTAATCAGACACATGACACCTGCCTTATGGAACATCCTTTCCCCTGAAATTAGATCGGTCCCATCCTCTGTGGCCATTCACAAGGCCCTCAAGATCTGGTTATGCTGCAGGGCTGGGGCTCCCAGGGGATCAGAAATCTGTCCCCCCCGTGGCTCCCAAAACAGGTCACCAAAGGGTGATTACGTGACCCCCGAGGCAACGCAACCGTCATAAACCCTTGCCAGTTGCCGAGCCTCTAAATTTTGATCACGTGACTGTGGGGATTCTGCAATGGTCATTAAGCATTTTAAAAAATGCCATGTCCCTTTTTTCAGTGCCACTGTAACTTTGAACGGTCACTAAATGAATGGTTTTAAGGTGAGGACTACCTGTAGTTTCTTTGTAACGTTCTTCGGGGGCTGGAAAGAGTAAAAATGGGGGTCGGAGGGTGGGGGAGAGGACAAGACCTTACCTAAATAACTGGCTTCTTCATCGCTCTCTTCCTCGGCCTCAGCAGAGTGGTGGCTGTTCACCACTTCAGATGGGACCTCCTCTGATTTAGCAGAATTAATAGCAGGGACTTCTTCTCCAGGACAGGAATCCTGCAAACAGTAACCAAGTTTTAATGCCAGCATAATCTTCACAGACTTCTGAGCTACAGTTTGTTTTGATCGTGGCTGGTAGACTTCACCTCTAGCTAAGCCATGATTTACAACCACAGAGTCTAGAGCAGTGGTTCTCAACCTTTCTAATGCTGCGACCCCATAATACAGTTCCCCATGTTGTGGTGACCCCCAACCACTTATACATCACCGGGTGCCAGGGGCGTGGCCAAAGAAAAGGGGGAAAAAATGGCGGACAGCCTTGTTTGGCGACCCCCATGAAATGGTCATTCGACCCCAAATGGGGTCCCGACCCACAGGTTGAGAACCACTGGTCTAGAGGAAAGGATTTATTAAGCCCACATAGTTGGGAAAGAGCAAAGAAGCAAGAATTATATAGGTTTCAGTCAGGGATTCTTAAGGCTTGTGCTGGGTAAATAGAGCCTCTTGGCAAATCTTGTTAACTTTGCAATTAATCTATGCTCATCTGGGTGCTGATTGCTGATGGGGAGGTGTTTTAGTCTTTTTGTTCCTTTTTTGGCTTGTTGATTGTCTCTTTTGCGTAGTATATAGATATTGTTTATGCCTGAGCTGAATGGCGAGATTTTGGAGTAAGACGAGTCAATCAACTCACCCCACATTTGAACCAAGAGGGATTCTCTGATGCTCTCTGAGCTTGCTTGTTTTCTTGCAGATGTTTCATTACCCAAACTAGGTAACTTCATCAGTGCTGGTTAGAAGTGGGGTTTACTCTCAGTTTATGTTCTGGTGCCTTGCCCTTGTCAGTGATGGTGTTACCTAGTTTGGCGTAATGAAACATCTGCAAGAAAACAAACAAGCTCAGAAAGCACCAAGGACCCCCAATTTCAACCAGGAGCTACAAATATTCTCCTTTATTGGTAACATTTGAACCGAGGCCCAGATAATTCAAGTTAATTTCCTTTTAGGCAGAAAAAGCAAGGACTAATGGTAAGTAAACAGATCTAGCAACACACACTGCTGATCGCAGAGTTTACATTGCTGTCAGTTTATAATAATAATAATAGTAGTAAAGTTGGAAGGGACCTTGGAGGTCATCTAGTCCAACCCCCTGCTCGGACAGGAAACCCTACACCATTTTGGACAAGTGGCTGTCCAGTCTCTTCTTAAAAACATCCAGTGTTGGAGCATTTACTGCTTCTGGAGGCAGGCTGTTCCACTGATTAATTGTTCTCACTGTCAGGAAGTTTCTCCTTAGTTCTAGGTTGCTTCTCTCCTTGATTACTTTCCATCCGTTGCTTCTTGTCCTGCCTTCAGGTACTTTGGAAAATAGCTTGACTCCCTCTTCTTTTGTGGCAGACCCTGAGATATTGGAATACTGCTATCATGTCCCCCCCTCGTCCTTCTCTTCATTAAACTAGACATACCCAATTCCAGCAAGTGTTCATTATGTGTTTTAGACTCCAGTCCCCTAATCATCTTTGTTGCTCTTCTCTGTACTCTTTCTAGAGTCTCAACATCTTTTTTACATTGTGGTGACCAAAACTGGATGCAGTATTCCAAGTGTGGCCTTACCTTCAGAAGAGGAGGAGAGGACGGTGCTTACCTTCCCTCGCAGGCCATCAGCCTCCTGCACCCTCAGAAAGTAATCCTCTGCCAGGGCCACCGTCTGGGCACAGCACCCTGGCTTGCCCTCCTTGATCCAGTCTTGCATAGCTGGGGGCAAAATGGCCAGGAATTGCTCCAGGACTATCAGGTCCAGAATCTGCTTCTTGGTGCATCTCTCGGGCTTCAACCACTGCCAGCAGAGTTCCTGCAGCTGGAAAAAGCTCTCCTTGGGCCCTTCGGCTTCCAGGTAGCAGAACTGCCTGAATTGCTGGCGCTCCGTTTCGAAGCCAGAAGCTTCTTCTACCTCTAAAATTTCTTCCTTCACGCTCACGGAGGAAAGGAGGTCTTGGCAATCTCCAATGGGGTCCGGCAGAAGCCGGGTCAGGCTCTTTCTCCCAGGCCTCTGATTCAGATCAGCGGTTTCCTTAAAGGAGGATCGGGAACCGTCCCCGGAGTGGGCAGGGCTAGGTAACTGAGCTCGTTTCTTTCCAGAACGAGAGGGTTGCATTGCCTTCAGAAAATCCTGCCACTGAGCGTCCCAAGGCTGCTGGAGATGTTCTTCTGGCTCCTGCTTAATAAAATGGGAGTCTAGCCCAACCGAGAACCTTTGGATGGCCCCAAGCTGAACGGGATGAGAATTTTTCCGTCCTCTTTGAACTCTTTGTACCGGTCCCGGCTTCTCCATTTCTATCCCTGCCTGCTGGGAAAGAAACCCAAGCTTCATCAGTTCAAAATAAAACACAACAGGCGCCACATACAGTAAGTCGTAATACCTTGACTTACGACCACAACCGAGCTCAACATTTCCGTCGCTAAGCAGGACAGTTGTTAGTTTTGTCCCATTTTACGACCATCCTGGCCACGATTGATAAGTGAATCAACTGCAGTTGTTACGTCAGCCACACGGTTGCTAAGTGAAGCTAGCTTTGCTTGTCAGAAGCAGAAGGTCATCACATGACCCTGGGACACTGCAACCGTCATAACTATGAGCCAATTGCCAGGCATCTGAATTAAGACCATGTGACTGTAACGGTCGTGTTAAAAACAGTCAGAGATCACTTTTTTTTCCACCACTGTTGTAACTTAAAACGGTCACTAAATGAATGGTTTGAGTCCAGGACTACCTGTATACACAATATTGCCCTTCTTCCCTTTCTCTCTATCACCCGAAAGGTGTAGTGTGTGGTGCTGAATTGGTGTAGGGAGATTCAGGTCCTAGTTCCCCCACCCACCACAGAAGCTCTCTGGGGCACTGAGCCAATCTCTCTCTCTCAGTCCAACCTACCTCACAGGGCTGTTGTGGGGGGAATAGAAAGGAGGGTACAAAGAATATTAATGAAAGATGGGGTGTAAATCAGAAGCAACCTAGAATTAAGGAGAAACCTCCTAACAGTGAGAACAATTAACCAATGGAACAGCTTTGCCTTCAGAAGTTGTGGATGCTTCAACACTGCAGGATTTTAAGAAGAGACTGTCTGATCTCCTGCTTGAGCTGGGGGCTGGACTAGAAGACCTCCAAGGTCCCTTCCAACTCTATTCTGACTGGGGAAAAATTGAATCCAGTCAACAGAGGAGGGCTTAAAACTCACAGAAAAGATTCCCTTATCGAGAGGATATTAGTGGCTCGTGAAAGAGCTTTCAAACACACCCTTCTTAATCAGGGTTCCTTCTGTTCCACGCCTTCCCGCCCAGCCCGCAGCCCAATTCGTGCCCAAGCAAAAGCCCACTAACAAGTTTCGGGGGAGGGGGGGGAGAGCCTCGACCTTTGCAACAGGACGGAGTAGCTTTAAAGAAAATTAAAGCCAAAGCATTCCTCCTTCCCCCTCCGAGCCCAAAACGGGGTGGGGGGTGGGGGACGCTGCGTGGACTTGGCGGCCGAGAAAGCCCACCGATCACGCCACGCGCGTTTTTTCTCTCTCTCTCTCTGCCCGCCCCCTCCGCCTGCGATTTGCGCTCGGAGAGCGCCTTCCTTGCTCCGCGCACCAAAGCCCGGCGATCGTCCGCCTTCCCCACGGCCGGTGCCCGACCCCCGGCTCGGTGGGACAGGAAAGTGCAGCGATCCCGGGGCTCCCCCCGTTCGCTCCACGTTTCCTGTCTCTCTAAGCGCCGGAGCTCGCTGGCCGGCCCGTTTAACCATTGCAGCGCCGGCGGGAAGATGAGCGGCAGCTCTCGGGAGCCTTGAGCGTCCTTTCCTTTCGCGCGAAGGCGGGGGGGGGGGGAACGAGGTGGGATAAGCGAAAGGCTGTTTGTGTGTGTGTATGTGTGTGTGTGTGTGTATATATATATACACACACTTTACGCGGGAGAAAACCCGAACAACCAAAGACCTACATACAAACACCCGCGAAAACCTCAGAAAACATATATATATATATATATATATATATATATATATATATATATATATATATATATATATATGGGTATTTTGAACTCACTCTCGGCTCTTCGAAGCGCTTGGAGCCTCATTTTTAAATCAGTGTTTTTCCAACTTGGCAATTTCTAAGACGTCCGGATTCTTCAACTCCAGCTGAGGCTGATGACCACACATCTTAATGTTGGCAAGGTTGAGAAATGCAGGTAGTCCTCGGCTTACGACCACAGCTGAGCCCAAGAATTTATGTGGCTAAGGGAGAAATTTGTTAAGCGGGTTTTGCCCCATTTTACGACTTCTATTTGTTGCCATGTTTGTTAAGTAAATTGCTGCGATTTATTAAATTAGTAACCCGGTTGTTAAGTGAATGGGGTTTCCCCGTTGGCTTTGCTTGTGAGAAGGTCGCAAAAGGGGATGACAGGAGTCCGGGACGCTGCAACCATCATTAAATGTGAGTCTGTTGTCCAGCATCTGAATGTAAATCACGTGACCATGAGGATGCTACAACGGTCGTAAGTGTGAAAAATGGTCATAAGTCACTTTTTTCAGCGACGTTTGACCGGTCACTAAATGAGCTGTCGTAAGTCGAGCCCTACCTGTACTGCTTTAGAAAGTCAGCAGCTGAGTATGCTGAATTTGGTTAATAGAATAACAGAGTTGGAAGGGACCTTGAAGATCTAGTAGTCCAACCCCATGCTCAGGCAGGAGACCCTATACCAGGGGTAGGCAACCTTGGCTCTTTTATGACTCGTGGACTTCAACTCCCAGAATTCCTGAGCCAGCCATGCTGAGGGGAAAGGGAGAGGTTTCCAAGCTGAGCCATGCTGGCTGGGAATTCTGGGAGTTGAAGTCCACGAGTCATAAAAGAGACAAGGTTGCCTATCCCTGCCCTATACCACTTCAGACAAATGGCTGTCTAGTCTCTTCTTTAAAACCTCCACTGATGGAGCATCCACAACTTCTGGAGGCAAGTCATTCCACTGATTAATTGTTAGGAATTAATGCATTGCCTGGAGTTTACCCATGGCTTTGAAGAATACTAGAATAATAACTTTATTGTCACTTTGAATGTACACTAATCGGCATACATTAAAATGAAATTTCGTTGCATACAGCTCTCAAAAGAGGCGACACCTCCAATATACATTACATAAATATAACACAAATAAATACATAAATAAATACAGAATTATGCATATACCCTCGTATATTATATCACACAGAGAAACAACAATCTAGTTTGGATTATGTATACATGTGCATGGGGAGGAAAATGAATCTTTTGAGTTTACCAGACGGGTGGCATAAGGCAGGAGTCCCCAACCCCCTGGTCCGTGGACCAGTACCGGGCCACAGCATGTCAGCAACTGGTCTGTACAAACAAGCAAAGCCCCATCCGTGGGATGCAGGCAGCACACAAAACCACGCACCGTCTGGTCCGCAGAAAAACCTCTCTCCACGGAACCGGTCCCTGGTCCCCCAAAGGTTGGGGATTTCTGGCATAAGGAACAAACCTATTACCTTATTGGGTAGTCCTGCTATAAGAATTCTCTGGACAAACCAGCCAGACTCAGGAAAGACGCTAAGCTATGAAGAATGGATAAATACAATAAATAAAATAAAAAGGTTAAAATAGACCCACCTTGCACGTCCTGGTTGCACTTCTCTGATCTCCTGAGGGGGCTGTGAGAACTCAGTATGTGCAACTTACGTGGAACAGAGGACACGTGTGACTTGGCAAGGTCAGTAAGAGAAGTGTGTTAAAAGCCAGACCACACTTCAGTAATGAAAGACACATTTTTATTTTTTTTTGGCCAGTATGAGCATAGTTTATTTGCTTAGATCAGTGTTTCCCAACCTTGGCAAGTTTAAAACATGCAGACTTCAATCCCCAGATTTAATAAGATCAGGGAAATGCTATAATATATGACTAGAAAATAATCATACAGTATTAACTGCTTTGAATGTTAACTAAATTTAAATATAAATCTTGCTACAGTACTTCTATGGACGCTAATCTTAGAGGAAATCTCATTTTATTCAATTTATCTTAGGTCTGAATAGGTTGGGGCACTCATAACAACATGTGCTGAAGTGTTTGCTTTGTTTTTCACTTTACCATAGTCTCCCATTCTCAGAAATACATTTTTGAAGATGGTCTGATCTGTTGCCATATCAATCCTGAAGATAAATTAGGTTGAGATAAAATGAAAGACATCGGATCCCTTACATCAAACATAAGACTAAAATTAGTTCTATATTTTAACTGTGTTGCTCTTGTTTATTGCTATTAGTGTTACAATATAATAAAACCACTTGTAGTTACTGTCTGCTCTAGGCCAAGGGTAGGCAACCTCGGCTCTTTTATGACTCATGGACTTCAACTCCCAGAGCTGACTCAGGAATTCTGGGAGTTGAAGTCCATGAGTCATAAAAGAGCAGAAGGTTGCCCACCCCTGGCCTAGGCCAATGTTTTACAGCCTTGGCAATATTGAGCTGAGTGGACTTCCAGTTACTCCAAGCATGCTGGCTGAGGAATTCTCGGAGTTTAGAGTTTAAACCTCTAAAAGTTGTCACGTTAAAAAAAAACACTGATTTTGACATCAAGCTGCTTTAAAGGCATGGGAGTGAGAGCTAACTGAAAAGTTGGTAAGCGTCTCTGAAAGAATATTTCTAAGATGACCAACTGTCCTCCTTTAGGGAAGACAGTCCTCCTTTTGTGAGATCTGTCCTCCCTTGAAAAGTGTCCTCCTACATGTCCTCCTTTTCGATATTTGAAGACTAATCTGCAGGGCTTTTTTTTTTTCTCTTAGAACGCTCAGAACAGCGTTCTGGCACCTTTTTTGATGGTTTTTTTTCAACTTTTGCATGAGCTGTGCTACTCCCCCTATTGGCTTTTGAAAGCCAATAGGAATTGCTGCTGAGCACACCAAAACACCCGGCCAGCAAACTTTGCACATGTAAGTTGTCTGCAGCGAAGGCGAATTGGCAGGAACTTTGCACCTCTCCCTGCTACCCAACTACACCATCTCCTAGTTAGTCCCAAAGATACCTGGAGGAGACTGGAGCGGTGACGCCACGGTAACTTTCTCTTGATCTTCGGCCCTGCTAGGGCAATAATGGCTGTGGGTGCAAGAGGCAGGGGCGGCGGGGCTGCTGTGGGCGGGGATGTGAGGGGCGGCAGTGGCTGGCTGCCCCCCCCCCCCGTGCTGTGGGAGCCACGGGGCCTGCTCTACACAGGGCTACGCAGGGTGGGTGTTGGTGTTGGTGTGGCGGCTGCAGGCGGGGTGTACTGACGGCGGGCTGCCCCCTGGGGCCGGAGCCGGCACAGCTGTTGCTTTGGGAGCCACAGGGCCCGCTCTACATGGGGCAGCAGTGCTGGCGGAGTGGCTGGGGGCGGGGCGCAGCATATAAGCATAATTAAAATATAAAATGTTATTGTTACAAATGTTTTTATTATGCATTTATCATATTATAGTGTATTCTGTATTATTGTTGCAATGAATAAAATATTTCTTTTATTTACAATATTTTTTTCTTCAATTTATTTGTGTCCTCCTTTTCATTGTAAAAAAGTTGGTCACCTTAATATTTCTCCAGAAGATAAAGTAATGTTCTCGATCTAGACAACCAGATGTGTGAACTACAACTCCCAGAATTCTCAGCGAGATCCCTCCAGCGAGAGCTGCCCAGGTTGGGAAACACTGAGATAATGAAAAGGATTAAATCTACAGAGCTGGGTTTCCTAGAGAGGCCACGCATATCAGGAAACTGGCGCTCAAATTCATATGGATGGGTCTGTCTGGATTTCTTTTGTGCTTTTGCGCTGTGATGGCGGGAGGAGGTTTCTGGGGCAGGGGAACTTTTGGGGTGTGAGTTTTAGGGTGGTGCAATGACACAGTTTCAGGGTGAAGGTGAATTAATGCATCATACAAAAAGCCCCAGTGCGGAATAATAATATTGCAACAATTCGCAAAATAAAAATTATTATTATTATCTCCAAAGCGCCTGAGGGCAGGACAAGAAACAACGGATGGAAACTAATCAAGGAGAGAAGCAACCTAGATGTATGTATGTATGTATGTATGTATGTATGTGTATGGTTGTTTGTGTGCTCTGAAGAAGTGAACTGAAGAAGCTTCTTGGATAAGAAGCGAAACATTTTCAAGGAAAAACCAAGAAAGTCCAATTGCCTTTTGAAAAGCACCTTTGGGTGCTTGAGGGTGCCTGAGGATAGCACCACCAAAGCACCTTTGGGTGTCTGAGGGTAGCACCACCAGATGTCAACCTAACTCCCCCCCCCACCGGCATGGATTTTGCTGTGGCTGTTGAGGTGCGAGCTGCAACGGAAGTGTTTCCCACATTCTGAGCATTCAAAGGGTTTCTCCCAGCCGTGAACTCGGATGTGCACAATGAAGCCGGCCCTGGAAATAAAGGCCTTCCCACAGTCGGAGCATTCAAACATCTCCTTGCCGGTGAGAGCATGGAGATGCTTGTTGAGGCTATGGAATAGCTTATCACTCGATCGCTTCCCTTTGGGGATCGGCTGCCTGAGGATGGTTTCGTAGGGGCCTCTTCTCTGCAATGCAACAGGATTGGTCTGCCGGCTGATCTTCTGTTGCCTTGCTTAGATTCAAAACAGGTTCTTTTAAATCCCGGCTGTTTTCTCTCCCTGCCATCATCTCCTGCTGGTCTCTTTGCCCTTCGTCATCTGCCAAATGCAATAATACCCCACCAAGTAGTATCTTTAGGAGTTCAGGCAAGGCAAGATATTCCTTGGGCTGCTCAAACATCCCAAGGAGAAAGGAAGGGTCTTCAAAGGATGAGGAGATTGCAATTTTTGCAGAAGAGCCCATTTTTTGCTGGGGGAAGAAAAAGGGGAATCTCAGAAGGAGGCCAGTGAAGATACAGGTAGTCCTCGATTTAAGGGCTGATCGTTTAGTGACCATTTGAAGTTCCAATGGACCACCCAAAAGTTGCTTATGACCAGTTCCAAAGTTCCAATGGCTGTCCTTCCCCCCCCCCCAGTCACGTGACTACATTTTGGGAACTCATTAACTGGCATTTACGGTACTTCCTGTTTTTTGTAAAAATGCCTCAGAGTGAACAATGAACTCACGTAACAACCACTGGAAAAGAGGCAGTGGTGGGATTCAAATATCTGAACAACCAGTTCTATCATGTGATGCAGGCCTAGAACGGACTTCCGGAAGTGGCATCATGCACTTCTGGTGGGCCATTCTAGGCCTTGGAGGCCTCCTGTAGGCCTCTGATGCCTAGAACAGACTTCCGGAAGTGGCATCAATGCATTTCCAGTGGGCCGTTCTAGACCTGAGAGGCCTCCGAGGCCTAGACTGGACTTCCAGAAGCCAGCCGCTTCTCCGAATTCAGGTAAATTTAGCTACCTGTTCTTCCGAACCGGTATGAACTGGCTGAATCCCACCACTGAAAAGAGGTCATAACAACGAGTCGAATTAGATGTAACCACTTTATGACTATTGTGACTAGTGGACAGGCTACATTATGGTCATAAGTTGAGAGTTTTCTCTACTGCCAATTGTCATCCACGATGTAAAAAAGATGTTGAGACTCTAGAAAGAGTACAGAGAAGAGCAACAAAGATGATCAGGGGACTGGAGGCTAAAACATAAGGAATGGCTGCTGGAACTGGATATGTCTAGTTTAATGAAGAGAAGGACGATGGGTGATATGATAGCAGTGTTCCAATATCTCAGGGGCTGCCACAAAGAAGAGGGAATCAAGCTATTCTCCAAAGCACCTGAGGGCAGGACAAGAAGCAACGGATGGAAACTTCTCAAGGAGAGAAGCAACCAAGAACTAAGGAGAAATTTCCTGACAGTTAGAACAATTAACCAGTGGAACAACCTGCCTCCAGAAGTGGTGAATGCTCCAACACTGGAAGTTTTTAAGAAGAGACTGGACAGACTGGTATAGGGTTTCCTGCCTGAGCAGGGGGTTGGACTAGATGACCTCCAAGGTCCTTTCCAACTTTATTGTTGTTGTTGTTGTTATTATTATTATTATTATTATCATCCTACTGCCAAGTAGGGCGAGATATGGAAAGGTGGAGCAGAATGCCTCAGATTAGCAGCACATAGTGAAATATACGTTTTCTCCATTTAAATGTATCCGTCTACTTCTGGCCAAGACTCAGTTTTCTTTTTATCTGACCATTGTTTTGGTTGTGGCTCCTCCTTCTGCCCCTCAAGGTTATTCTCTCTTCCCATTATAGGCAGTCCTCAATTTACGAGCCCAATTGAGCCCAAAATTTCTGTCGCTAGACCAGACAGTCAAGCGAGTTCTGCCCTCTTTTACGACCTTTCTTGCCACAGTCGTTAAATCACTGCAGTTGTTTTGTTAGTAACACAGCTGTTAAGTGAATCTGGCTTCCCTATTGCCTTTGCTTGTCAGAATGTCCTAAAAAGGTGATCATATGAGTCTGGGACACTGCAAGTCGTCGTAAATCCGAGCCAGTTGCCAAGTGTCCAAATTATGATCACGTGACCCTGGGGATGCTGCAACTGTCGTTAAGTGGGAAAAACGGGCATTAGTCACTTTTTTTCAGCACTGTTGTAACTTTGAATGGTCACTAAACGAATGCTTCTAAGTCAAGGACTACCTGTACATCAACAGGGAATTAGAGACCTTTCACATGTTGCTGAAACTTCAATTCCCAGAAGCCTTCACTATCAGCTGAGAGAAGTTCAGCAACGTTCTGAAGGCCGAAGGTTCTTTACACAGTCCTCATGTTATGAGGGCCAAAAGGACCAGGATTGCCATTGCTAAACAGCACAGTTGTAAAGCATGATGTCACATCACCACCTTTCTTAGCAAGGGCAGTTTTGGCAATCCTAGTTGCCGTCATTAAATGAGGACTCTGCAGGTTGTTAAGGACCTCCTGTGATCATAGCCTCCAACTTCCTGCCGGCTTTCCCGCTGACATTGCTTGTGGGAAGCCTGCAGGGAGAATCCTATTCTTTTCCTGTTATCCTTTGCATGGATCCCCCACCTCAAAAAAAAAAAAAAAAAAAAAAAAAAAAAAATCAAGTTACATAATTTGAATTCACCAGTCACAGTATGGAGGCTGATGCTGCAAAGGCCGCCCCCTTGTGGTGGAATTCTGCAATGAACAGAATGGAGGACATAAACTAAGCTTACATGGCTGAGAGCAAAGACAGCTGGGAGTTGTAGTTCGCCAACAATGGGACCCTTACCTGCCATGCTGGCATTCCCATCCTCCTCTTGCCTGACCTTTCTGTTTAGCTGCCTGAGGGTAACGTCCAGAGAAGTTTCTTTTGCTTTGGGGAAATTCACTCCCACCTCTTGCTTCATCCCTGTCATCTGGAACAAAAGAGGAATTTTAATCCACAACAAAGGGTAGAGAAAATAACAGTCTTTTTTTGAGATAGATACTTCTTCCTACACCCCCTTCATCTCTTTGGGGGCAGGTGAGTATGTTTCCAAACAAAGCAGGGCAGCCCCCAAATCCACCCCATCATTATTTTCTAAGAAGACAGGAGAAGACCCAATGAATAGCAATTGCAATAGCAATACCACTTAAGACTTATATACCCCTTCACAGTGCTTTACAGCCCTCTCTAAGTGGTTTACAGAGTCAGCATATTGGTCCCCCCTCCAACAATCTGGGTCCTCATTTTACCGACCTTGGAAGGATGGAAAGCTGAGTCAACCTTCAGCCGTTCAGGATTGAACTTCTGGCAGTCGGCAGAGTTAGCCTGCAATACTGCATTCTAACTACCGCGCCACCATATTGGCAGGGAAGTATAAGTAGTTCTCAACTTATGACCACAGCAGAACCCAAAATTTGCCAACCAAGACAGTTGTTAACTGAATTTTGCCCCGTCTTATGACCTTTCTTGTGACACCTGTTAAAGGAATCACTGCAGTTGTTAAGTTAGAATATGGTTGTTAAGTGAATCTGGCTTTCCCATTGACTATGTATCTATATCTATATCTCTCTTTCTACATTTCTCCTATCTATTTATCTATCTATCTATCTATCTATCTATCTATCTATCTATCTATCTATCAATCATCTACCTACCGACCTACCTATCTCTTATCTAATTTATTGGCACCCATCTTACACCAGGTAACTCTGGGTGGCTTACAATATTAAAAGATAAAACTATATAAATAAAATACTATAAAAATACAAAAATACAAAATACAATTGCTAAAAGATGGAGGGGGAGGGGGTAAGGTGAGTGGAGGAGGGGATCCAATATGAATCTATCTGCCGCCTCCAACATTGAGGTTCCTCCTTTGGAGGCCCGAGCCATCTGGCAGAGCCAGGTTTTTAAGGCGCTTATGGAAGGCCAGGAGGGTTGGAGCAGGCTGCCTTGCAAGGGGCAAATTATTCCAGAGCGCAGGTGTTAACGGCAGAGAAGACCCTTCTCCTGAACCACGCAAACTGGAATTCCCTTGGCCCCCAGCATGCCTCCTTGGCTGGCACAGGTAGGGCGGGCCAATCCCAGTGGAATGAGATGATCCTTTAAGTTATAGGTAGTCCTTGACTTACGACCACAACTGCACCCAAAGCTTTCTGTGGTTAAGAGAGACATTTGTTTGGTGAGTTTTGCCCCATTTTACGACCTTTCTTAAATAATAATAATAATAATAATAATAATAATAATAATAATAATGTTGGAAGGGACCAACCTCATGCTCAGGCAGGAAACCCTACACTATTTCGGACAAATGGCTGTCCAGTCTCTTCTTAAAAACTTCCAGCATTGGAGCATTCATTGCTTCTGGAGGCAGGTTGTTCCACTGGTTCATTGTTCTAACTGTCAGGAAGTTTCTCCTTAGTTCTAGGTTGCTTCTCTCTTTGGTTAGTTTCCACCCGTTGCTTCTTGTCCTGCCTTCAGGCGCTTTGGAAAATAGCTTGACTCCCTCTTTTTTATGGCAGCCCCTGAGATATTGGAATACTGCTATCATGTCCCCCCTTGTCCTTCTCTTCATTAAACTAGACATACCCAATTCCAGCAACAGTTCCTTATATGTTTTAGCCTCCAGTCCCCTAATCATCTTTGTTGCTCTTCTCTGTACTCTTTCTAGAGTCTCAACATCTTTTTTACATTGTGGTGACCAAAACTGGTAAGTGTGGCCTTACCAAGGCATTGTAAAGTGGTATTAATACTTCACGTGATCTTGATTCTATCCCTCTGTTAATGCAGCCTAGCACTGTGTTGGTCTTTTGGGCAGCTGCAGCACACTGCTGGCTCATATTTGTGAATCACTACAGTTAGTAACTCAGACGTTAAGTGAATCTGGATTCCCCCATTGATTTTGCTTGTCAGAAGGTGGCCAAAGGGGATCACGTGACCTTGGGACACAGCAATGGTCAGAGGTGTGAACCAGCTGCCAAGCCTCTGAGTTTTGATCAAATGATCCTGGGGATGCTTCCAAGGCCATTAACTGTGAAAAATGGTCGTTAAGTCCCTTTGTTCAGTGCAGTTCACTAAACGAACCGTTGTTAAGTAGGGGACAATCTATATGCCACCCTTCGCCCAGCATCCAACTTCAGTTGGGGTCTCCCAACCCGCTCAGCACCTCCAGAGGTAACTCTCACCTGCTGATTCGGCTTCTTCACCTCGCTCTGCCTTAGGAGGAAACGCTTTGCCAAGTCTGCCACATGGAAGCAGCTCTTGGAATCCCATTCTTGGACCCAGCTCAGCATCTCCGGGGGCAGGATAGCCAGGAACTGCTCCAGGATCACCAGCTCCAGCATCTGCTCCTTGGTACGCCTCTTGGGCGTCAGCAAAGTGTCCAGAGTTGGCAGTAGGCCTCCCTCGGGCCCTCGGCTTCCCTGTAGCACAGTGGTTCTCAACCTGTGGGTCGGGACCCCATTTGGGGTTGAACGACCATTTCACGGGGGTCGCCAAACAACACAGTCCACCATTTTTTCCCCTTTTCCTTAGCTGTGCTACTCCCTTTTATTCTATTGGCTTTTGAAAGCCAATAGAATAGACTCTCTTGAATAGAGTCTAATTCTATTGGCTTTCAAAAGCCAATAGGAATTGTCCAGGCTGTCTCTGCCCTGCTGAGCCCGCCAAAAGTCCCATTCTGCAAACAGTGCTGCAAGTTGTCTGCAGCGAAGGCAAGCTGTCTAGAAGTTTCCACCCCTCCCTGCTGAGCAACTACTAAAAATGTAAGTAAAAGAGGGTCAGTGGTGGGAGGTGGGAGGCTGGCGGGCGCAGGGAGGGTTACTGGCCCGTGTGGGGCCCGGCGGGTGCCTTACCTCCCTTGGGCTGGGCCAGCTGGTGGCCCAGCCGGTGGTCGCCCTGCGCCGTCTCTGCCCCTTGCCAGCTACGCCTCGGCCGGTGCAGGGGGCGGCACCATGCATGTGCGGCGTTCCCGGGCACGGAAAGTCGTCTTATGACCAGTTGGGTAGTCCTCGACTTATGACCGGTTGAGTAGTCCTCGACTTACGACCGGTTGGGGGTCACGGCATTAAAAAGGTTGAGAACCACTGCTGTAGTGAAACTGTCGGAAATGCCGGCGCTGGCATTCGGAACTGCTGGCCTCGGGGCCCCAAATTTGCTCCTCGCTTCCTCCGCTTGGGATCCTGAGGTCTCTGCTATCCAGTGTAACTTTGGGGACCTTCTCTGCTACAGCCCAGTCGGACACGGCCGCTGCTCCTTTCCAAGTAGACGGGAAAGCCTTGAGGCCCCAAAGAGATGGTCCTTCCGGCCATTGTGGCTCCAGACTTTCATTATTTTCCCGTTTAATGGGCTGAAGTGGGGGGGGTACAACCTTCCTCATAGGACATCGGTCTGCCCAGCCAGATGGGCTTGTCTCTTGGGCTCCAGGTTCTGCTTTTCCGTCTTGATTTCTGGCTTCACGTCTGGGTCAGCGATGACTCTGTGAAGCCCCAAGGTTGAAATCTCTACCTCTCGCTCCAAAGACATGACTTCTCCCCTCCCCCTCCCAGATGAATCTAATTCACTTCTGATCCACCATTTCTTCCTTCAAACGCGGAGGACAATACCCAGCTTTGGGATCCTGCTTTTGGGCTCAATTGTCGTAAATCGAGGACTCCCTGTAATTTTGCTTTAAGAAAATGGTGGCAAAAAAAGGTTGTAAAATTGCGCACAACACACTTGGCAACCATTTTGTTTACTAACAGAATTTCAGATTTCACTTGTGGGGGGGGGGAGGGTGTGTCCTCAGGCTTCTCACCTCCTCCAAGATCAATTCCCTAAAAAAAAAAAAAAGAAGAAGAAGAAATAGAAAAATTCAGGAAAGTAACAAGCAGGACAGAAATATACAAGAGGGCTCCCTCTGGCCGTTCTAGGTTTCAATTCCCATCATCCCCAGCCAGCAGAGCTAATGGCTTTGTGTGAGGTATACTCCTCAAAATCATGTAGGCCCCTAGTTTAGAGCTAGCGTTTGGCCTGTATGTTTCTGCCTAACAGGGCAGAAACATGCTGCCTCAGGATGAAGCCCTGAAGTCTGGCACTCCAAACACATCATGGAACACTGATGATGTTACTTAGTTGGCTGATAAAATGTCTACAGGAAAAACAACCAGGCTCGGAGACCATCAAGAGCTCCACAGTTCAATTCTAAGCTACATATATCTTCTTCCACTGGAATAATTTTACATTTTTAAAGTTCCCCCAGTCCTGATTCTGCTGTTTTCTCCTGAAAGCTATTTCCCCCCCCCCTCTATTGTTGGAAGAGGCTTTACGCTTAACTCCCAATCATCCCCTCCACAGGTAGTCCTCGGCTTACAACCATTCATATAGCAACCATTCAGAGTTATAATGGACCTGAAAAAAATGATTTACAACGATCAGATGACAAGATCAAAATCCAGGCATGTTTGGCAACTGGCATATTTTTTATGGGGATGGCAGCATCCTGAGGTCATGTGATCATCTGCAAGCATCCCAGCCAGATTCTGACAGGCAAAGTGAATGGGGAAGCCAGATCCACTTAACCGAGTTTACTAACTTAACAACTGCAGTGATCCACTTAGCTGTGTCAGGAAAGGTGGTAAAATGGGGCAAAACTCATTTAACTGCCTTGCTTAGCAACGGAAATTTTGGGCTCAACTGTGCTCATTAAGTCGAGGGCTCCCTGTAATTTTGCTTTAACAAGTGTGGCAAAAAGGCTGTAAGATTGGGTACAACACACTTGGCAACCAGTTAGTTTACTAACAAAAATTCAGATTTCCTTGTGGTTGCAAAGGAATGAACATTAATGCTATAAACAGGAGTCTTCACACTTGGCTCTTTTATGACTTGTGGACTTCAATTCCCAGAATTCCTCAGCCAGGCACACTTGCTGAGGAATTCTGGGAGTTGAAGTCCACAGGTCATAAAAGGGCCTAGATTGAAGATCCCTGCTATAAACAAGTTGCCTTCAGATCAGCGGTTCTCAACCTATGGGTCGCGACCCCATTTGGGGTTGATCGACCATTTCACAGGGGTCGCCAAGCAAGGCTGTCCGCCATTTTTTTCCCCTTTTCCGGCCGGTGCCTTACCACCCTTGGGCTGGGCCAGCTGATGGCCCAGCCGGTGGTCGGCCTGCGCCGTCTCTGCCGCTTGCCAGCTACGCCTCGGCCGGAGCAGGGGGCAGCATCATGCATGCGTGGCGCTCCTGGGCAGGGAAAGTCCTCGACTTACAACCGGTTGGGTAGTCCTCGACTTACAACCAGTTTAGTCCTCGACTTACGACCGGTTGGGGGTCGTGGCATTAAAAAGGTTGAGAACCACTGCTTCAGATTATCACTTCCTAGTGGGGCGCCCTGGGTTAAGAGCTGGCCATCCTTTGTTCCCAATCGGACCTCCCTTGCAGGGTTGTGGTTCACCCCAAATGAACCATTCTCACTTCCCAGAGGGGGGGGGGAACACTCACACACACACACACACACACAGTGTAATTGTAAACCGCTTATATTAGGGCTGGCATTTGAATTCAACATGCATTTACGCTGGCTTCTGCTTAGCTTCTATTTCATTAGTTTCTCCCTGATCCTTGATTCACGCAATGGAAAGCCATTCACCGCGCGTCTTCGTCCACTCGCAGTCTTGTGCACGCAATCAAAGGTCGTTTGGAGAGGGCGCAGCGTGTACCCCTTTTCTTTCGACGCTTCCCATTGCTCCCGCCTGGCCCCGCTGCTTCACTTACAGATCCCGAGTAAAGGCCCGAGTGATCCTCCTTGCAACAGAAATTCCGGCCGCAAATAAAGGCGCGCTTGTGCAATAAGACACTCTCCACTCACCCAATTTTAGTTCTAATTAAGCCACACTTGCAATTTAAAGCATGAGAACCCGCTTGCACATTTGCGCGACGACGGATCAATAGAAAGCAGCTCTCTCCGCCCCTTTCCCTGAAGCTTATCCTCTCTAGCAAACTAATCTGAATTTTAACTGTTCAAGGACCGAGGTTCTGCCTCTAATTTTGCCACGGGTGCGGTTTTTCAAAGGATCGGTGGCTGTGAAGAGCAGCACACCTATAAAATTATATTTGTTTTTCGATTGTAATAAGGGCGTTGGGGAGGTGTTCCCGATTATTTTTTTCCTTCTGCCCTTTTATACACTAACACAGTGTTTCTCAACCTTGACAATTTTAAGGCATGTAGATTTCAACTCTCAGAATTCCACAGCCAGCATTGCTGGCTGTGGAATTCTAGGAGTTGAAGTCCACATGCCTTAAAATTGTCAAGGTTGAGAAACACTGAATGGAAGGGACCTTAGAGGTCTTCTAGTCCAACCACCTTGCTCAAGCAGGAGACCTTATACTGTTCTGAACAAATGTCAGCCCAATCTCTTCTTAAAAACCTCTAGTGATGGAGCACCCATAACTTCTAGAGGCAAGTTGCTCCACTGATTGTTCTAACTATGAGGAAATTTCTCCTTAGTTCTAGGTTGCTTCTCTCCTTGATTAGTTTCCATCCGTTGCTTATTGTATTTCCTTCTGGTGCTTTGGGAAATAGGCTGACCCCTCTTCTTTGTGGCAGCCCCTCAGATATTGGAACAGACAAACTCAAAGATTCAGGGTTCAAATCAATGATTTCAAATTAGAATAGAGCTGGAAGGGACCTTGGAGGTCTTCTAGTCCAGCCCCCTGCTCAAGCAGGAGTCCCTATATCAGTGGTTCCCAACCTGTGGGTTGGGACCCCATTTGGGGTCGAACGACCATTTCACGGGGGTCGCCAAACAACGCAGTCCGCCATTTTTTCCCCCTTTTCCTTAGCTGTGCTGCTCCCTTTTATTCTATTGGCTTTTGAAAGCCAATAGAATAGACTCTCTTGAATAGAGTCTAATTCTATTGGCTTTCAAAAGCCAATAGGAATTGTCCAGGCTGTCTCTGCCCTGCTGAGCCCACCAAAAGTCCCAGTCTGCAAACAGTGCTGCACCAGTTTAGTCCTCGACTTACGACCGGTTGAGTAGTCCCCGACTTACGACCAGTTGGGGGTTGCGGCATTAAAAAGGTTGAGAACCACTGCCCTATGTCATTTCCGACAAGTGGCTGTCCAATCTCTTCTTAAAAACCGAGTGATGAAGCACCCACAACCTCTGAAAGCAAGCTGTTCCACTGGTTAATTGTCTTCACTGTTAGGAAGTTTCTCCTTAATTCCAGGTTGCTTCTCTCCTTGATTAGTTTCCATCCTTTATTCCTGGGCCTCAGCTGTGCAAAGGCAATTTCTCCATTTCTACTACCGGTGTTAAAGGAGAAATTCCTGCCATTAACCAATATCTCCATTTATTCCATAATTCTATCAAGTTTTTTAAAAAGGGATTTTGAATTCTCTTAACAATTTTTCAAATATCTTTTTAAAGCAATATGTTTCTATAGAATCGCCTATTTCCCTTAATTCATTCAATTCTATATCGCTCCATAATAAATCTCTATCTGCTATAATATCTGGGACCACCCTTAATTGATTAGCTACCCAATAATTTCTAACATTTGGAAGACCCAGCCCACCCCTTTTTAATGGTTCATACCATAAAGCTTTGCTTATTCTTGCTCTCCTGCCTCAAATACAAATAATACAAACACAACACATATAAATCTAAATAAAAAACAGTATAAAAAAGGTACAAATACTACAGTGCACCCACCCCCCTGGAGACCATTTTTATTACCTATATTTCGTCTCATATAACAACTAACAATATACAATATATTTCAATTGTGCCCTTCTCCCCTCCAAAACAGCATGTATTCTTTTTTTTTTTTTATTAAAAGTTTTATAAATTTTACAAAAAAGAAAAAAGAATACAAAACAAGAGACAACATATACAAAAAAATAAAACTAAACAATACATATATAAAAAAAAAAAAACCCCACCCCTCCCAAAAACCCCCCCCCCCTTCCCCCCCCCTGAGCTTCCCAGAGCAGAATATAGGCTTAAAAAGTAAAAATAAAAATTAAATTAAGAACTTTATATTTATATATATAAAAAGATTATCTATAATATATATAAAAATAAAACTTATGAAAAAACTATATAATATTTTTGTATACCCAATCTAAATTGTATAAATTTTATCCATTTATCCCAAACAGCAAAAAACTTCTCTTGCGTTTGTTGCTTTAAGAAAGCCGAGATCTTTGCCATTTCCGCCAGATAAGCTACTTTAAGAAACCATTCCTGCAATGTAGGCAAGGATTCCTTCTTCCAATATTGTCCTACTAACAGCCTAGCGGCTGTAATCAAATTTAACATCAATACAACCTCCTTTGTATCACAATCTGTAACAATACCTAACAAAAATAATTGCGGAGTAAATTTTACCCTCCTTCTAAAAATTCTCTGGATATTCCACCATACTTTGATCCAAAATGCTTTTATCTCTCTGCATGACCACCAAATATGATAATAGGAAGCCTCCTTATAACCACATCTCCAACATTTGGGTTGCACGTCAGGGTACATATAAGACATTTTTTGTGGATCAAGGTGCCATCTATAAAACATTTTATAAAAATTCTCCCTTAAATTCTGTGCTTGTGTAAATTTGACATTTCTCACCCAAATTTTTTCCCAGGTGTCCAATGAAACTGGCTCACCAAAATTCTGCGCCCATCTTATCATACAATCTTTAATTAGTTCCGTTTCTGAATCCAATTCAACTAAAACCGCATAAATTCTCTTAATGTGGGTTTGTCTTGAATCCTTCACTTGCTTAATAAGATTTTCATCTTCTCTAAGAAAACCCACCTTACAATCCATCTTCCATCTGTCTAATAATTGCCTATATTGGAACCAAGAATAAATAAAGTTTTCTTGTGCTAACTCTTCCCGTGATTTTAATTGCCAGTTTTGTCCATCCCATTTAAGTAACTGTCTGTAGGACACCATATCCATTTTAACCCCTCTTTTTATTGCTTCTATCGCATGCCAAGGTATAGCCCATAATGGTACTTTGAAATCACTTTTATAATATTTTCTCCAAATCCTAAGTAAAGAGATTCTTAAGATATGAGATTTAAAAGCCCAATCCATTTTTTTATTGAATATTAAATAGGCATGCCACCCATAAAGTAAGTCCCATCCCTCTAGATAAAGTATCTCAGAGTTTGTCAAATTTACCCAATCACTGATTAGTGTTAAAACCACCGCATCATAATATAATTTCAAATTTGGTACCTTAAGTCCACCCCTCTCACGGAAGTCTTGCATAATTTTAAACTTAACCCTTGGCTTTTTCCCTGCCCAGATAAATTTATTAAGACCCTTCTGCCACTCATTTAAATTAATCTCATTTTTCAAAATTGGTAACATTTGAAACAGAAAAAGAAACTTGTGTAAAATATTCATTTTTATCACTGCAATTCTTCCCATGAGGGATAATTGCAACTTTTCCCAGTTCTTCAAGTCCTTCTGTACCCTGACCCACAACCTTTCATAATTATTTTTAAATAATTTTACATTAGAAACAGACAACATCACCCCAAAATATTTTACCTTATTAACAATCTCAAAACCCGTCAGGTTAGTCAAAATCTGCTTCTCCTGACTAGACATATTTTTAGGTAAAATTTTGGTCTTATTTACATTAATCTTGAAACCCGAGACCAAGCCATAATGATGACTCAACTGTAATAAGTTTACTACAGAATAATCAGGTTGCGACAAAGTAACAACCAAGTCATCCGCAAAAGCTCTTAACTTCTATTCTTTTTTATTAACATATATTCCTTTAATTTCCTGAGACTCTCGAATTTTGATCAATAATATTTCCAATGTTAAAACAAACAACAATGGCGATAAAGGACACCCCTGTCTAGTACCTTTCTCTATTGTGAAAACCTCCGAAAGACCTCCATTAACAATAAGTTGTGCTGTTTGGTTTTGATATATTACCTTAAGGGCTTGTAATATGTTTTCACCAAAATTCATTTCTTCCATTACTCTTAGCATAAAATGCCAATTCAATTGGTCAAATGCTTTTTCAGCATCTAAAAATATGAGCCCTGCAGGAACTTGGTTGTTCTTATCTAAGTATTCTAATAAGTTAATAATTTGTCTAACATTGTTTTTCATATACCTTCCTGTTATAAACCCTGATTGATCTTTATGCACAAGATGATGCACCACCCTCATAAGCATATTTACCAAAATTTTTACAAATATCTTATAATCCACGTTTAAAAGAGATATAGGCCTATAATTTTTTGGTAAAGTAAGATCTTGATCCTCCTTTTGAATCAATGATATAAAGGCACTACGCCATGAAGGAGGAATCTCTAAACCCTGTAAGATACCATTAAAAAGATCATTTAATGGTTGGATCATCTCCTCCATTAAAGCTTTATAATAAACAGCTGTTAACCCATCCGTCCCCGGTGCTTTCCCTAATTTCAATTGTTGAATTGCTGAGGCAATTTCCTCCTTAGTAATTAAGCCATTAATTTCATATTTCTGATCCTCAGTCAATTTAGGAAAACTTTCCTCAGCTAAATATTTATTTATATCTAACAATTGTACATTAGTAGATTTATATAAGTTTTGATAATAATCCAAAAAAGATTTTTTAATTAATTCCTTCTGAGAAACTCGTTTACCCTTGTAATTTATTTTCTCTATTATTCTCTGTCTCTGTTTCTTTCTTAATTGATAAGCCAACCATCTCCCCGGCTTAGTAGCATTACAAAATGTATTTTGTTTCATAAATAATAAGTTGGTTGCAGCTTGATCTGCTATCAACATATTAAATTGTGACCTTAATAACTTTACAGATTCTTTATTACTTTCATCAGAAGGATTTAGAATCAAAGCCCTTTCTTTTAATTTAATTTCATCCTCAAGTTCTCTACGTTTCTGAATCTGATTTCGCTTATAAAAATTATTCATTTTTATCAAAACACCGCGCATAAATGCTTTACCTGCATCCCATACCATTGACATTGAAGTCCCCGTGTACATATTCAAAGCAAAATAGTCCTTTAAACACTCCTTTAATTTTTGAACATTCTTCTCTTGTCTAAACAAATTTTCATTAACTCTCCAGGATCTTCTTTCCTCTTTCTCTTGAATCAGCTCCATCCCAACTGGACTATGATCCGTCAGTGATCTAGGAAAAATCTTTACATTCTTTACTTTATTATACAAGTCCGTGGTAATCAAGAAAAAGTCAATTCTTGAAAAAGATTGGTGTCTATCAGAAAAAAAGTAAAGTCTCTCTCCTCTTGGTTACGTTCCCGCCAATAATCCCTTAATTCCCAGTCTTCTTTCATATCAAAAAAGGCTTTAGGTAGCCTTGCTTGTTTGAGAAAAGGAGAGGAACCTTTCTTGTCTCTTTGTGTATCTAAGACACCATTCCAATCACCCATTAATACCACTGATCTATAATCAAACAATGTTATTTTTTGATGTAACTGCTTATAAAATTGTTCCTGTTGTTGATTTGGAGCGTAAAGTCCAACTATAAGTATTTTCTTACCATAAATACCAAGTTCAATCATCACATATCTCCCCTGGGGATCTGATTCTACCAGACAAGCTGGTAGGTTTTGTTTAACATATATAACAACTCCCCCTTTCTGCCCAGGAGCAGAAGATATAAAATGAGATCCCAAACGAGCATTAACTAAATATTTCTGATCTTTAAGTAAAATATGAGTTTCCTGTAAGCAAATAACATCATTAGTATGTTGCTTCAAATAATAAAAGATATTTTTGCGTTTCTGAGGAGAATTCAATCCATTAACATTCCAGGTCAAAAACTTTGCCATCTCCCTTGGCACGCAGCCTGGAGAAGACACCATCAAAATCTGAAAGAGCTGCGTGTGTTGCATAACTCTTGGGTCTTGCTCCTCCCACCGGCGGTGATACACTTCCAGGAGAACTCTCTTTAGGCTCTTTTTTACGTTGCTCCTTCTCTTTACGCTTATAGGCTGCACGGGTCATCCTCTGCTCTTTAACCTCCGTCTGGCGTTGCTTTACAGCTTCTATCATCCCAGCTGAAACCAAATCTAATGCCTCAGATTGCTGCTCAACTTCCTTGCCACTCAGAGATTTCCGACCAGATGAAGTTGAGCCTGCACCCAGGACCGAAGTATAAAAATCTCTAGCTTTATCAACTGTGTTCAATCTGTAGCGTGTCCCAGCATGGCTCAAAACAATACCCATCGGAATTTCCCATCTAAATGGCATCGATCTAGCTTTAAGCTCATTGGTTAAAAAAGCAAAGTCTTTCCTGCTTCTTAAAATTTTGGATGGATTTCCTTTAGAATGATGACATCTTGGGCAGCAATCTGAAATCTTTTATTGTAAAAAGCTTGTATAATCTCATTCCGCAGGGACTTCTTTGTAAAATAAATCACCCCATCTCTAGGCAAGTTCTTCTGCTTAGCAATCCAGGAGTTGAGCCTATAAATTTTTTCCACTTCTCTCTGTAATTCTCCTTTATCCATATCCAAGGCCAGCGCCAGATCAGTAAGGACCACCTCCACCAGATCTTGATTCACATCTTCCTTGAGGCCTCTGATCCTCAGGGCATACTCCATTTGTCTGTACTGAAACATCAAAATATCTTCTTGTGAGGAGTCCACCTTCCTTTCCACATCTTGAATTTTGTCATCCAAAGAGTCAACTTTGTCTTCCACTTCCTCAAGCCTTTCATCGAGCTTAACCACCACAGTAGCCAAACCTGAAACAGCTGCCAGTATATCTTGTCGTAATTCATTATTGTTTTCTTGCAATTTAGTCTTTATCCCCGTTATCTCTTCTTTGAGATCAGATTTTATTTCTGATTTAATCTGTGAGACAAATTGATTCATTTCCTCTCTCATTTGAACTACAATCTCTCCCATTATGCCTCTAACCTCTTGTGCTGAAAGTCCAGATAGAGGAGGGGAGGGTGGTGGCTGAGCCGGTGGTACATGTTCAGATTGTTGTTGTAGCTGTGCAGTGGAAGTTATAGGAGAAGAAATAACCTTAGATATTGAGGAAGGCTGCTGCCTCTTTGAAGCCATTTTAAAAAGCACAATTGTCACTTCCCTTTCCCCTCCAGCCAGGAAGGGAGGAGGGAAAAAAAAAGAAAAAAATTTTTTTAAAAAGAGACAAACTATAGTCCTTGAAAGTCCAGAGTAAATCCAAAAAATAAAAAATAAAAGAGCAAACAATTCAAAAGAAAAAATTCTAAACCAAAAACAAAAGTAAAGGCAAAAACCAATCCTTAAAAAGGGAAAGTAAAACAAAAGAGAAAGGAAAAAAAAACTCCGACACTTTCAAAGTGCCATCTTAAATCCTTTCACTAATATAACAAAAAAAAGGAGGAATAATAGTAGAAATCAAAAAATAAAAAAATTAAACACCTAAATTATAACAAAAAATCCTTTAAACTGCTCCGTCCGTTTAAAAATTACTCACCAGAATGCTATAACCACGGAGATAGAAGCGGCGGTTTCTTTTGCTTCCTAGGAAGCAAAAACAGCTGGGAGGCGGAGATCAGCAGGAGCTCCGAGGGAACACTCCTTTCACCCCCTCTAGAAACAAATCCAGAGGGGGTTCAGGGGTTCTACCTCTATCCCTGCACTCTCTATCCCTTCCCTTTGCCCGGGAAGGGATTTCCGAGCCGCGGGCCAGCTGATGCACGCTGCGCTCCGCGGCTCTGACACTTCCCCAGCTGGACGGCTAAAAGCTAGCCGCCATCGCCGTCGCCTCAAACCGGAAGCTCCCCCTCTCTCACAGCATGTATTCTTGAGCAGGTTTATTCCCTTTGCCTTCCACCAAGACTGTTTTTATAAAATCCTCCCTTATTTCATTATAACTATTTACTTTAATCATCCCTTTTTAAAATTTAATTTATGTTAATTTATCATTTATTGCCATGTTCCATATTTCATTATACCACTCATTTCTTTGAATAACCCAATTCCGTCTCCAATATTTGACCATCACTAATCTAACTGCCATTATCAAATTTACAATCAATTCCTTTTTTGCTTCATTTATATCTTGTTTTTCCACCAGTAACAGTAATGCAATCCTCAGTGACGTATCTAAATTTACCTTCAAAAGTTCTGTAATTTCCCTAAGCACCATGTCCCATATCTTTTGTGCGCTATCCCACCACATATGTTTATATGTTCCGATCTCTTTCTCGCACCTCCAGCAAATATTTGTATATTTAACATCTATTTGATTTAATTTGCGTGGTGTTAGGTACCATCTCCATATCACTTTATATCCATTTTCCTTAACTCTGACGTATTCTTATATAATCTTCTGTTCCAAATATTTTTTCAAATCTTTATCGTTTTATTTCTCCTAAATCTGTTTCCCAGATTAATTTTAAACCTTTTGCCTGATCTTCAGTTCAGTTAATATTCTGTATATTTTTCCCAATTCTTCCTTAACCTATATATTCATTTTCCTCACTTTCTTTTATAATCATTTCAAATTTTGTTAACTGTCTATCTTTTACCTCAATTTTTTCTTCCACTTTTATCCATTTCTCTAATTGTATTAAATTCAACCATTTTAATTTAGTATCTGATAAAATATTAATTGTATTATATTCTTTATCTTGTTCTTCCAGTCTTCCCATTTATATATATGATTTTTTTTTAAAATTTATTAATCCAATCTTTCAATTTAATCTTAGGAAATTTTTCCATTTCTACTACCGTTGTTAAAGGACAAATTCCTGGCATTAACCGGTATCTCCATTTATTCCTTAATTCTATCGAGTTTTTTAAAAAGGGATTTTGAATTCTCTTTAACAATTTTTTAAATATCTTTTTTAAACCAATGTTTCTATAGAATCGCCTGTTTCCCTTAATTCATTCAATTCTATATCGCTCCATAATAAATCTCTATCTGCTATAATATCTGGGACCACCCTTAATTGATTAGCTACCCAATAATTTCTAACATTTGGAAGACTCAGCCCACCCTTTTTTAATGGTTCATACCATAAAGCTTTGCTTATTTTTGCTCTCTTGCCTCCGTTGCAATACACCTCCAGCAATCTCTGTATTTCCTTTAATTCTTGATCCAAAAACTTAATTGGGATCATCCAAAACAAAAAATTTAATTTTTGATAAAACATTGCTGCTTTCTAACACCTACGGGAAACCACTAAGGGAGTCCACCCATCCTATGATACCCCATTATGTATAGGTAGTCCTGGACATATCCCATTTTATTTAGCGACCATTTGAAGTTACAAAAGTGCTAAAATAGTGACTTATGACCATTTTTCACACTTACAACCATTGCAGCATCCCCCTTGTCACGTGATCAAAATTATGACACTTGGCAATTGACTCAGATTTGTGAGTTTCAGTGTCCTGGGGTCATGTGATCTCCTTGGGGATCCTCCTGGACTCATGGCTCCTGCTTGAGAAGATCATAGGTGGGGGAGGGGCTTTGCAGAGATTTATCTGGTGTGGCAACTGTGTCCTTTCCTAGACCAGGGAGGCCTTGCACAGGCCTCAATCAGGCCTCGGTCACCTCCAGTTTGTATCATTGCCCTGGACCACCGGGAAACCTCTAACTCAGTGGTTCTCAACCTGTGGGTTGGGACCCCATTTGGGGTCGAACGACCATTTCATGGGGGTCGCCAAACAACGCAGTCCGCCATTTTTTTCCCCTTTTTCTTAGCTGTGCTACTCCCTTTTATTCTATTGGCTTTTGAAAGCCAATAGGAATTGTCCAGGCTGTCTCTGCCCTGCTGAGCCCACCAAAAGTCCCATTCTGCAAACGGTGCTGCACCAGTTGAGTAGTCCTCGACTTACGACCGGTTGGGGGTCACAGCATTAAAAATTTGAGAACCACTGCTCTAACTGGTCCAGAATGCCCCAACACACAAAGTAATGAGGGCCTCTACGTTGCCCATATCACATTTTTGTGGTGCGAACTGCCGCAGGCTTTGTTTCTTTACAGGTCCAATGGAAGATGCTGGTCATCACATTTAAAGGTATTTATTTATTGTAGCAATTGCACTTGGCATTAATACACCACCCCAATGTGCTTTATAGCACTCTCGGCTTACAGTGTCAGCATATTCTCCCCAACAATCTGGGTTCTCAGTTTACCGATCTCAGAAGGACAGAGGGCTGAGTTAGCTTCAAGCCCCCTCAGGACCAAATAAAATGTTCCACTTTATTATTTCTGCATCTATCTGTTCTACCAGGTCAGATAAGTGCACCTAGCCCCTTTCCTTAACTATTGTCATCTGATAGGAGCTAGGAAGTGAGCCTTTTCTGCGGCAGACACTGCCCTATGAGACACTCTTTCCCCTGAAGAATGGCAGGCCATTATCCTCCTAGTCTTCGTTAAAGCAAGGAAGATCTAATCCTGTGGTTAACGTCTCCAATTTAGCTCTTTGCAAGGAGAAAGATGACCACTTTTGAACAAGAATGGCACAAGGAGGGCCATAATAGAGCCAGGTGGCCTGGCATATACATTTTCTTAACAAATAATATATTTATGTGTAGAAGTAACTCAAGGCGGCAAACACACTTAATACAGATGCAAGCTGGCTTTCACTGTCCCAGCACAGCAGTTCCCCTTGACTCTGTGGAAGGGAGTGACCACACTGGGCCAGAGAAAGAAAGCTCAGATCTTCTCCCTCATGTTTGATACTAAAACACATCTGACTAAAAAGAATATGGCAAGAAATTAAAAGTTTAGTTTCTCAGCTGTGCTTCCTATTAGAGAAGAAAAATGAAATTCAACATTCCTCTACACACATCAAATTTTGCCTGTGTGATTTCTTGTGTCTGAAAAAGGCAGTATAATATGTGAAACATTTTCCACAATCTGGGCATTTGAATGGTTTCTCTCCTGTGTGTAACCTTACATGATTTATAAGGCTAGACCTACTACTGAGATCTTTCCCACAATCCGGACACTCATACGGCTTCTCTCCTGTGTGAGTCCTCTGGTGTATCACCAGCTCAGCGTTCCATCTGAAATTTTTCCCACAATCTATACACTCATGCGGTTTCTCTCCCGTGTGATTCCTCTGGTGTATTACCAAGTAGGAATTCTGACTGAAACATTTCCCACAGTCACGACATTTATATGATTTCTCTTCTATGTGAGTAGACTGATGTTTCACCATATTATATTTCTGAGAGAAACTCTTTCCACAATCTGGGCATTCATATGGTTTCTCTCCTGTGTGAGTCCTCTGATGTCTAAACAGGTAGGAATTACAAGTGAAACGTCTTCCACAATCTGGGCACTCATACGGTTTCTCTCCTTTGTGAGTCCTCTGATGATTAACTAGGTGGGAACTCTGACGGAAACTTTTCCCACAATCTGGACACTCAAATGGTTTCTCTCCTGTGTGAGTCCTCTGATGTCTAATCAGGTTGGCATTCCGAATGAAACTTTTCCCACAATCTGGACACTTATATGGTTTCTCTCCTGTGTGAGTCCTCTGATGATTAACCAGGTGGGAATTTCGAATGAAATTTTTCCCACAATCAGGACATTCATATAGTTTTTCTCCTGTGTGTATCCTCTGGTGTCCCACCAGGTAGGAATTCTGACTGAAACTTTTCCCACAATCCAGACACTTGAATGGTTTTTCTCCTGTGTGAGTTCTCTCATGTAAGACCAGGTTGGAATTCTCACTGAATCTTTTTCCACAATGCAGACACTCATATGGTTTCTCTCCTGTGTGAGTTTTCTGGTGTCTAAACAGGAAGGAATTAAGCCTGAAGCTTTTCCCACAATACAAACATTCATATGGTTTCTCTCCCGTGTGAGTCCCCTGGTGTCTTACCAGGCAGGAATTCCGAATGAAACTTTTCCCACAATCTGGGCACTTATATGGTTTCTCTCCTGTGTGAGTCCTCTGATGTCTAACCAGGCTGGAATTTCGAAAGAATTTTTTCCCACAATCAGGACATTCATATGGGTTTTCTCCTGTGTGTATCTTCTGGTGTCCCACCAGGTAGGAATTTTGACTGAAACGTTCCCCACAATCCAGACATTTGAACGGTTTTTCTCCTGTGTGAGTTCTCTCATGTATCACCAGGTTGGAATTCTCACTGAATCTTTTTCCACAATGCAGACACTCATATGGTTTCTCTCCTGTGTGAGTTTTCTGGTGTCTCACCAGTTTTGAATTCCCAGTGAAACTTTTTCCACAATCCAGACACTTATATGATTTCTCTCCTGTTTGAGTCCTCTGGTGAATCACCAGGTTGGAATTATGACTGAAACTTTTCCCACAATACAGACATTCATATGATTTCTCTCCCGTGTGAGTTCTTTGGTGCTTTATCAGACTGGAATTCTGACTGAGACTTTTCCCACAAAAAGGACATTCAAAGAGTTTCTCCTCATTATGAGTCCTCATGTGTATGACAAGATGGGAACTCTGACTGAAACTTTTCCCACAATCCAAACATTGATATGGTTTATCTCCCGTGTGAGTTCTCCTGTGTATGTCGAGATGGCAATTCTGACTGAAACTTTTTCCACAATCCAAACATTGATATGGTTTATCTCCCGTGTGAGTCCACTGGTGCTTTACCAGGTTGGAATTCTGACTGAAACTTTTCCCACAAACGGGACATTCAAAGCGTTTCTCCCTAATGTGAGTTCTCTTGTGTCTCACCAGATTGGTGTTCTTGCTAAATCTTTTCCCACACTGGGAGCACTGGTAGAGCTGCTCCTCCTGCATCGGTCCTTCCATGAATAATGGGAGTGCTGTTCTGAGTAAAGCTTTTGCCACCATCCAAACATTTGCATGGGTTTTCAAGAGGTGGATGGACTTATGCAAACATCAGATGTGATCTGCAATCTGTGTTCTTCCCAAAATAGGCAGTCAGTGGGATTTTTCCAACACTGATATTCTTGGATTCATGAGGAGGTCAAAAATATTTCTGATGACCTTGTCTGGTGGTGCTTTGATCCAAGATGCTTTCCTTCCTCAAACGCTTTCATTAATGCCTTTGTACTTTTTCATGCAATATTTTCTTGAGTTCCATATTTTTTTCTACCTGAAATCTCTGTTCCTGTTATTCTCTCCTTTGTCTCCCGCCATGGAAAAGATTTTGATTGATGGTTTGTTTTGCATTTTAATGCTGCTTCTCATTCTCTGTTGTCCGGAGTGCTTTTCTTGACATCTTCTCTGTCTATACGATTCATATTAATGGATTAGTTTCATTAGTGTTTAAAAAATGGCTGCTGAACCTGTGAAAACAGCAAAAAAATCCATTTATCACTATGAAAAAGCAAACATATCAAAATGCTAATTTAAACTCTAAGATTCATTATGATTTATCAGGCACAAAGGAGACTAGCAAAATCAAACTTCAAGTATCCACTCATATTTCAAATCATGGAATTCTCTTCTTGGCTTGGGTAAATCACAATTTATTATCATTGCAAATAGTTGTTACAAAAATACCTGAAAATACTTAGGTCTATACAAATACATATATATGCACACATAAATACACACCTATAAATTTATATATGTGGAAAATCTATGTGAATTTCGGACTTTCAAAATGTTTCAGAAGTGGATTCACTTAATTTGTCTGATCTAATTTTAGAAAGCTGGGGACACTAACAGATGAAACGGTGCCCAAAGCCTATGCGAGATTTAAAGCACCCGTTTTAACCCCAAAAGTCCTCACTTGCCAGGAAAACATGTCAATAATATCACAAGGAATGAAGAGCGACAGAGGCAGGCTGTTAAAAAATATGAAATAAAGATTTTTTAAATGTCCTAATTTTTTCCATCTCCCAGCAGAAAATCACAGGCAGCAGTTTTAAATCATGCAGCGTAAGGATAAGAACATTTGGGGAGAGAAAGAATATGCAGCAGCAGCCGACACGTTTCAGCCTCGTCCCTTCGCTGCTTCCACACCGCGGAGGAAACCAAACAGCCCGACTTGCTTCCAGCCTCTACTCCGACCTGCCCTCCACTCACCTCCCGGGAGCCGCTTCGACCCTCGAGGCACCGGAAGAGGACCCGCGACGCCATTCTCCTCCCATAAGTGAGCCGAAAAAGGAAGTTCCTCTGTCCTTTCCCCAAAGTCCTCTCTAGCAGTCCAATCCTCTATCGTTTCCATTTGTTCCGGCTCAGCCTCTCTTCCTCCCGTATGACGTTGGCACTAGCGATGCGGCTGCTCTGTACAGAACTGTATTTTCCACTTGCTAGGTACGAGTGTTGCTTCTCTGTAGAGCGCCATCTAGCGACATAAGGTTGAACATCACGCTCGTCCTATCTCTTCCCTAAAGCGTTTGCAAGGCGTTTTCATGGATTCCCTGGTTCTTTGGGGGCCGTGAAGTCGTATTCGAATCCCACCGAGCACATCGATAGCTTTTGTCCAGGACAATCTATTCTAAACCTTTTCTTTCAGGACTCCCAAGAGGGCAGTCATCGTCTCTCTTCCTGCAACTAAATCAAAGGAAAATGGCCAGGGGGGGGGGGAATTATGTACAACAGCCAAGGAGAAAGTGCACCTCTCTTGAGGGCTGGTGAAGATTGTTCCAGCCAGTTTTTCATCTTGGGGGTTGGAGGTGCAGGATAACTCCCTGAAACCTGCCTCTGCAACTTAGCGAACCTGTAAAATTAAAGCTTGACCCCTTGTCTGGTCTGTGATTTTATTTTCTTTTACTTCCATGTTTAGCTAATGATAAATATGCATCAATACGATAAATCTTCAGAGTCAGTTAAACCTACAATACTATGGAAACTAATTGAATAGAAAAATAAGTACAATTGGTGGGAGTCAGGAAAAGATAACATAAAGGAAGTAAGATAAATACATAGGCAAAAATAGCTGAGTCTGAGAAAGGAAGACGAGAAGCCATAAAAATATATATAGCTGTAAAAGGAAATGGCTAATCAGGAAAGACATGTTGAATTAGAAAACAGGAAAATAAGCTGAATAAGATAAAAGGAAAGGCACACTGAATTGAAAAACAGGAAAAGAACCTATTGTTTTAAAATGGAGACATAAATATCTACAGAGTTTAAAATAACCATTTAAATGTCTAATTTTTTTACTATTGTATATGTGAATATGATTTAATATGTTATCAGGAAATGTGTATAAGCAGACGGAAAGTGTATCCTCATAGTACCTCAGCCAATGGGGAAAGAGGAGGGATGTAGGGGCCGGTGATAGGGATGAATAAAAGGAGGAAATATTTTGGGTTAAAAGTTTGAAGAGAACCAAGCTTTGACAGCTTCTCTTCCGCTTATTGCAATAAACGAAACAAAAGGCTTTCACTGTGTCTTGGCTGGTTATTGGTCAGGCGAGCTTGCCTCTGGTCATGAAGGAAAGTAGCCAGGAGCACATAACAGCCTTGGGGGCTCCTCCGGGATTTGCATCCATTCTATCATTGGCAGCTGGGGATATCTGGAGAGGAGTGCGCACCTGGGTAAGTTTTTTTCCCCAGCCCTAAAGGTCAGATCACTCCTGCTGGAACAAAGAGGAAATGGAGATCCCGAGACAGAAAGTCAGGACCCAGTGACAACTTAAGGGAAAGGCCACAGAGGGATGTTTAATATGTAAAAAGGTTAACAAATATCAGAGTGTTAAGGTCCCCAAAGGAGGGAGATAAATAGCTATTAGACCAGTGGTTCTCAACCTTTTTAATGCCGCGACCCCCAACCGGTCGTAAGTCGAGGACTACTCAACAGGTCGTAAGTCGAGTACTACTCAACTGTGCAGCACCATTTGCAGAATGGGACTTTTGGCGGGCTCAGCAGGGCAGAGACAGCCTGGACAATTCCTATTGGCTTTTGAAAGCCAATAGAATTAGACTCTATTCAAGAGAGTCTATTCTATTGGCTTTCAAAAGCCAATCGAATAAAAGGGAGTAGCACAGCTAAGGAAAAGGGAAAAGAAAATGGTGGACTGCGTTGTTTGGTGACCCCTGTGAAATGGTCGTTCGACCCCAAATGGGGTCCTGACCCACAGGTTGAGAACCACTGTATTAGACCCTTTCAGTATGTGCATAATAGATTTTACTGAAATGCCTAAGATAGGGAAATTAAAACATCTACTTGTGTTGATAGATCATTTGACTGGGTGGGCAGAAGCATTTCCTATCACCTCTGCCACAGCTAATGCAGTGGCCAAAGTTATTTTGGAAGAAATACTTCCAGGATATGGTATTGTGGAAGCATTTGACAGTGATAGCGGAACTCATTTCACTGCAAAGGTGTGACAAATAATAATGGACTCTTTGGGGATCAGGTGAGAACACCACACAGCTTGGCACGCTTCTAGTTCTAGAAGGGTAGAAAAAGCAAATCAAACTTTTGAAAGATCAATTAAAGAAATTAATATTGGAAACCAGGATGCTCTGGAGCAAAGTATTACCATCGGCCCTATTTAGGATTAGAACTAAACCAAGGGCCGATGTAGGATTATCACCTTATGAATTGATGTTTGGATTGCCATTGCCAAAGATAGAAGGTGAGGGCATTCTACCTGAAATATCTGATTTGTTTATTAAAAGATATGTGGAACAAGTACTGGGGTCTCTGTCTTCTCTTTGACAGGAAGGCTTGGTGGCACAAACAGCTTCTTTGGAATTTCCAGTCCAGAAGATCCAGCCGGGACAATGAGTGCTAATTCGTAAATGGAAGGAGGAACCTTTACAACCAAGCTGGGTCCTTACCTAGTGTTAATGATTACTGAATCTGCTGTCCGGACGGCTGAAAAGGGTTGGACTCACTACACGAACAAAGGTGATGACTGGACCTGAAAGAGGTTGGACGGTTATTCCAGGACAAGGACTGAAAGCCACATTTAAAAGAACTTGAAGGGTGGTGGAACAGAATCCCCATCTATTTCAAACATCTCTATTAGGGGTAGGCAACCTTGGCTCTTTTATGACTCATGGACTTCAACTCCCAGAATTCCTGAGCCAGCCACGCTGAGGGAAAGGGAGAGGTTTCCAAGCTGAGCCATGTTGGCTCAGGAATTCTGGGAATTGAAGTCCACGAGTCATAAAAGAGCCAAGGTTGCCTACCCCTGCCCCAGACGAACAACAAAAGTGTTGGTGGTGACTCATGAGAAATGTGAAAGTGGTTTGTTACAAGTAAAACCAATAACTGAGACAGAAGTCACACCATTAGAAACTGAAAAAGTAGATTTGCAAATTGTAAGAATTAGGTGGTAGATGTGTCACCTCTGTAATAGCTAGTGTGATTAATGTTATTGTGTGAATGTTGTAATTGTGAATCAATTTACGGGTGTAAGATATCGTGTAATAATCATGAGGGGGGGGATTCTAACTCTAATATTCCTGAAGATAACACACCAGAACAACCTGGGAAATGAAGGTAAAAATTTGTGGAATTTGCAGAACAAGTGCATAAGGTGTTCAATTTAACCAAATGTTGGGTGTGTGGCAGGCCTTTGATAGCTCAATGGCCTATGAGAGCAGTTCCTTTGAGCCCCCATTTCCTTCTCCCTGACGCTGAGGATTACACTAGCAATTGGACTGATACTAATCGACATATGTGGGAGTTAAGTAATGTTCCGACTGGCTTCTTTTGTTTAAATAGAAGTAAAGGACATCAAATGTTGGGGGAAAGTCAATGTATTTGGACTCAAACATATGACAAGATTCCACTTACAACAGGCCCTGTAAACTACTCAACTTAAAACAACATACACTAAAAAACCAATGTTCTTATGCAGCAAATAGGTTAAGATTGGGATGCTTATGCAGAAAGCAAAATAGGGAAGAGACAGTAAAACAGTTAACAGAATGGATCTGGGGTTGGAGACATATAAATGGAACATTAACCGTAGGATTCACTGAATATTGGAACATTTATAAATGGCCTACAACAGATAAATGTACAAGGGAAAGTATATAGATGTGTAGGAACAACCTTGTGGGCTATGCCTGTGCCACATGGAGGACAATATCTGACTATAGCACCAGTTGGATGGGATGGCAATTGTAAGGGACCTTTTTCTAAGGGACAGCCAGCAAGAAAAGGTCAATACTGGATATGTGGGTCAAGGACATTGCCCCCAAATTGGACTGGAATCTGCTATCCAGGGGTAGTGATACCTGAATTCTTTTTATTAGAAAATGAAAAGGATAATGAAATACAAATCCCTTCGTATAAAAAATATAGGGGAAAGAGGGAAATAGCTAAAACCCCAGAACAGAATTGGAAGGGTGTATGGTCCACAAATAAAAGAATTACAACCAGTGACCTGGAATTGGTGGACCATAGGAGGATATAGAGGAGTATATAGTTTGACCAATGGAATAATAAGATTACAAGCTGTGGTAGAAGTAATAGCTAATCGAACAGTTAGAGCTCTAGAATTACTGGCTACTGAGGTAGGACAAATTAAAGAAGCTGTAATTCAAAATAGAATGGCTTTAGATTATATATTAGCTTCTGAAGGAGGAGTATGTGGAAAATTTAATTACACTAACTGTTGTTTACAGATAGATGATAATCATGAAGCAGTGATGGACATTGCAAAAGGAATCAGGAATGTGGCCAAAGGTTCTGAACAAAAGTATGAAAATATGTGGGGTGATTGGAGTTGGTTAACAAATTGGCTTCCCAATTTTGGATAGTTAAAACAAATATTTATAGGACTAGTGTTTATAGTTGTGATAGGTATTATGTGTTGTGTTTGTCTCCAATGTTTACCCTGCTGTAGTTCATTTTGCACGAAAACATTGGGGTCAGTAGCGAAAAGCATCTCTGGAGAAGATGTACAGATTCAATTTATGTTATCTAACATAGCCAAAAATGAAGATTCATCAGAGTATACAGAAATACAGGGGGGATTGATAAATATGCATCAATATGATAAATCTTCAGTTAAACCTACAGTACAATGGAAACTAATTGAATAGAAAAATAAGTACAATTGGTGGGAATCAGGAAAAGATAACATAAAGGAAGTAAGATAAACACATAGGCAAAAATAGCTGGGTCTGTGAAAGGAAGAAGAGAAGCCTATATATATATACACATATAGCTGTAAAAAGAAATGGCTAGCCAGGAAAGACATGTTGAATTGGAAAACAGGAAAATAAGCTAAATAAGATAAGAGGAAAGGCACACTGAATTGAAAAACAGGAAAAGAACCTATTCTTTTAAAATGGGGACATAAATATCTACAGAGTTTAAAATAACCATTTAAATGTCTAATTTTTCTTATTGTATATGTGAATATGATTTAATATGTTATCAGGAAATGTGTATAAGCGGACGGAAAGAGTGTAACCTCATAGTACCTCAGCCAATGGGAAAAGAGGAGGGATGTAGTGGCCGGTGATAGGGATGAATAAAAGGAGGAAATATTTTAGGTTAAAACTTTTAAGAGAACCAATCTTTGAAAGCTTCTTATCCACTTATTGCAATAAATAAAACAAAAGGCCTTCACTGTGTCTTGGCGGTTATTGGTCAGACGAGCTTGCCTCTGGTCACGAAGGAAAGTAGCTAGGAGTGCGTAACAGCTAACAAGCCCATATTTCCTACTGGTGCCCCATCTCTGCTAAGCAATGGAAATTTGGGCTCGAATTGCTGTCACAACCCGAGAACTACCTATAGTTCTTTTCCAAGTTCAGGAGAGGGCTGGAAGAATCATTTCCCCCCTTCTGCACAGTTGGCATCCTGGCCAGCTTCATATCTTGAACAGCAGTTTGCTGTGCATAAGAAAATCATGACAGGTTTTCCTGGCAGAGGATTTCAAGACATTGCTGAAGATTAAGATCTTTTCTAAGTGCATCTGAGTAGGACAATGAGAGGTTGGCAATCTGGAACTTCAACTCGCCCTCTGCCTGCAGCTCTGACTTTGCCACCCGCAGAAAGGGCTGTGCAGGAGAAAGAGATCTGGGCCCTTCTCGGTCTGGGTTCAGGCCGGGACACATAACCAAAACGGCCTTGGTTGCAACTCTCATGGATTTTTGGAGACCTCGGGATAGATGGGGTACAACCATCATGTCCCTCCTAGACATCTCATCAGCTTTTAGTACTGTATCATCGACCATGATATCATTCTGAACAGACTTTGGGGACTTCTGTCTCCATGGCTGTTGTAGGATTCATTGTCTAGTTGAAATAAACCATCAGAAGCCAAAAGTTCCAAGAGAAAACGATGGTAATTTATTTGTACTCCTTTGCAAGGGGTGTGTGCTCCTTGTGCATGCAAACAAACAGTGGACACAACCCAAATATTCAATATTTGTTCTTTATATCCCCCCACTGCCATTACAAATTTACCTCCCATCTTTTCTTCATTGGCTTAATAATCATGCTGTAATCGTGTCATCACAACCTATCCAGAGCTTCTAAAGTGAATATATTATCTCCGCCAATTACTTCTCCCATTCCCCTAATTCAGGGGTAGGCAACCCGAAACACTCAAAGAGCCACTTGGACCCGTTTCCCACCAAAAACAAAACACTGGGAGCCGCAAAACCCTTTTGATATCTAAAATGAAGTTAACACTGCATATATCTTTTTTTTTACCTTTATTATAGGTATATATGTATGTGTGTGTGTGTATACATATATATGTGTGTGTGTGGGTGTGTTTTCTGAGGTTTTCGCGGGTGTTTGTATGTAGGTCTTTGGTTATTCGGGTTTTCTCCCGTGTAAAATTGGAAGTGTCTTGGCGACGTTTTGACGAAGTCCCATTCGTCATCTTCAGGCTGGTGTTTTCAGCTTCGTGCTTCGTGCTCCTTGAAGCACGAAGCTGAAAACACCAGCCTGAAGATGACGAATGGGACTTCGTCAAAACGTCGCCAAGACACATCCAATTTTACGCGGGAGAAAACCCGAATAACCAAAGACCTACATATATATATATACACCGTAATTTCCAGCGTATAAGACGGCGTATAAAACGACCCCCGACTTTGGCACCGAGTCGCATGCCTAGAAAGTTGTCTTATACACCGGAAACTACCGTAATTTCCGGTGTATAAGACGACTCGGCATATAAGACCCCCGACTTCGGTGCCGATTTTACCGCTTGCGAAAGTCGTCTTATACGCCGGAAAGTACGGTACATATATATATTTATTTCTGAGGTTTTCGCGGGTGTTTGTATGTAGGTCTTTGGTTCGGGTTTTCTCCCGCGTAAAATTGGAAGTGTCTTGGCGATGTTTCGAAACGTCACCAAGACACTTCCAATTTTATGCAGGAGAAAACCCGAATAACCAAAGACCTATATATATGCATATGTATATGTGTGTGTATACACACAAACATACATCATAAAGGTAAAAAAGGATATATGCAGTGTTATCTTCATTTTAGATGTCAAAAGGGTCTCTCTCTGTCTCTCTCCTTTCCCTCTCTCTCCCCCTCCCTCTCTCCAATCTTCTGCTCACCTGGCAAGCTGGCTTCAAGCTGTTCTCCAACAGGCAACCTTGGCTCTTTTATGACTCATGGACTTCAATTCCCAGAATTCCTAAGTCAGCATAGCTGGGCTAGCTAGCTCTTGCCTGCCCTTCCTGCTTCCTGCAGAGACGCACCAAAGGGAGGAACCCCGTCCAATAAGCTTTCCAGCTCATTGGAGAACACCGTTTTGAGTCCACTCTTTTTTACACACACACACACACACACACAGAGGGAGGGAGGGAGGGAGGGAGGGAGAGAAGGGAAGCACAAGTGCCTCTCTCTGTCTCTGCAAATGGCAGAGGCAGCTGGGAGCCACAGGGGAAGGCTCAAAGAGTCACATGTGGCCCCAGAGCCACAGATTGCCAACCTGTGCCCTAATTCTATGGCCCCTGGCCCTTATTTACGAATTATCTTTTATAGCTGTTAGTTCCTAGGGGTTTTCTCTAAAGTTGCTATCATATCAGTAAATTCTGGTTAGGATTGGTTTTCAGCGTAGCAGAGACCTTCCTAGATACAATTCTCAAGTTCAAGCTAGGCTCACGAGATTAAAATATATACAATTTATTTGCTTCAGAGGCTAGCATGTCTTCTCATAGTTCTGTGAAAACAATAAGCTCTTTTTTCCATACTGGTTCCACTCGTTGTGGAGTCGGGCATCTCGCAATTCAGGAGGCCCCGGGAGAAAAGCCTTACACTGCTGCTTTCTAACATCTACATGAAACCACTAGGGAAGGCCATCCATCCTATGATACCCCATTATGCACAGGAAGTCCTGGACTTATAACATTTTATTTAGCGATCATTTGAAGTTACAACAGTGCTAAAAAAAGTGACATGACCATTTTTCATACTTACAACCACTGCAGCATCCCCCTTGTCATGTGATCAAAATTATGGCGCTTGGCAATTGACTCAGATTTGTGAGTTTCAGTGTCCTGGGGTCATGTGATCTTCTTGGGGATCCTCCTGGACTCATGACTCCTGCTTGAGAAGATCATAATTGGGGGAGGGGCTTTGCAGAGATTTATCTGGTGCACCGTGTCCTTTCCTAGACCAGGGAGGCCTTGCACAGGCCTCAATCATGCCTTAGTCATCTCCAGTTGGATCACTGCCCTGGACCACCCAGAAATTATAACTGGTCCAGAAAGAACCAAAGCACAAAGTAATGAGGGCCTCTAGGTTGCCCATATCATATTTTTGTGGTGCGAGCTGCCGCAGGCTTTGTTTCCTTACAGGTGCAATTGAAGATGCTGCTCATCACATTTAAAGGTATTTCTTTATTGTAGCAATTGCACTTGGAATGAATACACCACCCCACTGTGCTTTATAGCACTCTTGGCTTACAGTGTCAGCATATTCTCCCCAGCAATCTGGGTTCTCATTTTACCAATCTGAGAAAGATGAAGGGCTGAGTTAACTTCGAGCTCCCTCAGGATCAAATTCCAGGCTGTGGGCAGAGTCAGCCAGCAATATTGCATTCTGACCACTGAGCCAACAGAGCATCTGTCATTAATGTTCCACTTTATTATTTTTGCATCTATCTGTTCTACCAGGTCAGATAGGGTGGGCATGCACCTAGCCCCTTCCCTTAACTATTGCCATCTGATAGGAGCTAGGAAGTGAGCCTTTTCCGCGGCAGACCCTGCCCTAAGAGACACTCTTCCCCCTGAAGTATGGCAGGCCATTAGCCCCCTAGTCTTCGGTAAAGCAAGGAAGATCTAATCCTGTGGTTAATGTCTCCAATTTAGCTCTTTGCAAGAAGAAAGATGACAACCTTTGAACAAGAATGGCACAAGGAGGGCCATAATAGGGCCAGGCGGCCTGGTTAATTTCTAATTTGAACGAAAGCAAGAATCATGGTTTTAGGATTCCATGACCATCCAAACGCCATCAACCCTGCTAGAGGTGCGCTGTATTTGAGGGCAAAGGTGGAGGCTTTGAACGTTGCCATTTTGCAACATATGCAATTTATCAGTTTCTGTATTAAGGTTTTACTACTGCAAGCCGCCCACTCACCATGAGTTGGGTTGGCATATACATTTTCTGAACCAATAATATATTTATGTGAAGAAATAGCTCAAGGCGGCAAACACAATACAGATGCAGGTTTGCTTTCACTGTCCCAGCACAGCAGTTCCCCTTGACTCTGTGGAAGGGAGCGACCACACTGGGCCAGAGAAAGGAAGCTCAGATCTTCTCCCTCATGTTTGATACTAAAACACATCTGACTAAAAAGAATATGGCAAGAAAAATTAAAAGTTTAGTTTCTCAGCTGGGCTTCCAATTAGAGAAGAGAAATGAAATTCAACATTCCTCTACACACATCAAATTTTGCCTGTGTAATTTCTTGTGTGTGAAAAGGGTAGAATAATATGCGAAACATTTCCCACAATCTGGGCATTTGAATGGTTTCTCTCCTGTGTGTAACCTTACATGATTTATAAGGCTAGATCTACTACTGAGATCTTTCCCACAATCTGGACACTCATACGGCTTCTCTCCTGTGTGAGTCCTCTGGTGTATCACCAGCTGTGACTTCCTTCTGAAATTTTTCCCACAATCTACACACTTATATGTTTTCTCTTCCGTGTGAATCCTCTGGTGTTTCACCAGGTAGGAATTCTGACCGAAACATTTCCCACAATCATGACATTTATATGATTTCTCTTCTATGTGAGTAGACTGATGTTTCATCATGTCACCTTTCCGAGAGAAATCCTTTCCACAATCTGGGCACTCATATGGTTTGTCTCCTGTATGAGTCCTCTGATGTTTAAACAGGTAGGAATAACAAGTGAAACCTTTTCCACACTCTGGGCATTCATACGGTTTCTCTCCCGTGTGAATCCTCTGGTGTCCCACCAGGTAGGAATTCTGACTGAAACTTTTCCCACAATCCAGACACTTGAATGGTTTTTCTCCTGTGTGAATTCTGTTGTGTATCACCAGACTGAAATTCTGACTGAATCTTTTTCCACAATGCAGACACTCATACGGTTTCTCTCCTGTGTGAGTTCTCTGGTGTATCACCAGCTTGGAATTAAGCCTGAAACTTTTCCCACAATCCAGACATTCATATGGTTTCTCTCCCGTGTGTGTCCTTTGGTGTGCCACCAGGTAGGAATTCTGACTGAAACTTTTCCCACAATCCAAACACTTGAATGGTTTTTCTCCTGTGTGAGTTCTCTTGTGTGTCACCAGGTTGGCATTCTTACTGAATCTTTTTCCACAATGCAGACACTCATACGGTTTCTCTCCTGTGTGAGTTCTCTGGTGTATCACCAGCTGAGAATTCCATCTGAAACTTTTCCCACAATTTCGACACTCATATGGTTTCTCTCCTGTGTGAGTCCTCTGGTGTATCACCAGGTCATAATTCTGTTTGAAACTTTTCCCACACTCTGGGCACTCTCCCGTGTGAGTTCTCTGGTGTATCACCAGCTTGGAATTAAGCCTGAAACTTTCCCCACAATCCAGACATTCATATGGTTTCTCTCCTGTGTGAGTCCTCTGGTGCTTTATCAGGCTGGAATTCAGACTGAAACTTTTCCCACAAAAAGGACATTCAAAGAGTTTCTCCCTAGTGTGAGTCCTCTTGTGTCTCACCAGGCTGGAAGTATGACTGAAACTTTTCCCACAATCCAGACATTCATATGGTTTCTCCTCCGTGTGAGTCCTCTGGTGCTTTACCAGGTTGGAATTCTGACTGAAACTTTTCCCACAAACAGGACATTCAAAGAGTTTTTCCCCAGTGTGAGTCCTCTTGTGTCTCGTGTGCATGCTAAATCTTTTGCCACACTGGGACACTAGTAGAACTGCTCCTCCTGCATTGGTCATTCAATGAATAATGGGAATGCTGTTCTGATTAAAGCTTTTGCCACAGTCCAAACATTTGCTTCAAGGATTTTCAAGGAGTGGATGGACTCATGCAAAAATCAGATGTGATCTGCAATCTGTGCTTTTCCCAAAATAGGCAGTCGGTGGTATTTTTCCAACAGTGATATTCTTGGATTCATGAGGAGGTCAAAAATATTTCTGATGACCTTGTCCGGTGGTGCTTTGATCCAACACTTTCCTTCCTTAAACGCTTTCAGTAATGCCTTTGTACTTTTTCATACAATATTTTCTTGAGTTCCACATAATCTATTTTTCTACCTGAAAACTCTGTTCCTGTTATTCTCTCCTTTGTCTCCCCACATTTGCTAAGGAAAGAGAAAAGTTTTAACACTTTCTGGAGGAAATGGAACAGATTTTGATTGGTTTGTTTTGCATTTTAATGCAGCTTCTCATTCTCTGTTGTCCGGAGTGCTCTTCTTGGCATCCTCTCTGACTATACGATTCATATTAATGGATTAGTTTCATTAGTGTTTAAAAAATTTGCTGCTGAACCTGTGAAAACAGCAAAAAAAAAAAACACCATCCATATATTACTATGAAAAAGCAAACATATCAAAATGCTAGTTTAACCTCTAAGATTTATTATGATTCATCAGGCACAAAGGAAACTAACAAAATCAAACTTCAAGTATCCACTCATATTTCAAATCATGGAATTCTCTTCTTGGCTTGGGTAAATCACGAATTATTATCATTGCAAATAGTTGTTACAAAAAATACCTTAAAATACTGAGGTCTATAAGATACATGTATATGCACACATAAATACACACCTATAAATTTATATATGTGGAAAATCTATGTGAATTTCGGACTTTCAAAATGTTTCAGAAGTGGATTCACTTAATTTGCTTGATCTAATTTTAGAAAGCTGGGGACACTAAAAGATGAAACGGTGCCCAAAGCCTAAGCGAGATTTAAAGCATCCGTTTTACCCCCAAAAGTCCTCACTTGCCAGGAAAACACTTCAATAATATCACAAGGAATGAAGACCGAGGGAGGCAGGCTGTTAAAAAATATGAAATAAAGATTTTTTAAATGTCCCAATTTTTCCATCTCCCAGTAGAAAATCACCGGCAGCAGTTTTAAATCATGCAGCGTAAGGATAAGAACATTTGGGGAGAGAAAGAATATGCAGCAGAGCCGACACATTGCAGCCTCGTCCCTTCGCTGCTTCCACACCGCGGAGGAAAAGAAACATTCCGACTTGCTCCCGGCTTCTCCTCCGACCTGCCCTCCACTCACCTCCCGGGGGCCGCTTCCACCCACGAGACAGGGGAACAGCATCCACCGACGCCATTATCCTCCATAAGTGAGTCGGAAGAGGAAATTCCTCTTCCCTTTCCCCAAAATCCTCTCTAGCAGCCCAATCCTCTATCGTTTCCATTTGTTCCGGCTCAGCCTCTCTCCCTCCCGTATGACGTTGGCACTAGCGATGCGGCTGCTGTGTACAGAACTGTATTTTTCACTTGGTAGGTACGAGTGTTGCTTCTCTGTAGAGCGCCATCTAGCGACATAAGGTTGAACATCACGCTCGTCCTATCTCTTCCCTAAAGCGTTTGCAAGGTGTTTTCATGGATTACCTGGTTCTTTAGGGGCCGTCGTTATATTAGACCCCCACCGAGCACATCGATAGCTTTTGTCCAGGACAATCTATCCTAAACCTTTTCTTTCAGGTCTCCCAAGAGGGCATTTATCGTCCCTCTTGCTGCAACTAAATCAAAAGAAAGTGTCCGGGAGGGGGGGATTTTTTATGTACAACAGCCAAGGAGAAAGTGCACCTCCCTTGAGGGCTGGTGAAGATTGTTCCAGCCAGTTTTTCACCTTGGGGTTTGGGGGTGCAGGATAACTCCCTGAAACCTGCCTCTGCAACTTAGTGAACCTGTAAAATTGAAGCTTGACCCCGTGTCTCGTCTGTGATTTTATTTTCCTTTACTTCCATCTTTAGCTAACAAGCACCATATTTCCTACTGGTGCCCCATTTTGGCTAAGCAAAGGAAATTTGGGCTCGAATTGCTGTCACAACTTGAGAACTACCTATATTTCTTTTCCAAGCTCAGGAGAGGGCTGGAAGAGTCATTTCCCCCCTTCTGGACAGTTGGCATCTGGCCAGCTTCATACTTTCAACAACAGTTTGCTGTGCATAAGAAAATCGTGAGAGGTTTTCCTGGCAGAGGATTTCAAGGTATTGCTGCAGATTAAGATCTTTTCTAAGCGCAGCTGAAGAGGGGAATGAAAGGCTGGCAGCCTGGAACTTCAACTCGCCCACTGCTTGCAGCTCTGACTTTGCGACCAGGAGAAAGGGCTGTGCAGGAGAAAGACACCTGAGCCCTTCTCGGTCTGGGTTCAGGCCAGGGCACATCACCAAAACGACATTGGTTGCAACTCTCGTGGACTTTAGGAGGCCTCGGGATAGACGGGTACAGCCGTCATGTCCCTCCTAGACCTCTCATCAGATTTCAGTACTGTATCATCGATCATGATATCTGTTAAATACTGGGTTCGGTGAGGCATTGATCAGACTAAAGAGTTAAAGCAACAGTTCTTTATTCAATCAGCACAGAAGCAGCTCTAACAGCCACTTGGCTTCTATTTATACCGGACTGCCACTAAGCAGGAGCCAATGAATTTAAAGTACTAATTGTCACCTAAAGTGCAGGCTTGTAACAATACACAAACAGGTAGGGACTTTGAATTAACACATGAAGTTAACAGCTTATAATTGCCCTTATAAATTAGGTCAGTACACAACACCCCTTCCCCCTAGGTCAGTGATGGCAAACCTTTTAGAGACCGAGTGCCCAAACTGCAACCCAAAAACCACTTATTTATCACAAAGTGGCAGGGCTGCATCAGCATTGTAGTGGCCTCAGAGGTGAGGGGTGTATGGCCCAGTGCGTGGGCGTGGCTGCAGTGGTCACAGCAGGCTGGGTGATTGGCCGGGGCCAGTCCCTCGCCATCTCCAAGGCATCCCCGTGGCGCCAACGCTGCTTGCTCCTTCACTTCCTGTCCTGTCGCTTCCAAATGCCACGTACTCACTCCTCTGGTGAACTCTGGTGGGGCAACGGTGTGCATGCCCACAGAGAGGGCTCTGAGTGCCGCCTCTGGCACGTGTGCCATAGGTTCGCCACCACTGCCCTAGGTAATCATATATCACAATAATGAATATAGTAAGTAGGCAAGCGGGTTCTGTGCCCGCTCCAATCGTCGGATCGCCGTCAGAGGCCCCCCGGTCTACAAATTCTTTTGATGAGCCAGGTAGACCAGGGCCGCTTGCCTCAGGTAGACTGGTACTTCTCTGAACGTTCCGGTGAGATAGACCGATGCTTCTTTGAATGTTCTGGCTGGGTAGACCGGTGCTGTCCAGCACAACCCTGTTGATTGGTGCCCTTTTTCTGAATGAAGCACCTTCCGATAGTCCAGGGAACAAGTCCGTCAACAGTTCCTGTTCGGTGGACATCGCCTCAGAAGTTTGTGGTGACCCTGCACCTCCTTGTGGGTCTCACATGACCTTGGGGATTCAGGTGTGTTGCAGATGCCAGGCAGCTCCCGGCTCTCCTCTCTGTCAGTAGCCACGGTTTTGATTAGCCTGCCGCCGTCACAATTGGTCGATGTGCCGCTGAATCACCCGACCATCTTCCAGGGCCACTTCATATGACAGTGGCCCTGACACCTTACAAACCACAGCTACCACCCACGGTGCCCCTTGACCGTAGTTTTTCGCCCAAACCTTGTTACCGATCTGCAGATTTCGCGGAGGTTTGAGTTGGGCTGTTTCCGCTGCTGCCCGGTCTGGACAGAGACGGTCCAGCTTCGTGGTCAGCTGACGTCTGCATCTCAGTTCCACTGGGCTGCGGCCTGTTGAAGTGCAAGGAGTTGTGTGTTGGCAGAGCAAAAAGTCTACCAATTGGTGATGCCAATCACCAGTCGTTAGTCTCTTTAAGGGCTCCTTGGTCGTCCTGACCATATGTTCTGCTTGACCATTTGAAGCAGGATGAAAGGGGGCTGAGGTAGCGTGTCTCATCATGTTAGTCCTTAAAAAGGACTGGAATTCTGCAGCAGTGAATTGTGTCCAGTGTGGACACAATCACATTAGGCAAGCCATGTGTGGCAAAGATTCTTCACAGTTCTTGGATGGTCCTGGCAGTAATCATAGTTGGGACAGATGCTACTTCTAGCCATTTAGAGTAACTGTCCACCACAATGAGGAACACCTGTCTTTGGAAGGATCCTGCATAGTCTATATAAATTCGAGACCAGGGAGTTTGTGTGATCTCCCAGCGATGTACTGGAGCTTGAGGCATTTCAGATCTGGTCTGCTGGCAAACTTGGCACTCTTTTACTAGAGCCTCTATATCCTTAACCAACCCTGGCCACCACAGGTAGATTCTCGCGAATGCCTTCATCCTGACTATTCCAGGATGTCCCTCGTGCAGAGATTCTGAGACCCTTGCTCTTAATGTGTGTGGGACTATAACCCGACTTCCCCATAAAATGCAGCTCTTGTAAGCTGATAGCTCATCTTGTCCTCTGATGAAACTGTAAAATTTTGGCCCAGGACTGGCTTCAGGCCATCCCATCAGCACCCAGTTCAAAACACGACTGAGTGTTTTGTCATTGGCTGTTTCAGCAACCACATCCCCTGCGTGAAGGCGAGACTCAGGCAGATCCTGGATGGCCAGGATGCATGCAACAGGTGCAGGGTCTGGCTCTGATTTAAGTAAGGGCAGTCTGCTGAGTGTGTCAGCGTGACCCATCTCCTCGCCAGGCTTATGTACAAGCCTGTAATTGTAGGCTGACATGAAGATTGACCACCTCAGCATCCTTGGAGAAAGGATCTAAGGCAGTGGTTCTCAACCTTTCTAATGCCGCAACCCCATAATACAGTTCCCCATGTTGTGGTGGCCCCCAACCACTTATACATCACCGGGTGCCAGGGGCGTGGCCAAAGAAAAGGGGAAAAAAATGGTGGACAGCCTTGTTTGGCGACCCCCGTGAAATGGTCGTTCGACCCCAAATGGGGTCCCGACCCACAGGTTGAGAACCACTGATCTAAGGGATTTGCTTGTCTGTAGTAAACAGACCTAAAAGAGGCTTATGATCCATGAACACGGTAAGTGGGCGACCATAAAGGAAATCATGGATTTTTTTTTATTCCAGCTACTATTGCTAATGCCTCTTTGTCAAGTTATGCGTAATTTCTTTCCGCAGGGGAAAGTGTTATTGAATAATACGCCATGGGTGCTTGCTGCCCATTAGCCATTAAATGACTCAAAACTGCTCCTATCCCATACGATGAAGCATCACATGCAATACTGATAGGCAGTTCTTCGTTGAAGTGTGTTAACGCTGAGTCTGATGACAGCGGTGATTTGACTGATTTGAAAGTTTTTTCGTGGATGCTAGTCCACACCCATGGTGCCCTTTTATCTAGGAGCCTATGCACAGGCTCTGCTAATGCTGCCTTGTGAGGAAGGAACGCAGGGTAGAAGTTAAGTAACCCTAAAAATGCCTGCAGCTCCCCCTTTGACTTAGGTCTGGGAGCCTGCTGTATAGCCTTAAGCTTTGAGTCAGTGGGGTGGATTCTGGTGGCATCTATCCGGAATCCAAGGAACTCACTGGAGTTCACATAGATCTGGCATTTATCTCTTTTAAGTTTTAACCCTGCTTCACGGACATGTTGGGGAACTCCTCTGAGGCGTTCTGCTAACATCTCAGCTGACTCTCCAGCAATTAGAACAGGGCTTTTCAACCTTTTCACCCATTGTACCACTTTTAGGATATGGCAGCATCCAAGTACTACCTAGCAAGGTATCAAAAACTTGATGACTCCCCCCCCCCAAGGAAAAAAGTGATAAAGTATAGGTAGTCCTCGATTTACAACAGTTCACTTAGTGACTGTTTGAAGTTACAATGGCACTGAAAAAAGTGCCCCCCAAGCCACAGCCTGCCTGCCCGCCTGGTGGCACTCTTCCTCCTGTTCGAGGTTTTCATTTTTGTGAGCATTTCTGTTGAGGATTGGCAGAGGGGGGGGTTGGTTTTTATTCCCCCTGTCTGCTGGGTGGTTGCAGCAGGTTTTGGTCACTTCACATGACCCTGGGACACTGTGACCATCATAAATATGAATCAGTTGTCAAGCATCTGAATGTAAATCACAAGACCCTGGAGATGCTGCAACATTCCAGCTGATTAGCGCTTCTTCTGGGCTCAGCAGAAGTGCCAGGATCAGCGCCAAGCTCCAGCTGGCACTGATCCTGGCGCTTCCACTGAGCCCTGACAGCCCCGAAGAAGCGCTGATCATCTGGAAAGCGGCGCTGATCCTGGTGCTTCTGCTGAGCCCTGACAGCCCTGCAGCTCCAGCCATCTCTCGCTCAGGCTTGTGCGGTGCTGCCACCAGTTCAGCTCACTCCCCTCCCCCGCTACCACTTTTCTAGGATGGTCGTGTACCACCTGCCAGGTGCCAATGTACCACAAGTGGTACCCGTACCACTGGTTGAAAAGCCCTGAATTAGAATATCATCAAAGTAAGGAAAACACTGCTGGAATGTTTTTGAGTGTGCAATCCATTACGCTCTGAAAAAGCCCTGGGGCGACACTCATCCCAAACTGCAGGCGATGAACCTTGAATGCCCCTCTATGCATTACTATGTGTTAGATTTTGGAAGTGGTTTGCCTTTGGTGCTAGGACTGCGAGAGAGCAACTGTTCCAAAGTTACCAAGCTGGCTTTGTACCTCAGATGGGACTAAAACTCACAATCTCCTGGTTTATAGCCTGGTGCCTTCACCACTGCACCAAGCCAGCTCTCCCCAGCCAGTATCATAGCAATATTAACAATGTGGCCAATTTCAAAGCTTTGATAAAATGAGGTGTGGCAAAAATATATGTTGGTTTTAGATAGGAACGTGGATGTCCCTGAAGGACAAATAGTGACGTGTAAATCATTCTGCATTGTGCAAAAGACACATGTTATGTTCTTGGCAAATGATACAAAGATCATATCTGATTCTGTCATTTGCACAATGGGGTGACAAGATGCACATCGCTTGGACAACATCATGGCTTATAATAGATACAGATCACTGTAAGATGGCTTCTGCTTTATGAAAACTGCTAATGGGTTGGTGGACTAATTCTGCCAATGGGTTAAAAACAATGTCTTTCCTTTCTGACTTGAAGACAAGAAAAATATTGTGATGGACTTTGAAGCGTGACTGCAAAGAGGATGGTAAGTATGTGCAATTTAGAAGTTAGCAACCCGTTTGGGCACTCAATTCTGAGATCTCTTTAATGTTTTCATCACCAAAATCTCAAAAAGATTTCCGCCATCATGGGCTGCTTTATTATTTTGTAAAAATACTACTCCTTAATGTCACCCAGTTATAACAGCACTGAAAAAATTGACTTATGACCATTTTTCACCCTTACAACCATTGCAACATCCCCGTGGTCACGTGATTTACATTCAGATGCTTGGAAACTGGTTCACATTTATGACGGTCGCAGCGCCCCAAGGTCATGTGATCCCTTTTTGAAACCTGACTAAGCAAAGTCAATGGGGAAGCCAGGTTCACTTAACAACTGTGTTACTAATGAACAACTGCAGCAAGTCACTTAACGACTGTGGCAAGAAAGGTCATAAAATAGGGCAAAACGCACTTAACAAATTTCTCACTTGGCAACATAAACTTTGGGCTCAGCTGTGGTCGTAAGTCGAGGACTACCTGTACTACTGAGTGTGGGCTGAGTGCTTATATCAGAACAAATGGTTTCCCTCAGGGGTAGGCAACCCTGGCTCTTTTATGACTCGTGGACTTCAAGTCCCAGAATTCCTGAGTCAGCCATGCTGGCTCAGGAATTCTGGGAGTTGAAGTCCATGAGTCATAAAAGAGCCAAGGTTGCCTACCCCTGCAGTTACCTGAAAAACAGAAAAACAATCTACACGATATTTTACCCATCAAATTAAAGCAGGCAGAGATAGGAAACCTAAAAAAGTAGGACTCCCTATCCGAGAATTAGAAAAAAAAAGGGGTGACAATAAAGATATTTTGTTCCTCTTTCATTCGCCTTTGAAAGAGTTGAAACCATAAAGTATCGTCGCCTAGAGTAGCCCGGACGTGCGAGCGGCGGCGTTTATTTCCCTTTCCTGTCCTTTCCTCTTGGCTGGGAGGAAGTGGGTGCTACGAAAGCCTGTCGGATTGTCTGAAGTTGGACGCTGGGCAGCGGAAGGCGCGGGGGAGGGAGAGCCGGCCCGTTTGCGGGCCTCCGCTTGGCAGGAGGTGAGTTTCGGCGGGCGGCGAAACGGGAGGAGTCTGTGCGGGACGGGCCTGCAGCGAAGAAGGCGAAGGGGGGGGGACTCGCATGCAACCCCCTCCCCCAACAACCTGGTGCCTTCCAATTCTATAGGTTGTAGAGCCCATCGCTCCCAGCCTCCCTAGCTGGAGGTGATGGGTTTTGTAGTCCACCTCCTCCCCATGCCTGATAGGGCGCCTGCTGAGGTGGGAGTATTGAAAGGAGTGAGGATCCCCCCCATCCCAAAGAAAGAAAGTCCCACCCTAGAATAGAATAGAATAGAATAGAAGCATAGAATAGGAATAGAATAGAAGCATAGAATAGGAATAGAATAGAATAGAATAATAGCATAGAATAGGAATAGAATAGAATAGAATAGAATAATAGCATAGAATACGAATAGAATAGAATAATTGCATAGAATAGGAATATAATTCTTCATTAGAAGAGATGATGATAATGGTGATGATAATGATCTTTGGCTGCTGTGTATTTTAATTTTTTTTCTTTTTTGTTTTTCTGGTCTTTATGACAGAAATCTATTTGCAGATTGTTCACTGCCCAGAGTCCTTTGCTGAGGTGGGAGACATACAAAATGAATGAATCAATAAAATACATTGGATTTATATAGTTGCTTATCTCACATATGAGACTCTAGGTGGCTTACAGTAAAATAGATAAAATGCAGAATATACAAATAAAAGACATTGCAGCCGAGCATGCCTGTAGCTTTGTTGGTTGGCTGGCTGGTTTCTGCATGCTGTCATCCGAGCAACATGATAAAAGCAGAAGTGGTTGGGTGACAAGGAGAGAGGAAATAATATGTGAGGTACAAAGGAAATATGTGAGTACAAAGGCAGGCAAGATAATTTTACCTTCTGTCTTTTGCTTGCATATTCCAACATCAAGATTATGCAATGATGCTATTGCCTAAAGCTATTTATCAGCCAAATAAGGAGAAAGCGGTATCTTTTTTACAGTTGCTTGTTCCCCTTTGCAGAAATACTGCAGGATTTCTGTTGCTCTCTTTTCCATTTCTGTGAGTATGCAGTGGGGTATCCCAGGGTTCTCTCTTAGTTCCAGTCCTCTTCAACAGCTTCACGAATGATTTAGATGAAGCAATAGAAGGATTATTTATCAAATTTGCAGGAGATACCAAGCTGGGGGGAATAGCCAACATTTTAGAAAATAGGCTCAAGATTCAAAAAGATCTTGACAGACTTGAACAACAAAATGCTGTTCAGTGGCGAGAAAAGTAAGGTTTTTGCACTTAGGTTAGAAAAACAAAATGCAGGTACCTGACTCAACTGGTACAATGTGAGAGGGATCTAGGAGTCCTAGTGGACAACCACTTAAATATGAGCCAGCAGTGTGCTGCAGCTGCCAAAAAAGCCTAACCTACATCAACGGAGAGATAGTATCAACTCACAGGAAGTGTTTGTATTGTTTTATACTGCTTTGCTAAAACCACATTTGGAATACTGCATCCAGTTTTGGTCACCACGACCAAAAAGATGTTGAGACTCTAGAAACTAAAGTGCAGAGAAGAGCAACAAAGATGATTAGAGGGCTGGAGTCTTGTGATGGTGGATCTTCCAATACAGATAGTTCTCGATTTATGAGCAGAAATGAGGTCAAAATTTATGTTGCGAAGTGAGATGTCACGTGAATTTTGCCCCCTTTTACGACCCTTCTTGCCACCGTTGTTAACTAAATCACTGTAGTTGATAAGTTAATAACATGGTGGTTAAGCGAATCTGGTTTCCCCATTGACTTTGTAGGTCAGTGGGGAAAGGTAACCTTGGGACATAAATATGAACCAATTGCCAGGCAACTGAATTTTGATTGTGGGGACGCTGCTACAGTCGTGTGAAAAATGGCCATAAGTCGCTTTTTTCAGTGTTGTTGTAACTTTGAACAGCCGCTAAATGTATTGTGGTAAGTCGAGGACTACCTGTATTTGAGAGGTTATCATGAAGAGGAGAGGGGAAAACCTATTCTCCAAATCACCTGAGGGCACGACTAATAGATGGAAACTAATCAAGGAGAGAAGCAGCCTAGAACTAAAGAGAAATTTCCTGACAGTTAGAACAATTAACCAGTGGAACAGCTTTGCCTTCAGAAGTTGTGGCTGCTCCATTACTGGATGCTTTTAAGAAGAGACTGGACAGCCACTTGTCTGTAGTGGTATAGGCCAGGGGTAGGTAACCTTGGCTCTTTTATGACTGGTGGACTTCAACTCCCAGAATTCCTGAGCCAGCGTGGCTCAGCTTGGAAACTCCCTTTCCCCTCAGTATGGCTGGCTCAGGAATTCTGGGAGTTGAAGTCCACGAGTCGTAAAAGAGCCAAGGTTGCCTACTCCAGGTATAGGGTTTCTGCTTGAGCAGGGAGCCTAGAAGACCTCCAAGGTCTCTTCCGTTATTCTGTTTTGGCACCCAGCCCAGTCATTCTTTCTTATGAGGTAAACCACCTTCTGGCACCTTCTGCTACCCCGCCTTCTGCTACCATCTGCTTCCTGCCATAATTTCCTTTTGTTGTTTATGCCATCTTTGAGTACATACTTTTCCTGTCTGCTTTCCACAAGTTGTTTCTGCAGTTGATTTTGAGCAGGGCTCTTCAAATGTGGCCCTTTTATGACGTGTGGACTTCAACTCCCAGAATTCCTCAGCCAGGCACACGTGTGCCTGGCTGAGGAATTCTGGGAGTTGAAGTCCACACGTCTTAAAAGGGCCAAGTTTGAAGACCCCTGATTTTGAGTTATGACTCCCCAGAGTGAGAGCTCTACATTTTCCAGGCTACACGGTAAAGATTTTTTCCTGTCCTCCAGTAAGCATTTGTAGTGCTTTGCAAGTCAAGACAGGCCTATATAGTAGTTTTGTGTATCCAGGTTGATTCCTACTAATGCGTCCTCAGGTCTTCCTTAGTTTTTGTTCTAGCACAGTGTGCAGCATACCGGTAGTCCCTGACTTAATGACCATAATTGAACCCAAAATTGATGTTGCTAAGTGAGACAATTGGTCAGCGCATTTTGCCCCATTTTACCACCTTTCTTGCTATCCTTGTTAAGTGAACCGCTGCAATTGTTAAATTAGTAACGTGGTTGTTAAGTGGAATCTGGCTTCCCCATTGACTTTGCTTGACAGAAGACCGTAAAATGGGATCCCACGATCCCAGGACACTGCAGTCGTCATACAGAGGAACCAGGTGCCAAGCATCTGAATTTTAATTACGTGACCATGGGGATGCTGCAACTGTGTGAAATACAGGCATAAATCACTTTTTTCAGTGACCTAGTTGTTAAATCAACTGTTTAAGTCAAGGACTACCTATAGTGTCAGGAACAGTGACTATAATGCAAGTTATTTTCCTAACCAGCAACCAAGAAATCTTCAGTATGATAGGAAATTAAAAGAGTTGTTCTACACCTTGGAAGAATGAAGAAGGCCCTTGACTGGGGGAATAATAATAATAATAATAATAATAATAATAATAATAATAATAATAATAATAATAATGGACTGCGGACAGCAGAATAAACGAGAAAGAACTGGAGAAGATAACAAAATACAAAGACCTACAAATAGAACTAGAAAGACTGTGGCAAAAGCAAGCAAGGGTAGTACCAATAGTAATAGGCGCCTTGGGTGCAATCCCAAAACAACTGGAGCACCACTTGAACACCAATGGCATTGACAAATTGGCCATTAGTCAATTGCAAAAGGCGGCCTTACTAGGAACTGCTTCCATCTTGCGACGATATCTGTAATACCATCAAACATCCACATCTGCCTATCCCAGGTCCTGGGTAAGGACTCGATAGGTAGACAGAATGCCAAATCCAGTCTGAACATCTGGCTGACTGTGCGATGATCCATAATAGTAATAATAATATAGTTATTATTATTATTATTATTATTATTATTGTTGTTGTTGTTATTATTATTATAATAACAAATTTGCCATTAGTCAATTACAAAAGACGGCCTTACTAGGAACTGCTTCCATCCTGCGACGATATCTGTAATACCATGAAACATCCATATCTGCCTATCCCAGGTCCTTGGTAAGGACTGATAGGTAGACAAAAATGCCAAATCCAGTCTGAACATCTGGTTGACTGTGCAAATAATAATAATAGTAGTAGTAGTAGTAGTAGTAGTAGTAGTAGTAAAGTTGGAAGTGACCTTGGAAGTCATCTAGTCCAACCCCCTGCTCAGGTAGGAAACCCTATACCATTTCAGTCTCTTCTTAAAAACTCCCAGTGTTGGAGCATTCACAACTTCTGGAGGCAGGTTGTTCCACTGGTTAATTGTTCTAACTGTCAGGAATATAATACAGCAGAGACGTTCCCTAGAAGTCTTCTGACTCCAATATATAGGCAGCATAAAGAAGAGAGCAGGATAATGAAGGCAGCCAGGCTGTTTAATAGTTCTGTTTTCCCTTCCCATGGACTAGCATTTATTTATGGCTTTTAAAACAGCTTATGGATTATTGGGGGGGGGAGCATACTGTTTTGCTCCTATAAATAAGGATATTTAAATAGCTGCACACTTTCCGCCGTGTTTTGATACAAGGGCACCAAAATAAATAGGCCGCTATTTTCATAACCTTAGGGGGTTCCTGGATGTGATTGGCTGTCATGATAGGAAATGGAGATGGCGCTAGTTCTATTAAACCTCTCCATGGCTGGATCCTACTGTAATTAGTAAATTGTGCAAAACCCGCACAATTACAAGTTACCGTAATACCGCTTGCACAATACACTGAGTTGCCAGTTAATTGAACCAGATTTGTACAGCTTATTAAAGGATTAAAAACCAACCAGGAGCTTAAGCAGATTGAATTTAGATTGATGTGTGTATGCAGCCTACAGGAAGTCCTCAACTGATGATCCCATTCATTTAGCTACTGCCGTGTTTCCCTGAAAGTAAAACCTGGTCTTATATTATTTTTGCCTCCGAAAGAGGCATTAGGTCTTATTTTGGGGGGGGGTGTCCTATATTTTTCGTGACACCCGCCTCGCCTCGGGACGGCGGCATCAACAGCAACAAAGATGATCAGGGGACTGGAGGCTAAAACATATAAGGAACGGTTGCTGGAATTGGGCGTGTCTAGTTTAACGAAGAGAAGGACGAGGGGGGACATTATAGCAGTGTTCCAATATCTCAGGGGCTGCCATAAAGAAGAGGGAATTAAGCTATTTTCCAAAGCACCTGAAGGCAGGACAAGAAGCAACGGATGGAAACTAATCAAGGAGTGAAGCAACCTAGAACTAAGGAGAAACTTCCTGACAGTTAGAACAATTAACCAGTGGAACCACCTGCCACCAGAAGCAATGAATGCTCCAACGCTGGAAGTTTTTAAGAAGAGACTGGACAGCCATTTGTCTGAAATGGTATAGGGTTTCCTGCCTGAGCAGGGAATTGGACTAGATGACCTCCAAGGTCCCTTCCAACTTTCTTCTTCTTCTTCTTCTTCTTCTTCTTCTTCTTCTTCTTCTTCTTCTTCTTCTTCTTCTTCTTCTTCTTCTTCTTCTTCTTCTTCTTCTTCTTCTTCTTCTTCTTCTTCTTCTTCTTCTTCTTCTTCTTCTTCTTCTTCTTCTTCTTCTTCTTCTTCTTCTTCTTCTTCTTCTTCTTCTTCTTCTTCTTCTTCTTCTTCTTCTTCTTCTTCTTCTTCTTCTTCTTCTTCCTTCTACACAAATGGCTACCCAACTTAGCTTCAAAAGCTCCAGTGATGCCTATTATTTTGAAAGACATTTGGGGGGGGGGAGAGAGGATGGAGCAATTAAGGACAGTGGGAGGGGGATGACAACAACTTAATCAGATCATCAGTGGAACTGAGGGTCCTTCCCATTTTTTAATTTATTTTTTACTGGAGAGACAAAAATCTTTCCTCAAGCCTTGGTGCTGTAGTGGTTAAAGCGCAGTATTGTAGGCTGACTCTGCCCACAGCCTAGAGTTCGACCCTGACCGGCTCAGGGTTTGACTTGGCCTTCGATTCTTTCGAGGTCAGTAAAATGAGGAGCCAGATTGTTGGGGACAATACGTTGATATTGTAAACCACTCAGAGAGTGCAGTAAAGCAGGGGTCCTCCAACCTTTCCAGCGTGGCGGCCTGGGGGTGGGGAGGGGCAGAGGGGATGCTTCTGTGTGAATGGTGGGCATGCGAGCAGCCCAGGGACTGGGGACCCCTGCTGTAAAGCACGATGAAACAATATATAAGCCTTACGTGGCTTTGGCTGTTAGCGAATGAAAGCCATGCAAAGTTCACTGGGCCCATTTTTAGATATGCCTCCCATTTTCTGTGGATGCTTTTTCCCCACTGAAAGCCAGTGGCTGAAAGACCGGATTGATGCTGTATGGCTAAAAGTTTTTGGTTGGGCCCTGCAAGTCATTAAATTATTCAGCCGCCGTTTAGCCAATAGTTGTAGTTAGACCGTACTGAAGAAGAAGCAAACGTTTAATCTACATCAGGGTAGGCACCCTTGGCTCTTTTATGACTCGTGGACTTCAGCTCCCAGAATTCCTGAGCCAGCTACGCTGAGGGGAAAGGGAGAGGTTTCCAAGCTGAGTCATATTGGCTTAGGAATTCTGGGAGTTGAAGTCCACGAGTCATAAAAGAGTCAAGGTTGCCTACCCCTAGTGTAAGGTCTCCTGCTTGAGCAGGGGGTTGGACTAGAACGGGTGGGCAACCTTGGCCCTTTTATGACTCATGGACTTCAACTCACAGAATTCCTGAGCCAGCTATGCTGAGGGGAAAGGGAGAGGTTTCCATGCTGAGCCATGCTGGCTCAGGAATTCTGGGAGTTGAAGTCCACCAGTCATAAAAGAGCCGAGGTTGCCTACCCCTGATCTAGATTATTTCCCCTCCCCCCATTGTGCTTTCTCACCTAAAACCTCCAGAGTGGTTTGTACAGGAAATGAAGAGCGATACCCAATAAGAAGATGCCACAGGACAAAACTTTTAAGCCCTCCCATTGCAACCCCCCAGCTCAGGGGTAGGCAACCTTGGCTCTTTTATGACTCGTGGACTTCAACTCCCAGAATTCCTGAGCCAGCATTGTTCAGCTTGGAAACCTTTCCCTGTTCCCTCAGCATGGCTGGCTCAGGAATTCTGGGAGTTGAAGTCCACGAGTCATAAAAGAGCCAAGATTCCTAAGATCAGGGAGCAGTCGCACAAGGCCACCCACAAATATAGGAAAAGTGGCATCTGCTTTAACGTGTTCCTGTTAAACATTTCACCCCCACACCCCCTCAAGAGTCCAGGACTTCCTTCCAGAACGGCGGGACGGAAGCAGCTGACATAAATGCTGTAGAAAATAAAAGACTTTTCTCCAACGTTTTGTGTCCCTTAGGTTTTTAGGGAGCCACAAAATCTCCGCGGGCTGCTGCTAGTTCTCATGAAGACCATGCGATCCTGCCTGGGAACGATGCCGTCTGTTTGGAGCCAGCCGTCAATGCCCTGGCTGCTTCTGCTGTAAGGCAGGGGCGAGGCCGAAAGGTGGCCCTGGAGATTGGGGTCCGACTGCTTTTCCTGCGTTGAGAGGGCGGAGGGGGTGGGTGAGCCTGAGCTGCTCTCCCTCCCCTCCCTTCCAGAAGGAACCCATAGGCAAAATCTTCTCCGTGCCCTGCAGTTCTCACTGCACTCCCCGCTGGCCGCCGGGCAGGGCCAGCCATCCTTCCGGCCAGGGCCCCAGGGCCTCGCCTCGCTCATCCCGAGGTGAGATGCGGGCCTCCCTTGCGGGGGACCAAATGGCATCGGGGAGAGGAGAAACAGCTGCCCTTCACCTCCAGCTACAGGGGGCTGCCGAGCCGAGCCCGCGGCCGGCCCCGAAGATGGAGGAGACGGCCGCGCAAGAGATGGGGCGGGGAGGAGTCTCGCGGTTCCTTCAGATCGGCTCCACGCGGGAGTTCTTATCCGGAGAGGCTTCCCGCCACGTCAAACGGGAGCCGGACGAACTTCTCCCGCCCCACCACTGGGCTCCCCCCAGACAGGAGTTTTCCAAGTATCCTCCATCGGGATGGAGGAACCCAGCCCTACCCAAAGCCCTGCCGTGGGACAACAGCTCTTTCCAGGCCCCCTACGAGCCCCCGGCCAGCCCCAGCCCCTGGCCCTCGGGAGGATGGGGAGGCCAGACTCTGCCCAGCCTGGGCAGGGAAACGCCGCCAGTCTATAGTGGCCAGGAGCACCGGGAACGGAGGAGCTACGGGGGCCTCAAGGAAGAGGCTCTGGCCGAAGGGACGGTCAGCGTGGAGATCCGGCGTCAGCGTTTCCGACGTCTTCGCTATCAGGAGGCCGAGGGTCCCCGGGAAGCCTGTCGGCAGCTGCAGGAACTTTGTCACGAGTGGCTGCGGCCGGAGAGACGGACCAAGGAGCAGATCCTGGAGCTTCTGATTCTGGAGCAGTTCTTGATCATCCTCCCCAGGGAGATGCAGAGCTGGGTCCGGGAACGGGGTCCGGAAACCTGCAGCCAAGCGGTGGCCTTCTCGGAAGAGTTCCTGGTGCGGCAGAGAGAGACCCAAAGGAAAGAGCAACGGGTAACAAACACGAGCTTATAGTCCAGTGGTTCTCAACCTTTTTAGTGCTGCGACCCCCCCCCCCAACCGGTCGTAAGTCGAGGACTACTCAACCGGTCGTAAGTCGAGGACTACTCAACTGGTGCAGCACCGTTTGCAGAATGGGGCTTTTGGCGGGCTCAGCAGGGCAGAGACAGCCTGGACAATTCCTATTGGCTTTTGAAAGCCAATAGAATTAGACTCTATTCAAGAGAGTCTATTCTATTGGCTTTCAAAAGCCAATAGAATAAAAGGGAGTAGCACAGCTAAGGAAAAGGGGGGGAAAATGGCGGACTGCGTTGTTTGGCGACCCCCGTGAAATGGTCGTTCGACCCCAAATGGGATCCCGACCCACAGGCTGAGAACCACTGTTATAGCCCCATCTGCTCAAAAATCATCTTTGTCCCCCGGGTTGATTACAGGGCGGTGTAAAACATCAAAACCACAACTAGCAACGAAACAGTTAAGAGAGCGTGCTAGGAGGTAAAATAGATCTAGTTATGAACCAAGAAGTTTACATTAGCAGGTAGTCCTTGACTTATGACCAGTTACTTGGCAACCGTTCAGAGTTGCGACAGGTTCCCGCAAAAGGCACAGCCCGATTCTGAAATTCTGATGGCCACCCCCCCATCCCCAACATATGACTGCATTTGGGGTGCTCGGCAAGCGGCCTCCCTTAGGGCTGCTTGCAGCGTCCACAATTTACGAATTTTTTTTATTATTTTCTTTTGCCGAAAAACAGGCATTTACTTCTGTTTTTCGGCAAAAACGCCCCAGAACGATCAGCGGGTTTGCGTAACGATCGTGGTGTTCATCTAACGACCACAGATTCCACCTAACCCCCGCCACAAAAAGAGGTCGTAAATGGCAGACTCCATTAAGGACGTAAGTCGAGGACTACTTGTATCTTAAAGCAGGATGAAGCTAATTTGTGGAAGTGAAAACGACGGAAGGCAGTTGGTGTATATTTCATTTAGTTCAGGGGTAGGCAACCTTGGCTCTTTTATGACCGGTGGACTTCAACTCCCAGAATTCCTGAGCTAGCCATGGATGGCTGGCTCAGGAATTCTGGGAGTTGAAGTCCACCGGTCATAAAAGAGCCAAGGTTGCCTACCCCTGATTTAGTTAAACCAGGTTCCCCAAGAGAGGAAACAAGCTGGAATTAACTTTCCCTCTTGCCTTTTTCAGGTGATGTGGTCCTTCGATGACGTGCTGGTGAACCCTACCCGCCCACCGCCCGTCCAGTATCCTGCCATGACGCAGCAGGTCCATTACCCCACAGTGGCGCTGTCCATGCAGTACCCACTCTTGGCACCACAGTCCCAGTATCCTGCTCTCGGACAGTCGGCTCCCCATCTCGTTATGGCGGAGCGAGTGCCAACAAATGCACGGCAGAGGATGATCAGCAGGAAGTCTGTAGCAGACGACGGCGCCACCCTCCGCCCTTACGGTAAGGTGATCTTCTAGGCCAGGGGTCCCCAACCCCTGGTCCGTGGACCGGTACCGGGCCACGGCACGCCAGCAACCGGTCCACACAAACAAGCAAAGCCCCATCTGCGGGATGCAGGGAGCACACAAAACCGTGCATCCTCCGGTCTGCAGAAAAACCTCTCTCCAGGGAACCGGTCCCTGGTGCCCGAAAGGTTGGGGACCTCTGTTCTAGGGGAGCGACAACCCTCTGCTGCTGGGACTCCCCATAACTTCCTTCAGCAGGGCTCTGCTGGCTGAGAGTCATGGGCTTGGAGCTCCATCTTTCCATGCCTCCAGCATGGAGAAACAATCTTTTCGGGTCTTGGAATAGATCTACTTCTCAATCAGTCTTTAAAAATTATTTTTTTTTTAAAGAGGTGGTTTTCGATCTTGACCGCAAAGTGAAGACACCATAAAGGTAGTCCTCGGCTTAACAACAGTTTGTTTAGTGACCGTTCAAATGTGCAACGGCACTGAAAAAGATGACTTATGACCAGTTTTTCACGCTTATCACCGTCGTCACGTCATCAAAATTCATACACTGGGCAACTGAGTCGTATTTGTGACAGTTGCCGTGTCCCGGGGTGAGAAGGTCGCAAAAGGGGATCGTGTGACCCGGGAGGGGGACGTGGCAACCGTCATCATAAATGCAGACTGGTTGCCAAGTGTCTGGATTTTGATCAGGTGACCATGGGGACGGTGCAACGGTGGCAAGTGTGAAAAATGATAAGTCGCTTTTTTTCCGGCGCCGTTGTAAGTTGGAAAGGTCACTAAACAAACGATTGTAAGTCAAGGAGTACCTTTAATTCTATTGATGCTAGAGGTTTTGGAGTTCCTAGGAAGGCAGGGCACCAGCATGGCAGCCATCCCCCAAGGAGTCCCAGTGTTTGGTTTTGGAACTAGACCAGGGGTAGGCCACCTTGGCTCTTTTATGACTCGTGGACTTCAACTCCCAGAATTCCTGAGCCAGCATGGCTCAGCTTGGAAACCTCTCTCTTTCCCCTCAGCATGGCTGGCTCAGGAATTCTGGGAGTTGAAGTCCACGAGTCATAAAAGAGTCAAGGTTCCCCACCCTGACCTATTTGAGACAGAGGACTTAGGGTCTGGATCCAAAGTTCCAGTGGTCACCCCTACCCTTTGCATGATTATGCTTTGGGTCAGGGGTAGGCAACCTTGGCTCTTTTATCACTGGTGGACTTCAACTCCCAGAATTCCTGAGCCAGCATGGGGGAAACTTTGGCCCCTTCATGACTCGTGGACTTCAACTCCCAGAATTCCTGAGCCAGCATGGCTCAGCTTGGAAACCTCTCCCTTTCCCCTCAGCATGGCTGGCTCAGGAGATCTGGGAGTTGAAGTCCACCAGTCATAAAAGAGCCAAGGTTGCCTACCTCTGAACTAGACAAACCAAAATTGCATTTTTAATGCTTTTTTTTGTTTGTTTTAGGATGGGAGATTAAGAGAGGAGGAATTTCCACGGCTGTAAATCTCAGGTCTCCAACAGAAATCTAATTGTTTTCCTTCCCCTCTCCCCTTGTACCCTTCTGCATCCTCCCCCCCCCATCCTGCCCCCTCAGGGCCCATCCAGGAGTTCCGGAGGCCCCTCACCAACGCCGAGCGGATGCGAAACCGGCGGATGCGAAACCGGAAGCAGCGCTTGGAGACCAGCATGCAGCTGGTGGAGTCGGCCTCCCGGGCCCCTTCGATGCTGTTGGATGCCATGCGGGGCCTGCACTGCCACGATCTGAAGGCCTTTGACAGGGCCAGGCAGGAAGAGAGGCAGTACCGCAAGCAGGAGCGGCGGCAGGATCGAGCCACGGCGCAGCTGATGGTCACCGCCATTGAGCGCTCCCACAAAGACCTGGGCGAGTTCCTGGGAAGGCAGACCTCCACCATGGCCGCCATCGCTGAGGTGTTTACGGGTCAGAGGTCACCTGCCCAGGGCGCCTATGCCCACTACAGCTCTTACACCGGGTACAGCAACCCGCCCTGGGGTCCTCCAGAGCCTGGAGCTCCAGTACCGTCCGGCCACCTCCCTGGCATGCCTTCCGAGCCGGTAACCAGTCCGGTCGTTCCCTGCCCGGTGCCTCCTGTGGCCCTGCCTGGTGGCAGCGGTGACCCAGTCCTGGAGCCAGCTCCCACCGTTGGACCAATTGAGGCAGCTGCGCCCGACTCCCCAAAGCCTTCCACTTCCGATGCCACTTCCCGTGGCCTCGATGCCAGGCCCAGCAGGGGCACCAAAAGGAAGACGTGGGACTGAGGACCCGTAGCTCGCTCTTAAAAAAACAAAACAAAACACAAAACCTGGTAGCTTTTTTTTTTTTTAGGTCAATTTCATTTCCGGTTGCCAGCCCGGCAGATCCCTCCCCCACACTTTGTGTGTGTGTCTCTCTCTGTCCCTAGTCCAGGGGTAGGCAACCTTGGCTCTTTTATGACTGGTGGACTTCAACTCCCAGAATTCCTGAGCCAGCATGGCTCAGCTTGGAAACCTCTCCCTTTCCCCTCAGCATGGCTGGCTCAGGAATTCTGGGAGTTGAAGTCCACCAGTCATAAAAGAGCCAAGGTTGACTACCCCTGCGGCCTAGTGTGTTAGGAGGACAGCCCATCTATCTATGCAAGGAAGCGTAAGGCAGAGCTTCAGGCCCATAAGAAGGATTGTTGCGGGCTTCCAAGTCCCCATGATTGCAGATTATAAAAGAAAGGAAGCAGCAAAGAGTTTGATCTGTGGGAGGTGGAATTAATTAACAGTGCAGCTTTGGGGCAAGTTGCATTTGCCCGTCTGCAAAATAGGAATAATCAACCCACGTTTACGTAGTCACTTAAAAAACAGATCACTATAAAGGTCATTTTACTTCTCCGGTAATTAAAAGAAGGTGGGAATTTTAAGCTCTTCAAATGGCCATACTCGTCTTCCCATTTCTCAGTTACAATTTATTTATTATATTTATTGTATATATGTATACACACACAAACACACACATACATATAGGGCCTAATAATATTGAAGAACCCAGTTGGTTCCAACAATCAAAATATACAGGCTTGCAAAGTTAAAACAGTGATAGAGGGTGGGGAAGAAAAAAAAGTACAGTATTTACTGAGCTGCTGCTTTGAGTTAAGATTCCTTTTATACCCATTTTGCAGAAGGGAGGGCAGGGATTGAGGCTGAGGATTCGAGGTGTGCCAAAACGGTTGGCGCTTAGAAAGGTCCCAAAATGGTGGGTTTTGACTTCATGGGCAGATCCTTTGTAACCTCTGGAATAATCCCCACCTTTTTGGGAGATCTCAAATCAGGCTGGATTTCTGAAAAAGTTTAACATTCCTCTACCAAGTCTCAGTTACATCAGGTTGACTGTTTTTCTAGATCCTAATACTTTTTTTTTTTAAAAAATGTGCACCGTTTTTGGTTTTACATCAAGGAAGGGTGTCTTGAAATACATGGCTGTTTCCGGCAGGATAACTTTATATTTTCTAATGTAAAGAGTTCCCAGCCCTCCTTTTACCCTGCTTTTGCTGAGAAATTAGGCTTTTTCTTCCACTTTAACACCCCCCCCTCCAGTAAACTGAACATTAGCCAGCCTGTTGTCTGGATTCTGGACATAGTATTTTACACCTCCTGTTGAAACAGACGGCAAAAGAACCACGGCTTTCCTGGTCTGTTTCTCGTTGGTGTGTTTGGTTTTTTTTTTTTTTTTTAAAGCTCACTTTGTCCCCAACGTGCTGGGTAGAAAGGCTTAAAATGGAGCTGGGGATTATGGCAAGGCCTATCATTTTCCGATCTAAAATGACTTTGGGCGTTGCAGGTAAAGTCCTGCTTAGCCCAGGAAGTGATTTAAGTTGGGGATGAAGGGCTGGCCTGCATCAAGGAGCCCAAACCACGATTCCAGCTTCCTGTGAGGGACCTCAAGGGTTGTCTCCAATTTCCTGCTCTTAGTGCTCTTATGTTAGCCAGCCGCAACGCGGCTGGGGTGCCCATGTTTGTACGCGCAAATAAATAAAACTAGATTGTCGAAGACTGCTCCTTTGCCTCTGTAGCATGGTCATCCCTTTGAGGCATCCAAACACCCTCCCAGCTGAGAGAAATGCCGGGTCACCTTTTCTCAAAGCAACAGGGAATGGAGGGGTGGGAGGGAAATGTTCCATTGGTGGCAAAGGGAGGAAGTTGGAATTTAGTGGCTTGGGCAGGTTGAACTGCCTAAACCCGGATTCGCATTTTCTAAAACTGTGGTTCTCAACCTTTTTAATGCTGCGAGCCCCAACCGGTCATAAGTCGAGGACTACTCAACCGGGTGTAAGTTGAGGACTACCCAACCGGTCGTAAGTCGAAGACCTTTCCTTGCCCGGGAGCGCTGTGCATGCGTGGTGCCGCCCCCTGCGCCAGCTGAGATGTAGCTGGCAAGGGGCAGCGACGGCGCAGGGCGACCACCGGCTGGGCCACCAGCTAAGGGAGTTAAGGCACCCGCCAGGCCCCACGCACACCAGCAACCCTCCCTGCGCCCGCCAGCCTCCCACCCCTGGCCCTCTTTTACTTACATTTTTAGTAGTTGCTCAGCAGGGAGGGATGGAAACTTCCAGACAGCTCGCCTTTGTTGCAGACAACTTGGAGCACCGTTTGCAGAATGGGACTTTTGGCGGGCTCAGCAGGGCAGAGACAGCCTGGACAATTCCTATTGGCTTTTGAAAGCCAATAGAATTAGACCAGTGGTTCTCAACGTTTGTGTGACGACGACATTTTCCCCCCTCGGGGTGGCGCCGCACATGCGCACCACGCATGGGGGGGCGCCGCCCCATGCGCGGCGCACATGCGCGGCGGCGCCCCCTGAGGGGGGAAAATGGCGGATCGCCTTTGGCGACCCCCGAAAAATGGTCGATCGACCCCAAATGGGGTCGCGACCCATAGGTTGAGAACTGCTGAATTAGACTCTATTCAAGAGAGTCTATTCTATTGGCTTTCAAAAGCCAATAGAATAAAAGGGAGTTGCACAGCTAAGGAAAAGGGGGGGGGGAAATGGCAGACTGCGTTGTTTGGCGACCCCCGTGAAATGGTCGTTCGACCCCAAATGGGGTTGCGACCCACAGGTTGAGAACTACTGTTCTAAAAGCAGCAAATGGCCCCACTTTAGCTTTTTTAAGTGGAAGAGGGGAAGGGAACGGGCTTCCATGGGGAAGGCCATCATTTGCGGCAGGGATAGGCAACGTTGGCTCTTTTATGACTCATGGACTTCAACTCCCAGAATTCCTGAGCCAGCATGGCTCAGCTTGGAAACCTCTCCCTTTCCCCTCAGCATGGCTGGCTCAGGAATTTTGGGAGTTGAAGTCCACGAGTCATAAAAGAGCCGAGGTTGCCTACCCCTGATTTGAGGAAAAGGATGTTTCCCCAAGGAAACTGCCCAGAGTGATACATTCCTGAATTAGTCTTTCTAAGACCTGTGGATTTCAACAGGTCTTCAGCAGGCTGGTGAATTCTGGGAGTTGAAGTCCACAGATCTTAAAAAGCTGCCAGAATTGGACACCCCTGCTCTGTTGTTTTAAATCAGGAATTTTCCCCTCCCCCCAAAAAAGTGGGGGGGACTTGGATTGCTTCCAGTGGTCCAGATAGCTTGCAACTCTTGTCTGGTGCCTTTCACTACAGCGCCAAGCTATTAACAGGTAATCCTCGACTTAATGACCACATTTGGGCCCAAAATTGAGACAGTGAGACATCTGTTAAGTGAGTTTTGCCCCATTTTTATGACCTTTCTCGCCCTGATTGTTTAAGTGAATCCCTGCCCGATGATGAGTTAGCAACCTGTTAAATGAATCTGGCGTCTCCATCGGCTTGTCAGGGTCGCAAAAGGATCATGTGACCTTGGGACACAGCCACGGTTGTAAATGTGAGTCGGTTGCTAAGTCTCTGAATTTTAAACATAGGATCATGGGGGAAGAGTTGTTGGAAAGGCCATAACTGAAAAAACGATCCTAAGTCATTTTTTTCCCCCAGCGCCGTTCTAACTTTGAAGAGTCACTAAATCAGGGGTGTCAAACTCAATTTCGTTGAGGGCCGCATCAGCACTGCGGTTGCCCTCGGGGGGGTGGGTGGGTGCGCCCTACTGGGTGGGCGTGGATGGAGTGGGCTTGGCCAGCTCTACATCATTTGCGTCAAGGGTGCCTGTGGGGGCCTGGACAGAAGTGGGACAGATCTGAGGGTCTCTGGCAGAAAGGGGTGGGACCAGGGCAAAGACTATCAAGCCGGATATGTGAAGTAGGTGAGGGCCATTTGCTGGCCACTTCCAGGCGATGGTGCATTTTTTCATTCCTCACAAAGGGTGACACTTCCCCAGCGTGTACCCAGGGGTGGGGCCGGCGCGGCACGGGCTGATTCCTCGCTGTTTCCAGACCGCCTTATGGAGCTAAGACTGAATGCATTTCAGCATAGATGGTCACCACAAAATTGTACATTGGCTCCCGTCCGGCCTTGGCCAGGGCCAAGGCAGCGGGGGCCGTTCCCTCACTGTTTCCAAGATGGCTTTGCGGGCCACATGAAACCACTTCGTGGGCCACCCCCGGGCCTTGTGTTTGCCCTATATAAAGAGCTGTCAACAGATCAATACAGAAAAACATTAGCCCTCATTGTAACTGCCACTGTTATATTATTCAGCGTTAGCTTTTCCCAAAGGAGAAAAAAAATCGATTACACGTCTGCTATTGCAAAGGAACTCAAGCCCCAGTGCTCACGTTTCATTTATTCTCGTCTGACACAGTAAATTCAACAAGGCAGACTTCATTTCTGCAATCACTTTTTTTTAAATGTAACCCCCCCCCCTTACCCTCACTTTTACCGAATATGAGGAAGTCCTGGAACTGATATTTTGTAGGAAAACTTCCAACTGCAGGAGGTGGCAGGACCTGGCTGAATGTCTGAGCTCAGAAATTAAGCAGGCTGGAATCTTGTTAATATTTGGACAAAAGGCCATCAGGAGAGCCACAGCTGTAGGCTGGGAAAGAGCCCGCTAAAAAGGCAACTGCAAACTCTTTCTGCCTTTCGTCAAGAAAAATGCAGAGTCTGTAGAAATCAAACCCGACTCCCAAGTAGCTTTATGCTTTGTAGTGTAGGGTAATTCTCAATCTCAAATTGGAGAGCAATTATGAAAGAAATGCACAGGAAGAAATTTCCTAGGGGGTTGCCCACCAGTGGATTTTGAAATGTGTGTGAAATGTGAGAATGAAACTCCTTAGGTAAGGAAGAAAAAAAGAGAGACATTCAAAAACAGGAAGGGGGGGAGAAAGTGGAAGTGATAGGAGTCAAAATAGCTGTTCGCTTTTGAACCTCACAATCAAAATCTTTATATTCAAGTGACATTACTAACAGTTGGATTCTGAATCCTGAATATGCTAGACCACAGGTCGGCAACCTGTGGCTCCGGAGCCGCATGCGGCTCTTTGAGCCCTTCCCCTGTGGCTCCCAGCCTCCTCTGCCTTTGCAGACAGAGACAGAGAGAGGCAATTGCGCTTCCCTGCTTCTCTCTCTCTCTCTCTCTCTCTGTGTGTGTTTGTATGTGTAAAAGAGAGTGCACTCACAGTGTTCTCCGAGGAGCTGAAAAGCTTACTGGGCGAAGTTCCTCCCTTTGCTGCGTCTCTGCAGGAAGCAGGAAGCGCAGGAGAGAGCTAGCTAGCCCAGCTAGGCTGACTCAGGAATTCTGGGAATTGAAGTCCATGAATCATAAAAGAGAGGAGGTTGCTTACCCCTGAGTTTGTTGGACAACAGCTTGAAGCTTGCCAGGTGAGCAGCAGATAGGAGGGGGGGGGGGAGAAAGAGAGAGAGAGAGGGAGGGAGAGAGAGAGAGAAGAAAGAGAAAGAGAGTGGGGGAAGAGGAGTGGCAAACCAAGGGCAGATAGAGAGGGAGGGAGGGAGGGAGGGAGGGAGAGAGAGAGAGAGAGAGAGAGAGAGAGAGAGAGAGACCCTTTTGACATCTAAAATGAAGATAACACTGCATATATCCTTTTTTTACCTGTGTGTGTATGTAATTTTATTCTCTTAAAGCATTCTCTTGGTGATCATTGTTTTAATAGTATGGATATTTCCAAGAGTCATATTTTTACTTTTATTTTTAATGTTATATATATATATATATTATTTTTTTAATGTTTTATATATATTTTTTATTTTTATTTTTATACACACACACACATACACACAAACACACACACACACACAAACACCTATAATAAAGGTAAAAAAGGATATATGCAGTGTTATCTTCATTTTAGATATCAAAAGGGTTTTGGTTTTGGTGGGAAACGGGTCCAAGTGGCTCTTTGAGTGTTTTGGGTTGCCTACCCCTGTGCTAGACAGTTATATATTCATTCTTTGACCAAGTGACAAAATTAGTGGATCAGAGGAATGCTGTGGATATAATTTACTTGGACTTCAGTAAGGGATTTGATAAAGTAGATCACAACCTACTACTTGATAAGACAGAAAAATGTGGGTTAGTCAGCATCACCACCAGATGGATACGTAGCTGGCTGACCGGCCATACTCAGTGTGTGGTCCTCAATGGAACCGCATCTGCATGGAGGGAAGTGTGTAGTGGGATACCCCAGGGCTCTGTTCTGGGCCCAGTGCTCTTCAACATCTTCATCAACGATTTGGACGAGGGGATAGATAGGGAAATCATCAAATTTTCAGACTACACCAAGCTGGCAGGAATAGCCAACACTCCAGAAGGCAGGCTTAGGATACAGGAGGATCTGGACAGTCTTGAACACTGGGCGCTATCTAACAAAATGAAATTCAGGGGTGAAAAAAGTAAGATTCTACATTTAGGCAAGAAAAACCAAATGTACAGGTGTACCGTAGTATAGGGAGTACCTTGGTCAATAGTAGTAACTGTGGGAGGGACCTCGGAGTCCTAGTGGACAATCACCTAAATATGAGCCAGCAGTGTGCTGCAGCTGCCAAAAAGGCCAACACAGTGGGCTGTATTAACAGAAGGATAGAATCAAGATCACGTGAAGTATTAATTCCACTTTACAATGCCTTGGTAAGGCCACACTTGGAATACTGCATCCAGTTTTGGTCACCACGATGTAAAAAAGATGTTGAGACTCTAGAAAAAGTACAGAGAAGAGCAACAAAGATGATTAAGGGACTGGAGGCTAAAGCATATAAGAAAAGGATGGAATTGGGTATGTCTAGTTTAATGAAGAGAAGGACAAGGGAGGACATGATAGCAGTGTTCCAATATCTCGGGCTGCCACAAAGAAGAGGAAGTCAAGCTATTTTCCAAAGCGCCTGAAGGCAGGACAAGAAGCAACGGATGGAAACTAATCAAGGAGAGAAGCAACCTAGAATTAAGGAGAAACTTCCTGACAGTTAGAACAATTAATCAGTGGAACAACCTGCCCCAGAAACAGTGAATGCTCCAACACTGCAAGTTTTTAAGAAGAGACTGGACAGCCATTTGTCTGAAATGGTATAGGGTTTCCTGCCTGAGCAGGGGGTTGGACTAGATGACCTTTCAGATCCCTTCCAACTTTTATTATTATTATTATTTTCTATATTTGCATTTTTTTTGCAAAATTTTCCTTCCTTCCTTCTCTCCCTCCCTCCCTCCCTTTAGACAGCTCTCTGCGCAAGGATGTTCATCTTCCCACAATTTATTATCTTCTTTATGGCTTAAAACGGGTACCAAAGTTTGGTAACTCTTGAGACTTGTGGACTTCAATTCCCTACAAGAATCGGGAATTCTGGGAGTTGAAGTCCACAGGTCTTAAAATTGCCAAAACTGACCACCCCTGACTTAAAGGCTAAGAAACCCATCTAGTTTGTTTTTCAGTATGTGCAAATCTAGCCCTTGACACTTCTGTTTGCTTAAAGAGCACAAACTCATTCTTACCCTTAAAAACCTTGCTCTCAATGGCACCTGAATAGCTGACGTCTCTTGCAACTCACTCTTTTAAAAAAAGTTTTACCTCTGGTCACAAATATCAGCATATATCCCTGGTTATAAAACATGCTTTCTAATGAAGCTGTTAAAAAAAAAAAGATCAACATGGGATTCAAAAAACATTCATATCGTGGTTAAGGACATCCTGTGAATGGGACAGGAAAAGCAGAAATGGGGGGGGGGTGTTTCATATTCTCCACATTCCTCTTATTCTCCTATTATTTTTAATATTTGTCAGGGAGCGAGGCTGAATGTTAGGGACTGTGACTGCTACCGGGACAAAATTAGGGCACTGTTGACACATTTTGTTCCCGTGCTTATTCTGTATGTCATAAACTGGGAAATGGAAACAACTACATCTGGGGAATGCAGAGACCTGAACCAAAAATTTGGATTATCTTCGTTTCCTTATGCTGCAAAAAAAAAAAAAAAAAAAAGGACTTTCCAAAATTTCTGTTTGCTGACTGTTTTGTCAGTCTGCTGGTAGGCTGTGTCTTAATAAATCTATGCTTTGATTTTCAATGAGTAACCAAAATCTGTTGGGAAATATGGGTTTAGTCTGCCTTTTAGCTGTGACCTCCCAGATATTTTATGCAGCACTAATATAAATATCAGCATCAGGAAGTAGAAATTGTTATAACTTACAGCAGTGTTTCTCAACCTTGACAATTTTAAGGCATGCGGACTTCAACTCCCAGAATTCCACAGCCAGCATTGCTGGCTGTGGAATTCTGGGAGTTGAAATCCGCATGCCTTAAAATTGTCAAGATTGAGAAACACTGACTTACAGGAATCTCCAGGTTTCCTGTCCATTTCAATACTAATCTCATAAAATTATATTTTTTAATCTGATTAAAGGCACCCTCTCTGCCCCCAGAGCTGTACAATTGGATAAGTAAATGGCCATTAATACTGGTGGGGGAAAAAATATGGAAGTCATTGTAATGAGATAAGTTAAGATTGAGATTAGAGTGATGTTATTGTAAAGGTGTTTTTTTTCATAGTATTTAATTGTGAATATGAACTGTGATGTATGTCAAATCTGATTTACCATGTTCAATGTTTTTAATTTTTGTTATTCAATAAAAAAATAAAAAAAAATACTGAAGGAGACAGAAAAACACTTGTTTTTTTTTTTTTTAGTTTGTTTTTAAAGATGTTGTATGAAGCCTTGGGACTCTAAAGCCTCTCCCCCTTTTTTTTCTTTTTTCTCCTGGATAAAAGGGGTTTTGCACGGGATGCTGTTTTCTTTCAATTGCTGGGCTGTTTCGCCATCCGCAGGCTAAAACAGGAACTGGAAGACAGGAACGGCCTTGTGTGAAGAAGCTGTCTGCAGAAAAAGAGAAAAATCCTCAACTTACCACCGTAATGGAGCCTGCCCATCACGATTGAAAGTTGTGACGGTCAAAAAATAGGCGACCCACATGACTGACCTGATTTTATGGCTCTGTGGTTCCAGTCGTTAAGTGGACCAATGCTTCATTATGGACCAGTTTTGCCAGAAAGCAGAAGTAAATGTCCGTTTTTGGCAAGCCTGTCATAAAATGGGGTCACGTGACTGCAAGACGCTGCAAGTGGCCATAAATGCAGGCTGGTTGCTGAGAGGCCGACATGCGGTCATGTGGAATCAGCCTGTTCCCTCTTGGGCCCCACATCTGGTCCTTTGGCTTTCCCTGTCTGGCCTGTGTGGATTACTTTTGTTTCAAAAGCAACTGCTTTTAAGAAAAAATGTACATATGCAAATTTACGCACCTTCACAGCAGCCCTATTGGTTTGGACCTCCACAACAGTCCCTTAGCAAAATTAATTGCCCGGCCCAGTTCTCGCGAATCTACCTTATCACTACATTTCAGCACAGGCTTATCTTGGACTTGTCCAGACTAAAGGATAGCTTTCTATATGTTCCCATCTTTATTTGTATGAAGGAGTGTACAATCAGATATGAGTTCCTGCCAGCATTTTAAAAGATTATGGCTCAAACAGACTTTGCAACACAAAAGACAAAACAGCTTAGTACAGTGGTTCTCAACCTTTTTAATGCCGCGACCCCCAACCGGTTGTAAGTCGAGGACTATTCAACCGGTTGTAAGTCGAGGACTACTCAACTGGTGCAGCATCGTTTGCAGAATGGGACTTTTGGCGGGCTCAGCAGGACAGAGACAGCCTGGACAATTCCTATTGGCTTTTGAAAGCCAATAGAATTAGACTCTATTCAAGAGAGTCTATTCTATTGGCTTTCAAAGGCCAATAGAATAAAAGGGAGGAGCACAGCTAAGGAAAAGGGGGAAAAAATGGCAGACTGCGTTGTTTGGCGACCCCCGTGAAATGGTCGTTCGACCCCAAATGGGGTCCCGACCCACAGGTTGAGAACCACTGGCTTAGTAGCTCCCAAAGCCAGGCCTTTCTCCCTTTCCAGCTCGTAAAAAAAACTTCCCAGAACCCCTTGCGACTGTTTCTACAGCCATAAACTAACTTGTTCAACCTGAGCATCCATTTGGCTCCCAGAATTCCCCAGCCAGCTGGGCCATTCACAAGAACTCTGAGAGCTAAAGTCCATCCAGGGGGAAGGTCGCCATCTTGGGGAAAGAAGCCACAAAGCCTAATAGGATGGTGTGGGCTTTTAAGTGAAATCCATGGATCCTACTAACCAGATTCGATCCGTTTTTTTTCCTCAAGCGTTCCTGCTTTTAGAAACTATCCCAGGCTGTAGGGAAGCATCTCTGTCAGAGCTGTGTGATAACACATCACTGACCATCTCAAGGCCACTCTGTGGTTGATTTTCTGCCAGATCTTCGGCTGTCACATTGCCACCTAGTGAAAAAGAACATTCAGATGTTCAAATGTCTTGAATGGATGGATGGTCTCAACTAAGGATTTATGGTCCATAATAAATAGTCCTTGATCAGCGAGCATGATCACTAGGCTAATTATCATGAGACCATGACAGACTTAATGATCTCACTTGCGCTGCAGCCAGTGAATCACTCTGGTCATTAATAATAAATAATAATGACAACAATAACAACAACAACAATAATGCTGGAAGGACCTTGGAGATCATCTAGTCCAGGTAGGAAACCCTATACCATTTCAGACAAACGGCTGTCCAGTCTCTTCTTAAAAACTTCCAGTGTTGGAGCATTTACTGCTTCTGGAGGCAGGCTGTTCCACTAATTGTTCTGTCAGGAAGTTTCTCCTTAGTTCTAGGTTGCTTCTCACTTTGGTTAGTTTCTACCCGTTGCTTCTTGTCCTGCCTTCAGGCACCTTGGAAAATAGCTTGACTCCCTCTTCTTTGGGGCAGCCCCTGAGATATTGGAACACTGCTATCATGTCATCCCTCGTCCTTCTTTTTGTTAAACTAGACATATCCAATTCCAGCAACCGTTCCTTATATGTTTTAGCCTCCAGTCCCCTAATCATCTTTGTTGCTCTTCTCTGTACTCTCTCCAGAGTCTCAACATCTTTTTTACATCCTGGTGACCAAAACTGGATGCAGTATTCCAAGTGTGGCCTTATCAAGGTATTATTAAGTGGTATTAATACTTCATGTGATCTTGATTCTATCCCTCTGTTAATGCAGCCCAGCACTGTGTTGCCCTTTTTGGTAGCTGCAGCACACGGCTGGCTCTCAGCTTGATCACGAGTTTGTAAGTCCTGCGGCTCATCAGAGCCTCCCTCCGACTCTGATGGTTCTCCAAGCTCCTCCTCCTCCTCCTCTGATTCCCCAGACTCAATTACTGGGATCACAGGCTGGCATGGAATCACAACGATTTGTGGGATTCTGACTTTCTCCCATCATTTCTGCTCAACCCACCAAACGTAGCAGAAAGGCCAAGCTCTGGGGCCTCTCTATTAAACAATGTCATCCAGCACCTGACTGGCAGAAAAATGTTTCCCTGAGGACCCAGATGGCCCCCACCCTATAGGTCAGTGATGGCGAACCTTTTAGAGACTGAGTGCCTAAACTGCAACCCAAAACCCACTTATGCATCGTTGAGTGCCAGGTGGGTGTGGCCCATGGGCTGGGTGTGGCCAATTTGGGTGGGCGTGGCTGCAGTGATAATGGCAGACTGGGTGGGACTAAAAAGTTCAATCAATCAATTCCAACTTTGCAAGATCTTTTTTTTCCCTGTGAGAAGTTGAAATTGACTGATTGACTGAACCTTTTTTTTTTTTGCACATGGCGACGGAGGCCTAAAGCGAAAAGGTTTTATAAAACCCAGCTGAAGACCTAGACTGGGGCGACGGCGCGCATGCCCACCGAGAGGGCTCTGAGTGCCACCTGTAGCACCCGTGCCATAGGTTTGCCACCACTGCTATAGGTCTTTCCTAAAACTCTTGATGACTAAGTTGTTTCCCTCAGGCATTTGGGCTGGGAAACCTGGCTAGCCTTGTTGCTGTTGCAGGTTATTTTAATGCTTGGAAGGTGTGATTTAGCTGGGCCGCTCGCTTACACGTACTGCTCGACTTACAACCATTCCTTTAGTGTCCATTCAAAGTTACAATGACCCTGAAAAAAAGGAGACTTATGATCATTTTTCACACTTATGGACCGTTACAGCTTTCCCCAGGGTCACGTGATCAAAATTCAGATGCTTTGGCGACTGGCTGGTATTTGTGACGGTTGCCGTGTCCCGGGAGGGGTCACGTGATCACCTTCTGCGACCTTCTGACCAGCAAAGTCAATGGGGAAGTCAGATTCACTTAACAACTGTGTTGCTAACTTAACAACTGCAGCCATTCACTTAACAACTGGGGCAAAACTCACTTCGTAACAGTTTCGCTTAGCAACCGAAAGTTTGGAGTCGATTGTGGTCGTAAGTCAAGGGCTACCTGTAGTTATCGTTGCTCTGGAGATCCCCTTCCCTTCTCAAAGTGAAGCTGTCTAGATTCTGGACACAGTTACGATCCATCTGTTGGTTGGAAGGATACAAAGAAAACAACAACTCACAAGCATCTCGGGGTCCTGCCCCCTTGTAAGGGGGAGCAGTGGGTGAAACACGGCCTTCAGATTCTCCCTCAGAGAGGATCCAAGATGGTCCACGTTGTCCTTTGCCTCGACTCCGACTCCCTCGGCTCTCTCTTTCCTCCGACTGCTGCAGCCACCATGGGTCTCGTTGGGAGATTAAATCCGGGGTGGCGGTTAAATATTCTGGCCAGGAGGGAAAACAGAATTAAAAAATGCAGTAAGAAGATCATCATCATCATCATCATTATCAGAGACATCACCCTGCCAACAAAAGTGCGTATAGTCCAGGCCATGGTTTTCCCAGTTGCAATGTATGGCTGTGAAAGCTGGAGCATAAGAAAGGCTGAGCACCAAAGAATGGAGGCCTTTGAGCTATGGTGCTGGAGAAGACTCCTGCAAGTCCTCTGGACCGCAAGGCGTTCAAACCGGTCAGTCTTAGAAGAGATCAACCCCGACTGCTCTTGAGAAGGCCAGATCCTGAAGTTGAAACTCAAGTACTTTGGCCACCTAATGAGAAGGAAGGACTCACTGGAGAAGAGCCTAATGCTGGGAAAGATTGAGGGCCATGGAAGAAGGGGACGACAGAGAATGAGGTGGCTGGATGGAGTCACTGAAGCAGGAGGCGTGAGCTTAAATGGACTCCAGAAGATGGTAGAGGACAGGAAGGTCTGGAGGAATGTTGTCCATGGGGTCGTGATGGGTTGGACACGAATTCGCAACTAACAATAACAACAACAACAATGTTGGAAAGGATCTTGGAGGTCATCTAATCCAACCCCCTGCTCAGGCAGGAAACCCTATACCAGACATGTCAAACACAAGGCCTGCAACATGAGTTCATGTGGCCCACGAAGCCATCCTGGAAACAGTGAGGGAACGGCCCCTGCTGCCTTGGCCCTGGCCCAGGCCAGCCGGGAGTCAATGGACAATTTTGTGGTGGCCATCTATGCTGAAACTATTCAGTCTTAGCTCCACAAGGCTGTCTGGAAACAGCAAGGGACCGGCCCCTGCCGCGTCGGCCCCGCCCCCTGGGCACATGCTGGGGAGGTGTCACCCTTTGTGAGGAATGAAGAAATGCACCATCGCCTAGAAGCGGCCAGCAAATAGCCCTTGCCTACTTCATCCATCCAGCTTGATGGGCTTCGGGGGAGAGGTTTCAGCAAGTTCTTCCAGTGGACTATGCCTTGGCGCTTGCCCTGGTCCCACCCCCTTCTGCCAGAGACCCTCTAATCTGTCCCACTCGTGCCCAGGCCCCCACAGGCACTCTTGATGCGAATGATGTAGAACTGGCCACGCCCACCCAGTAGGCCACACCCACTCCATCCACACCCACCCAGTAGGCTGCGCCCACCCTGGCCACACACACCCGCCCTCCCCCCGAGGGCAACCACAATGCTGATGCGGCCCTCAATGAAATTGAGTTTGACACCCCTGCCCTATACCATTTCAGACAAACGGCGGTTCAGTCTCTTCTTAAAAACTTCCAGCGTTGGAGGTGCTTCAAAGACACCAAGAAAAAAAATGGTGCAATGGTGGAACGCTGCTGCTCACGTTTCCAACTGGTTCAGATGGCCTGCAATCCTCTATTTCACCCCTTGCTTCAGTTTTCCAGTTTGCTCCACAGTTTTATTAGTCTGTCCTCGCAAAACACTCACAAATCTCACTGGGGGGGGGGGTTTGGCAGGGGAGACAAATTCTTCCATGATTGCATCGGTCACGCTCAGTCATTGGGATAAATGATTTGATTATTTGTGCCTGTTTTGTCACGCCGCATTTGATATCCTCCAGATGTTTTGGACCAATCATGGTTGAACATTTTGGATACTCCTAAGTTCAGACGTAGGACAGACAACGGGGCGAAGAACGATGTAGATGGAAATCAAAGCCCTTGAAATGTTATAATCTGGCTTCATCTAAGAATCTTTTGTTAATGTTTTAGCAAGGTTTTTCCCAAGAACACAGAACACGGGTAAAATTCATATATGGTTCCTTTTTAAACTAATGTTCAAATAAGCAAGTGGTAAAGTACAGAAGTACAGTAGTACATAAAACAAACAATGAAACCCTAATCAAGGAAGTACCAAGGAAAAAACAAACATTGGTAGGGAAGCTACTGCATATAAACATGGACTAAATTCCATACTCCCTGACACTAATAATATTGTGTAGTCAGGTAAAGAAACATCTGCAAGCAAGCAACCAAGCTCAAAGAACACCAAACACTCCACACCACAAAGGTTTCTTCTGTAGCTCCTAGATCAGTGGTGGCGAACCTTTTAGAGACCGAGGGCCCAAACTGCAACCCAAAACCCACTTATGTATCGTCGGGTACTGGGTGGGCATGGCCAATTTGGATGGGCGTGGCTGCGGTGGTAATGGCAGACTGGGTGGAACTAAAAAGTTCAATCAATCAATTCCAACTTTGCAAGATCTTTTTTTTTTCCTGCGAGAAGTTGAAATTGATTGAACCTTTTTTTTTTTTGCACACAGTGGTGGAGGCCTAAAGTGAAAAGATTTTATAAAACCCAGCTGAAGGCCTAGGACTGGGGCGAGGGCGTGCGTGCCCACAGAGAGGGCTTTGCGTGCCACCTGTGGCACGTGTGCCATAGGTTCGCCACCATGGTCCTAGACCAGGGGTAGGCAACCTCGGCTCTTTTATGACTCGTGGACTTCAACTCCCAGAATTCCTGAGCCAGCCACGCTGAGGGGAAAGGGAGAGGTTTCCAAGCTGAGCCATGCTGGCTCAGGAATTCTGGGAGTTGAAGTCCACGAGTCATAAAAGAGCCGAGGTTGCCTACCCCTGTCCTAGACCTAGAGCCCTAGAGCAGTGCTATCAGATCAGTAGTACAAGCTGAGTAGCTCTGGATGACCACTAGATGGCAGCAAAGAGATACAAAACACTAATACTTTGCTGCCATCTAATGGTCATCCAGAGTTTGCAGTACAGATGGTCTCCTGACTTACAAGCTTTAATAGAAAGTTACCTTCATCTTTTCCACATACACTTTTTATCCATGAGAGGGAAAGCCGTATTACTTTGTCTGGGGTAAATGTAGAAACCCGGGAGTATGTGGTCAAGGTGGTTACAAAAAAGTAGAAGGAGCGGGAGTGAATTCTGTTTTCCTGCCAGCTTCCCCATTGACTTTGCTTGTGGGAAGCTGGCAGGGAGCATCAGAAATCACGATCACGTAAATGCAGGGGCACTGCAATTACCACAAGTTTGCAAATACGACTGTTGTGAAGGTCTTTGAAATTTCAGTTTTGTTAAGGAAGGCTCCACACCCATTTGCGCTACTCAGGTGACCCCGAGGATACAGATAAACCTCCAAGTGGCCTCAACGACTCTCTAAAACAGTGGTTCTCAACCTGTGGGTCGGGACCCCATTTGGGGTCGAACAACCATTTCACGCGGGTTGCCAAACAACGCAGTCCACCATTTTCCCCCCTTTTCCTTAGCTGTGCTACTCCCTTTTATTCTATTGGCTTTTGAAAGCCAATAGAATAGACTCTCTTGAATAGAGTCTATTTCTATTGGCTTTCAAAAGCCAATAGGAATTGTCCAGGCTGTCTCTGCCCTGCTGAGCCCGCCAAAAGTCCCATTCTGCAAATGGTGCTGCACCAGTTGAGTAGTCCTCGACTTACAACCGGTTGGGGGTCGCGGCATTAAAAAGGTTGAGAACCACTGTTCTAAAAAGAACGCAAATGACCAGCAGTCTGTAAGGAGTATAAATCCTTTCATTCCCCCACCATCCAGTCAGAGCTGAAGAAGCTTCTTGGGTTAGAAGCGAAACGACTTCAAAGAAAAACAAGAAAGCCCAGTTGCCTCGTGAAAAAAGCACCTCTAGGACGTATCTCGTTGTGTTTCCTGTCTGGTTTAACTGGGAAAGCTACCTTGAAGGGTTAACACTTGCTTACCTGGTTGGCTCTCCTCTTGATGACGCTCTGGGAAGGAAGAGGTGCCATAGAGGCTGCCTCCGCTGTCGAAGTATCTGTAGGTATTCTCTCCCAGGTGGACCCTCTGGTGCTTGGTCAGGTAGGGCCTCCAGCGGAAACTCTCCCCGCACTGGAGGCACTTGTACGGCTTCTCCCCCGTGTGGATCCTCAGGTGCTCTGTCAGGGTGGAGCGCCGGTTGAAGCTCCGCCCACACCGGGGGCACTCGTAGGGCTTCTCGCCCGTGTGGATGCGCAGGTGGGCGTTGAGGTGCGTGCTCTGGAAGAAACGCTTCCCGCAGGCCAGGCACTCGAAGGGCTTCTCCCCCGTGTGGGTCCGGCGGTGCTTCACCAGTTCGAATTTATACTGGAAGGCTTTCCCACAGTCGTGGCATACGTGCTTCTTCTCGATCTGAACGATCTTGATTTGGCTGATGTCGGTGACGTCGTTCCCACCGGGCAGCAGCTCCGATTCGGTCTTTACGGGCCACCTGGGTGGCTGCCCGCCTGAGCCTTGCCTGAGCCCGCAGGTCTCAGGGCTCGGCTTCGCCCCACTGCCCGGTTTCGATAAGGCAGAGGCAGCATGCAGGGACTCGGCTTCTGAGGCGCCACTCTCGATGGCGCCATCCGCTGGAGGAGAGAGGAAGAACAAGGCGGAGACAGCAGCTGATTGAAATGTACTTACAGTAGTGGCCAAAATCGTGGAAACCTTTTGGGAAAAGTATATTTTTGAGGTTTGATGGTTCATAACACCACTTTTTTTTGGGAGTAGTACCATAAAATTATATATCAATGGAAAGATAATTTAATCAAGAATGTAATGCAACATAGTTTGTTCAATTATCTGTACTGTATTCGATGAAACGTTATAACCAAATAACCAGAAAAAAGGAAGCACAACTTGCTTAGGTTGATATCAGGTAGCTTTCCTTCATCTGATTGGAGCCAATGAGCATGAGTGTTTAGAGAGCCAATCAGATGTCATCTTGTTTTGGCAATGAGCCAATCAGATCACAGTAGGATTCAGTTATTGATGTCAGGTATTGAAGCTGAGAGGAGGACATTTGTCCGTGTGTTATTTGATCGTTATCAAGTTGGTTGGGTTTTTTTTTTTTGTGTTCTTTCATTTAGTGAGCTTGTAAAATGTAATAAAATTAAAGTAATGGTACAAGGAGTTGACTGGTCGCCCAGAAAGCAATGTAAAATAGAATTATTAAGTGAACAAGGCTACAGTTATAAAGAAATTAGAAGAAAAATGGGTGGAAACTTAACCAAAGGTGGCATTTCTACTGTACACTTTTCCCAAAAGGTTTCCACAATTTTGGCCATTACTGTGTATCACAAGGTTTCCATTCTATTCCTCAATGGTTGTTTTTCCTTTAATTCTTTTGTGTACCTCTATCTATATTTTAGCTATTTTTGATTGGTTTTCTTTCATGTTTCTATTTCCCCTTTGTTTAATTTATTTTATACCCACACACAAATACTGAATGGCACAACCAAGGAGCTGGCATTGTACCCCGAGAGCTTATACACCGGAGACAAATCCCTTGTGTCACACTTGGCCAATAAAGAATTCCATTGTGTACAGCAATGGTTCTCAACCTTTTTAATGCCGCGACCCCCAACCGGTCGTAAGTTGAGGACTACTCAACCGGTCGTAAGTCGAGGACTACTCAACTGGTGCAGCACCATTCGCAGAATGGGACTTTTGGTGGGCTCAGCAGGGCAGAGACAGCCTGGACAATTCCTATTGGCTTTTGAAAGCCAATAGAATTAGACTCTATTCAAGAGAGTCTATTCTATTGGCTTTCAAAAGCCAATAGAATAAAAGGGAGTAGCACAGCTAAGGAAAAGGGGGAAAAAAATGGCGGACTGCGTTGTTTGGCGACCCCCGTGAAATGGTCGTTTGACGCCAAATGGGGTCCCGACCCACAGGTTGAGAACCACTGGTGTACAGAAACATCTGCACAGTGTATGGGCTAGCTCAGGGATAGGAAACCTTGGCTCTTTTATGACTCGTGGACTTCATTTCCCAGAATTCCTGAGCCAGGCATGCTGAGGAGAAATGGAGAGGTTTCCAAGCTGAGTCATGCTGGCTCAGGAACTCCACAAGTCATAAAAGAGCCCAGGCTGCCTACCCCTGGGCTAGATCCTTCCAAGTCCAGATGGGAGATTCTATAGAAGGTCATGGAGAATAACAGCACCAAGATCTTGTGGGATTTCCAAGTGCAGATGGACAAGCAGATACAGGCCAATCAACCTGTCACTGGGGCAGTGGACAAGGAGCAGAAGATGGGAGGTGGTGATAGACGTAATGGTGCTAAGTGACAGCAACATCAGGGAGAAGGAGCACGAGAAGTTGTTGCCAGGGCCTGAAGGAAGAACTAGGGAGGACGTGGAAAGTAAAGGCCAAAGTGGTCCCAACAGTGGCAGGAGAAATTGGGGCTGTGACTTCTTAAGCTGGGAGAATGGCTCCAACACATCCCAGAATAGCATCAGAGCTCTTTGTCCGGAAGGGGGCAGCTGACTCAGCCGAAGAAGCTTTTTTGGATGAGAAAAATATTCAAACAAAAATAAGAAAGTCCAGTTGCCTCTTGAAAAAGCACCTTTGGGACATAAATGGACTTGTTTCTAAGAGCTGAGGCTTCTTCTGCAGCCAGATGTTTGCTTCTGAGGATTTCACATTTCAGATGTGTAGGATATCACATCTCTTGGGTCACATGACTGACGATTGTAAGAATCCCCACTGATATTAATCACGTTCACAGCCCTTTATCTGAGTTTTGGGATGCTTTGCCAGTAAGCAGAGGCATCTGCGGAGAGGTGAGCGTGTCAAGATAGAAGCTGTGAGCGCAACTGATGCCCTTAACCCTTTTAATATGTGCCACAATCTATGTCAGTGGTACGAACCTATGGCACGCGTGCCAGAGGCGGCACTCGGAGCCCTTTCTGTGGGCACACCTGCTGTTGCCCCAGCCTCGCCTCCCCCCACGACCCCCTCCTTACCAGCAGCCCCCCTGGAAGAGAGTCGCCCCCGAACGTGGCCCACACGGAGCAGCGCAGCCAAGGACATGGCAGCCAGGCAGCGTAGACAAGACTCTGCCCTCACACCCCATCCTGTACAGTTGATGCTGCTGGGCATGGGCAGAGGGCATGGCCGCCATGGTGCTGCTGGGCTGCCTGGCGATCTGCAGCGGGCCCTGGAGGCAGTGAGTGGCCCTGCAGGCAGACAAGGTGGGGGCGGGGCAGGGGGTGGAGTGGAGGCGGGGCCAGTTTTTGGGCATTCGGTCTCTAAAAGGTTCGCCATCACTGACCTATGTAAAAACGGAACGAGGTTGAATAGCAATGTCATGACCACCATCTTGATTTTTTTGTTGTTGTTGTTGCTTACCTCCCTTAGGGACATGCCTGCACATATAGCAAATATTTGGATTTTAGACACCGGATCAATCTAGAAATGCGAACTAAAGCAGAGACATCTTCTTTCTTTCTTTCAGGAAGCAAAGAAACACCAAGAAAGTGCCGGTATGATTTGAAAGCCAGGACAGGCCCATCTTAGAAGTGGATCCCTTCCCTTTTGGAGTAATTATGCCCCAACGTTCTCATCTTGCAATACAGCAGAGAAGGAAGGATGCAAAACATATGCAGCCTATCTGGCATTTAGAAGGAACGGTTAAATCAGGGGTTCTCAACCTTGGCAACTTTAAGACTTGTGGACTTCAACTTGTGGACTTCAACTCCCAAAGCTGGCTGAGGAATTCTGGGAGTTGAAGTCCACAAGTCTTAAAGTTGCCAAGGTTGAGAACCCCTGGGTTAAATAAATACAGGTATCTGGATCCTAAAAAGTTGTCTTGTATGTATCCTAATTTACAGCCCAAATGTTGGAGATGTGGTAGTTTGGATGCCACTTATTTTCATATATGGTGGACTTGTAGAAATATAAAAGCCTTTTGGATTAAGATTTGGTGGAACATTCAACAGATTTTCAAGAGAAAGATAAAGTTTACCCCACAATTATTTTTATTGGGTGTTATTACAGATTGTGATGCTAAAGAAATTAATCTGATGTTGAATTTGATAACAGCTGCAAGGTTACTAGTAGGGCAGTATTGGAAGAAGGATTGTTTGCCTACTGTAGAAGAATGGACGCTTAAAGTGTCAAATTTAGCAGAAATGGCTAAGATTTCTGCTTACTTGAAGGATCACTCACAAGAAAGATACACTTCAGTTTGGAGAAGATGGATAAATTATATTCAGAATAAATATGGGACTAAAAAGTTTCATTTAGTGAATTTTAGAGTATTATTATGATATTATTATTATTAGTAGTATTAGTATTGTTTAACAATTTGGAGATTGTATTGTTTAATAATTAGGATATTAACTTGTTTATGTTTTCATTGTTATTATGTTTATTTTCAATTTGTTTATATTTATGTTAAAGGGGAGTTAAAGTGCATTATGGACTTGGTTATTTATATAGTTGGTTAATGTTAGTTAGATTATGATTATCACATTAGTAACCCTGTAAGCTCTGGGAAGTTGGGGAGGGGGGGTTTGGGTGGGTTATATTGTAATTTTTATAAAACTTTTTAATAAAAATAAATAAATAAATACAGGTAGTCCTCGCTTAAAAAAACCACAATTGATACTGACAACCCCATTGTGAAATTATGCGTTTGTTAAGCAAGGCATCACGTGATTGCCACTTGCCATGTTATGCTGGTTTCCCCACTGATGTTGCTTGTCAGAAGCCAGCTGCAAATGGTGACCACGTGATTATAGGATGCTGGGCTAGTTGTAACTCTGAGGACTGGTTGTAAAGTTACTGTCAACGCTGCTAACATTGGATGTTCTTGCTTTGACAACATATGAAGATGCAGCCTTCTTCTTTCGTATGCTTTACTCTTAGAATTAGATGATGCTGGGAGAGGGGGAGGAATGTGGGAGTCTGTTAGACATAACCATATTGTAATCGTGTGTGAATTCAGGGCTTTTGAAATAAGAGATGATAAGAAATGGCGGGCTGGAGAACAGGAGGGAAAGCCTGCATTTCAAACTAATTGGAGAATGTGATTTATGTGTCTGATGCTATGTGCTAAGAGGAGAGGAATCCAGTTTTTGGCTTCAACTATGTTAGTGCCGAAGCTATGCTACTCCAATAAAGATTCTTTAAGGTAAACAATGCCTCGAAGTTCTTTGAAGAGTTTCATCTGTCGGAACCATGACATTTACTTTTTCAATGCTAAGGGAACTCCGGTTGGTAAACAAGGCAGTCATTAAGAGACTGACTAATCTACCTGTCACTTTCGAATTGTGGTGCTGGAGAAGATTCTTGAGAGTCCCTTGGACTGCAAGGAGAGCTGATCAGTCAATCCTAAAGGAAATCAACCTTGACTGTTTTTTTGGAAGGAGAGACGCTGAAGCTGAAGCCGAAATACTGTGGCCACCTAATGAGGAGAGAGGACTCATCGGAAAAGACCCAGATGTTGGGAAAGATGGAAGGCAAAAGGAGAAGCGGACAGGAGAGGATGAGATAGATAGATAGTATCTTCGATGCAATGAACATGAATTTGGGCAAACTCTAGGAGGGCAGGGGGGCTGGCAAGCTACGGTCCATGGGGTTATGAAGAGTTGGACACAATTTAGCGACTGAAGTACAACAAGAAAGAAGAGATTCTAGAAAGAGGGCAGAGGAGAGCAACAAAGATGATCAGAGGACTGGAGGCTAAAATATACAAGCAACGGTTGCTGGAATTGGGTATGTCTAGTTTAATGAAGAGAAGGATGAGGGGGGACATGATAGCAGTCTTCCAGTATCTCAAGGGCTGCCACAAAGAAGAGGAAGTCAAGCTATCCTCCAAAGTGCCTGAAGGCAGGGCAAGAAGCAATGGATGGAAACTAATCAAGGAGAGAAACAACCTAGAACTAAGGAAAAACTTCCTGACTGTTAGAACAATTAATTGGTGGAACAACCTGCCTCCAGAAGTTGTGAATGCTCCAACGCTGGAAGTTTTTAAGAAGAGTTTGGATAGTCATTTGTCTGAAATGGTATAAGATTTCCTACTTGAGCAGGGGGTTGGACTAGAAGACCTCCAAGGTCCATTCTATTCTATTCTATTCTATTCTATTCTATTCTATTCTATTCTATTCTATTCTATTCTATTCTATTCTATTCTATTCTATTCTATTCTTCCATTCCATTCCATTCCATTGCACTATTCTATTCTGTTCTGTTCTTCTGTTCTGTTCTTCCATTCCATTGCTCTATTCTATTCTATTCTATTCTATTCTATTCTATTCTATTCTATTCTATTCTATTCTATTCTATTCCATTTCATTCCATTCCATTCCATTTATTCCTTATTCTATTCCATTCCATTCTATTTATTCCTTATTCTATTCCATTCCATTCCATTCCATTCCATTCTATTTATTCCTTATTTTATTCTATTCCATTCCACTCCATTCCATTCCATTCCATTCCATTATTCTGTTCTGTCTCGTTCCATTCCAAATCTGTAAAGGCAGAGACTAAAATCAGACTTGCCTGTTAGTCTTCCCAGAGGCTCAGGGCAGGGTGAGTCTTCAAAGATGGCTTCTCTGTTGTTGAGGCCTCGGTACGCAGCGTTGCCCAGGTGGACCCTCTGGTGCTTGGTCAGGTAGGGCCGCCAGCGGAAGCTCTCCCCGCACTGGAGGCACTTGTACGGCTTCTCCCCGGTGTGGATCCTCAGGTGCTCCGTCAAAGTAGAGCGCCGGTTGAAGCTCCGCCCACACCGGGGGCACTCGTAGGGCTTTTCGCCCGTGTGGATGCGCCGGTGGGCACTGAGGTGGGAGCTCTGGATGAAGCGTTTGCCGCACGCCAGGCACTCGTAGGGCTTCTCGCCCGTGTGGGTCCGCCAGTGCAGCAAGAATTCCGACTTGCAGTGAAACCACCGGTCGCATTCGGGGCACATCAGCTTCTTCCGGCCCACGTGGAACATGCTGTGCTTGGAACTGGCTGCCCTGATGTGCCTGGAAGGCTCCCGCCAGATGTGCCCGGCCTGTAGCTCCCACTGTCTCTGCAGGCCGCACCGGGCCTCTGAGGCTAAGGAAGGGTTCTCTGGGGGTGGCCCCAGCAAAGCCCATGGCGGATCTTCTGGATCCAAAATGTCAGGTTCTGCCATCTCTTCCTTGATCTCCCTCACGATCACCTCGCTTGCTGGCATAGTGGGAGAAGCCAGAGAAAAGTTGTTTCCTAAGAAAGAGAAGGGGGGGGGGGAAGATGAGCTAAGGCAGTGGTCTCTCACCTTGGCAAGTTTAAGACTTGTGGACTTCAACTCCCAGAATTCCTTAGCCAGCTTGGCAAGTTTAAGACTTGTGGACTTCAACTCCCAGAATTCCTGAGCCAGCATGGGGGAACTATGGCCCCTTCATAACTTGCGGACTTCAACTCCTAGAATTCCTGAGCCAGCATGAGGGAACTATGGCCCCCTCATGACTGGTGGACTTCAACTCCCAGAATTCCTGAGCCAGCATGGCTCAGCTTGGAAACCTCTCCCTTTTCCCTCAGCATGGCTGGCTCAGGAATTCTGGGAGTTGAAGTCCACGAGTCATAAAAGAGCCAAGGTTGCCTACCTCTGACCTAGTGACTCTAATCCAACTCCAAGCAGGAGCCCCTACACCATTTTTGACAGATTTAGCCCCAAAGCTCATCGCTGCTTCACCTTCCTTTTCTCTCACCTTCATATAGATTGAGGGGGATTTTTTTCTCCTCCGAGGCTGCTTGGGCAGAGATCCATGGCTCTTCTCCTTGTTCCAGACGATAGATCAACTCGGGCTTGGGGATTGCAACAGCTGCATTGCGTGCATGCATGCATGCACAAGTGTACACAAAGAGGGAGAAAATGATGAAGTTGGTTAAATGCCTGGCAGCCCGCAACTGACACAAACAGCAGTGGATGTCCCAAAGAGTTAGAATGTTTAAAGAGACTGATTTCTATAGATAACGCAAAATGAAATGTTCTTCCGACAGGGGCTACCAGCGTAGAAAATGCTTGCCGGTTTCAGGCCACTGTGGCCACCCCACAAATGAAAGAGAATTTTATATTTTTAAAAAATGGTCAAATCTTTTAAAATCCCTCCCTCCCTCCTCTCTCTTTCTTGCTCTCTCCCACCCTCCCTCCCTCCCCCCCTTTCAATGATCAGATAAGAGACAGTATAGCCCATAGCTGTATAGTCAATCAGAATAGAGCTGGAAGGGACCTTGGAGGTCATCTAGTCCAACCCCCTGCTCAAGCAGGAGACCATATAGCATTTCAGACAAGTGATTGTCCAGTCTCTTCTTCAAAACCTCCAGAACCTCTGAAGGCAAGCTATTCCATTCGTTAACTGTCCTCACTGTTAGGAACTTTCTCCTTAATTCCAGGTTGCTTCTCTCCTTGACTAGTTTCCATCCATTGTTTCTCGTCCTGCCCTCTGGTGCTTTGGGAAACAATTTGACCCCCCCTCCCCTTTGTGGCAGTCTCTCAAATACTGGAATTCTGCTATTATGTCCCACCCTAGTCCTTCTCTTCTCTAGACTGGCCATTCCCAAATCCTGCAACCGTTCTTCATATGTTTTAGTCTCCAGGCCCTTAATCATCTTAGTTGTTCTTCTTTGCACTTTTTCCAAAGTCTCAACATCTTTTTTGTAATGCGGTGACCAAAACCGGATGCAGTATTCCAGGTGTAACTTTACTAAGGCTTTATAAAGCAGTAGTGGGCGACTTAAGTCAAGGACTACTTATTAAGGTACAGCTAGCAAGGAGATTGCTTCACACCCATTTTGAAGCAATCCCCCTTTGCACCCCACTAAGAAAAGGGGGGGGAGGAGGGAATTTTTACCCAGTGAAGCCACAGTCTCGTAGTTTTCTTGCATGACATCCCAGTACAGATCTCTCTGCTCTGCGTCCAGGAGAGTCCATTCTACCTCTGTAAAGTACACGGCCACCTCTTCAAATAAGAACGGCGGTGGCTGCAAGGAGGGCAGAAAAGATTGGGGCAATAAGTTCCCTTGTGAGCTTCGTTTTAATAAGCGCAACCTATTTTGGTTCCCCTCCAACCCCTCTGCTACCTGAAAAGGTTCCGTTGTCACCATCTCTGTTCCTCCCAGAGGAGGGAACGTTCCAAAGACAAACACACACATCATTTTGCCAAATCTGTCAGGGAGAAAAGGGGAGGTCAGATGGAATAATCTTGGTTGAGGGGTGCTGTTCTTTTAAAAAACAGCTACTCTGCTACATACAGTGGTGGCCAAAATTGTGGAAACCTTTTGGGAAAAGCGTACAGTAGAAATGCCACCTTTGGTTAAGTTTCCACCCATTTTCCTTCTAATTTCTTTATAACTGTAGCCTTGTTCACTTAATAATTCTATTTTACATTGCTTTCTGGGTGACCAGTCAACTCTTTGCACCATTACTTTAATTTTATTACGTTTTACAAGCTCACTAAATGAAAAAACACAAAAAAACCACAACCAACTTGATAACAATCACATAACACACTGATAAAATGTCCTCCTCTCAGCTTCAATACCTGACATCAATAACTGAATCCTACTGTGATCTGATTGGCCCATTGCCAAAACAAGATGACACCTCATTGGCTCTCTAAACACTCCTGCTCATTGGCTACAATCAGAGGAAGGAAAGCTACCTGATATCAACCTAAGCAAGTTGTGCTTCCTTTTTCTGGTTATTTGGTTATAACTTTTCATAGAACACAGTACAGATAATTGAACAAACTATGTTGCATTACATTCTTGATTAAATTATCTTTCCATTGATATATATAATTTTATGGTACTACTCCCCCCAAAAAAAGTGGTGTTATTAGCAATGCTCCTGGGGAGGAAAGCTATGGCAAACCTAGATAGCATACTAAAAAGCAGAAACGTCACCTTGCCAAGAAAAGTGCGTATAGCCAAGGCCATGATTTTTCCAGTTGCAACGTATGGCTGTGAAAGTTGGAGCATAAGAAAGGCTGAGCGCCAAAGAATTGAGGCCTTTGAACTATGGTGCTGGAGAAGACTCCTGCGAGTCCCTTGGACTGCAAGGCATTCAAACTGGTCAGTCCTAGAGGAGATCAACTGACTGCTCTTTAGAAGGCCAGATCCTGAAGTTGAAACTCAAGTACTTTGGCCACCTAATGAGAAGGAAGGACTCACTGGAGAAGGGCCTAATGCTGGGAAAGATTGAGGGCAATAGAAAAAGGGGACGACAGAGAAGGAGGTGGCTGGATGGAGTCACTGAAGCAATAGGCGGGAGCTTTAATGGACTCCAGAAGATGGTAAAGGACAGGAAGGCCTGGAGGAACATTGTCCATGGGGTTACTATGGGTCAGACACGACTTCGCAACTAACAACAACTCAAAAAAAAAGTGCTATTAGCCATCAAACTTCAAAAATATACTTTTCCCAAAAGGTTTCCACAATTTTGGCCACTACTGTACATATGCACAAACATATAAAGACAAGGCTCGGCCTGTCCTTCTTTAGACTCCTACTGCAATTGCAGGGGAAAATGTAGGAAATCTGAAAGCAGCCAGGATAAACTCTCTTCATTTTACAAAATTAAGAATGGGGCACTGGGATGAAATACAGATAGTCCTTGACTTACAGCAGTTTGTTTAGTGACTGTTTGAAGTTACAACAGCGCTGAAGGAAGTGACTTATGACCGTTTTTCACACTTAAGACCACTGCGGCATCCCCAGGGTCACGTAATCAGTGTTTGGCAACTGACTCATATTTATGAAGACTCTAGTGTCCCAGGGGCACGTGATCACCTTTTGCGACCTTCTGGAAAGCAAAGTCAACAAGGAAGCCAAATTTACTTAACAACTGTATTACTAACTTAACAATTTGCAACTTGTAACATAGGCACCCTTCTAAAAAATTTGTTTTTCCTGGGAAATGCCCAAAGTTTTCAGGCTCCTTCCACATGCAAAACACCCCCAATTTCCCTCAAACCGAAGTACACAACTACACCCCTGCCATTCCCCCCCCCCATCTCTCGTGTTTTCTATTCTGTCCAGCCACGCAACCTCACAAAGCAAGTTCCCCAATCTGACACCTGTCAAAGATGCTGGACTTCCACAGCAGCAGGCTGACAACGATGGGGCTTGTGTTCGACTTACGAACACAACTGAGCTCAAAACTTCTGTTGCTAAGTGAGGCGTTTGTTAAGTGAGTTTTGCCCCTTTTTACGGCCTTTCCTGCCACAGTTGTTAAGGGAATCACTGCACTTGTTAAGTCAGGAACACTGTTGTTAAGTGAAACTGGCTTCCCCATTGACTTGGCTTGTCAGAAGGTGGCAAAGGGGGATCCCATGATCTAAGGACACTGCAACTGTCATAAATATGAGCCAGTTGTCTTGACCATGGGGATGCTGCAACCATCATGTGAAAAACGGCTGCAAGTCACTTTTTTCAGTGCTGTTCTAAACTTAGGTCACTAAATGAACTGTTGCAGGCCAAAGATTACTTGTGGTTCCCGACATCCAGAACACTCCAGTGGGAGGAAGGATGCTTTTAACCACGGAACCTGCTTTTGTTTCCTTGTTTGTTTTTTTAAATCCAATCTTTTCTTGGCAAGACACTTGGGAAAGAGAGGTGCATGCAACAGAAGCAAGGCCCTGGGTTACCTTCTGCAGCTCGGACGCCTCTGTTCTGCTTCCCTAAATGATGCAGGACCCTCGGCTGGATGGAGGTGGGGGAGATGGGGGATAATAGAGTTGGAGGGGACCCTGGAGATCTTCTAGTCCAACCCCCGGCTCCAATTCGAAGAATGGAGGATGGAGGGGATTGCAATTGAATCCCACCAACCCACCCCGCCGCCAAGCCCTGGGCTGTTCGGCCCTCTGGCTCAGGCCGGGCGCCAAAGCCGCCCCCGAAGGCGCGGACTCTTCTTCGGCTCCATAGACGCCGCGGACCGGATCTCGCAGCCTCGGCTCGAGGAAGACCAGCCCCTCCGAGGTCGCCGAGCGGGGAGCGAGGGAGAAGGAAGAGAGGCAGAAGAGAGGAGCTTCTTTCGGGAGGCCTCGGCCAGCCGAGGAACCGGAGCCATCTGCTGGCCGCGCCGGCCCGCCGGCCGGCCGGCCTGCCTGCCTGCGGAGGGACAGAAGCAACCGGCGGCGCCCGGGAGCCCTTTAGGCGCGCTCCTAGCGGAGATGGGGGGGGAGGGAGGGAGATCCCAAGCCCACCATCCCCAGCTAGCTGCCCGATTGGGGATGGTGGGAGTTGTTTGCTGAGCTGCCGGATCTGGAGGGTGCTAGCTGAGTCCCGGGCAGGTGGATTACGATCTCCAACCTGGCGTCCTTCCTTGTGGAAGGTGCGCAATGGGCTTGGCAGGCAGGCTTGGTGGTCGGGGATGATGGGAGCGACTCTGGATCAGAGGAGGCTGGGAGGAAGTAAGCCAGAAGCTCCATATAGGTAGCCCTCAAGGTATGACCACAACTGAGCCCAACAGTTCTGTGCAAAGACAGTTATTGTGAGTTTTGCCCCAGTTTACGACCTTTCGTTGCCAAAGTTGCTAAGTCGTTAAGTGAATCTCCGCAGATGTTAGTAACACAGCTGTGAAGTGAATCTGGCTTCCCCGTTGACTTGGCTTGATAGAAAGTCACAAAAGGGGATCACATGACCCTGGGACACTGCAAACTTATATGCCGGTTTCCAATTGCCCATCACATGATCACGGGGACACAGCAACGGTTAAGTGTGAAACATGGCCATAAGTCATTTCTTTCATGTCGTTGTAATTTTGGTCACTAAACAAATGATTGTAAGTTGATGACTACACACACACACACACACACACACACACACACACACACACACACACACACACACATTTATACCAAGGGTAGGCAACCTTGGCTCTCTTATGACTCATGGACTTCAACTCCCAGAATTCCTGAGCCAGCCATGCTGAGGGGAATGTGAGAGGTTTATAAGCTGAGCCATACTGGCTCAGGAATTCTGGGAGTTGAAGTCCACGAGTCATAAAACAACCAAGGTTGCCTACCCCTGCTCTCTACACACACACACACACAAACACAGCCACCAGACTATTCCCCATCAGGGAAAGTTGCTTTACTGGGATCACAGGATATTCACAAGAGAAGACATAAAGTTGCAAACAAATAAACCCTTTTATTAACTTGGTGGCACATGCTGTTTTCTTCTCAGGAGAACACAGAACTTTCTGGGCATATTTATCTGTAGCTCTTCCTGCATATCTTATTTGGAGCAAGCAGTAACTGGCTGATTAACAAAGAAACATTTGATTTTTTTTAATTGTTGTTGTTTAGACATACACCCTTGAATCAGATGCAGCTACAGGGAAACAGATGAAAAGCATTCAGTGCAGATTAAAAAAAAGAAAGAAAGAAAAGCATTCAGTGCAGATGATCCTTTTCTCTCAAGACTTTTGCTGATAGTGATGTTTCCAATGGCTTTTAGCAATGAAAAGCTACTTGGGGTATGCTCTACTAAGGTTTCAGCTATGTTTGTTAGTAGCTGCTGATTTGGGGCACCTGCCTAAAATATAATCCAGTATTTCTCAATACAGATAGTCCTCAACTTATGACCACAGTCAAGCCCAGAATTCATGTTGCTAAATGAAAAATTTGTTACGTGGGAGATTTGCCCCATTTTACAACTTTTCTTACGGCATCTGTTAAGTGAGCCACTGCAGTTGTTAAATTAGTAGCACAGTTATTAAGTGAATCTGGCTTCCCCATTGACTTTGTTTGTCAGAAGGTCACAAAAGGAGATCACTTTTAATTCTGGGGTGCTGCAACCTTCATAAATACAAACCAGTTGTCAAGCATCTCAGTGTAAATCACATAACCATGGGAATGCAGCAATGGTCATAAGTGTGAAAAACGGTCATAAGTCACTTTTTTCAGTAGCATCGACTCCCTCCTCTCTGTGACAGTTCCTCAAATATTGGAAGACTGCTATCTTGTCTCCCTTGGTCCTTCATTAGACTAGCCATGCCCAGTTCCTCTAACCGTTCTTCATAGGTTTTAGCCTCCAGTCTCCTAATCATCTTTGTTGCTCTTCTCTGCACTCTTTCTAGAGTCTCAACATCTTTTTTATAGTGTGGAGACCAAAACTGGATGTAGTATTCTAGGTGTGGTCTTACTAAGGTTTTATAAAGTGGTATTAGTATCTCACCTGATCTTGATTGAATCCCTCTGTCAATGCAATTTAGGATTGCATTGGTTTTCTTGGCTGCTGCCGCTGCACTGTTGACTCATATTTAATTGAGCACACTAAGACTCCAAGATCCCTCTCACAGTTACTGCTGTTAAGCCTGGTTTCACCCAATCTGTATGTGTACTTGTGGTTTTTCTTGCCTACGTGTAAGACTTTACTTTTCTCTAGACTGAATTCCATTTTATTAGAGAGGGCCCCGTGTTCAAGTGTGTCAAGATCCATCGGGATCTTCAGCCTATCATCTTGGCCTTTTTGTTTTGTTTTGTTTTGCGGAGCGAGGTACTCAGTGGGTTAAAGAGAGCGAGAGAGGCTGCTTGCTAGAGAGGCCCTGGCCGTGGAGAGGGAGAGGGGTTTGGGGGGATTTAAATACTCGATGCACCTTCCTGTGCTGTTTTATCTGCCCTGTGTAGTGGTGGGAGGGGAGGGGGGAAACTGGCGGCGGGGCCCCTCCGGAGGAGCTTGGACCAGATAGCAGCGCGTGGCCAGGGCAAAGAGCGCGCGCGCCAGTAGGTGAGCTGCTTTTGCAAAAGCAGGAGGCGCCCGACCTGGGCGGCTGCAAAGAGGCGAAAGCAGGGAGAGCCGGCGGGGCTTTCCCCGTCCTATCTAGAGAGGAAGGGGAATCCCGGGTAAGAATCCCGTAGCTGCAAAGTCCTTTGAAGTCCGGGCCTGGTGGCTTTCCCGCCTCCGGGGCTCTGCGGCTTGGATGCACTACAACTCCCATCCTCTCGCTTGCTGGGGCGCGGAGCAAGTGTAATTTTGCGCCGTGCAAAAAAAAATCCGTGCAATTTTTGAAATCGGGGCCTGCTGGCTTCTCCGCGCTCCTGGCTCCGCTGCTAGGAGGTACTAACTACAACTCCCATCTTCTTACTTCTTGGGCCGGGAAGCGAGGGAAGTGTAAATCTGCGCCGTGCAATTTTTGAGATGCGGGCCTGCTGGCTTCTCCGTTTCGGGGTTCTGCAGCAAGGATACACTACAACTCCCATCTTCTCGCTGGCCGGGGACCGAGGGGGATGTAACCCTGTGCCGGGCAAAAGCCGTGCAAAAGCCCAGACATTTAGGGAGAGCGGCTTGTGCATTCCCGCTCCGCCTGAATGTGTAGGACGAAGAAGCGTGGGGGAAATATCTATGCAGATAGGAAATTGTAATGGTGAGGATGATGGGATTTAGAGTCCAGTGCCTTTTTCAGGTTGGAAAAAGTCGTGGTCGTGCAGGTTGCCAGCTCTTTGAATTGGCTCCTGCGGCTAAATCTGTTAGAGTGGCTTTGATCTGACTGGATTAACAGGTGAAAAGCCCTTTAGCTCTATTTATGTTTATTACCTGCTTAATATTTGCATATCAAAGGTACTGTGAGAGCCACAGCCCTTTAGTAGATAGCGGGCCAGATTGTGGTCGTCTTGAGATGAAAGTGCATTCCTTAAAGTTGTGTTTATTATGAAGCTATTAGAGTTGCAGGCTTATTACTAATGTAGGTACATATCTATTCAGCTATATACACTTTTATTTAATCTTAACTATCAATCTCATCTTCCATTTCCCTCCTGTTTCCTCACCCTGCTGCAAATCTATTGTCTAATTAATACAAACTTCACTTGCACAGTTGTAAAGTGTGCAACCAGTTCATTATAAGCAATGTGCTATAATCTCCCCAAAGTGCTTTAATTTCTTATGATAATTAAAATTTATGTCCTGTTCTAGGGTGGGTTTTTTTTCCTGTATCTTCTTGTGCTTGTTTTTGTTAGGCGTTAGTGTTCAGTGCCATATTTTGGGAGTCTTATCTTGCAGTTTTTGTACAGGTAGTCTTTTTGTAGCCCAAAATTTCTGTTGCTAAGTGAGACAATTGTTAAGTGAGTTTTGTCCCATTTTATGACCTTTCTTGTCACAATTATTAAATGTCTATCGAGATTCCCAGTCATTCAGGTCATGGTTGTCCCAAGGGTGCTTTTTCAAAAGGCAACTGGACTTTTCCCTTGGAGATGTTTAGCTTCTCATCCAAGAACTAAAGAAGCTTTGAGACCATAATTCTTAAGTTAGTAACATGGTTGTTAAGTGAATTTATCTTCCCCATTGACTTAGCTTATCAGAAAGGTCGCAAAAGGTCGTCACATGACACCGGTACACTGCAGCCGTCATAAATGTGAGTCAGTTGCCAAGTATCCAAATTTTGATCATGTGACCATGGGGATGCTGCAACAGTCATAAGTGTGAAAAACAATCATAAGTTGCTTTTTTCAGTGCCTTGTAACTTCGAACGGTCACTAAATGAACCGTTGTAAGTCGAGGACTAGCTGTAATCAACTAACTGGTTGTGCCTGAGGTGAAAAGCTATGTGAGATCATCTGCGTAACAGTTCTGTAGAGAATGAGGGAAGTTACTTAACAGATCTCGACCTTGATCTTGACAGAGGTAAGCTAGAGGTAAGCGAGGAGAAGAGAACAAGAAAATATGCGGAAAAGACCCCTCTGAAGGGTGTAAGAGGGGGAAGGGGGTACAGTACAATCAGACTTGCAAGATTGTGGTGTAATAGCCACTCCCAATAAAAATAGTTTTAGCCCTCCTGTGGAAATGATTCTTGGGTCTTCTTGGTGGGGCTGACAGTTTTTCAACATGCTTTATTTTTCTCCTCAGAGAGTACCACTTTGCTGCTGAATGATGTTGTACGGCCTACTGCTTCCTTAAAATCTTTCCCATACTGGAGGAAACTGCCTTATCTGCCAGGAGCTAAGACAAATTCTGGACATTCCTGGGAGCCCGAGATTGACTGAAATTGCAAATTTTGTTCCCAGCGAGGTCTGCTGTTTGAGAGGCCATGGCGGCTGAGCAGAGGGCCAGAAGAGCTGATGGTATCCCAAGACGCAGGGGGATCGTCAAAATGGAAGATCGTCAAACCATCAGCCCCAGAGGGCCAGAGGGAGCGGACCGTACAGGGAAACTGCCTCGGGTCCTCCAAGTAGGGACCATCCGAGAGTTCCTGAATTGGGCTGCCCCACGGCAAGTGAAGCAGGAGCCCAGGGAGGGCTTGCCCGAAATCTGGGAAGCCCAATGGCAGGAGTTCCTCACTGCGCTCCGGTCCTCTCCTCTAGGGGAGGGACACCAGCCGCTGGCCGAGGGACCCTCCCCGTGGAGGGACAACAAAGCCTTCTTTGCCTCTTTTGAACGTCTGGCTGGAACCTGCCAGCTGCCCCGCCGAGAATGGCTGGCTCGCCTGGTGCCCGTGCTGGGCAGGGAAGCTAAAGAGGCCTACAGTAGCCTCAGCCTCCAAGACCGAAGCGAATACGCCAAAGTCAAGGCGGCCATCTTGAAAGGAGATGCCTTGCGGATGGAGGCGCAGCGCCAGCGTTTCCGGCAGTTCCGCTACCACGAGGCCCGGGGCCCCCGGGAAGTATACAGCCAGCTTCGGGAGCTGTGCCGGGGGTGGCTGAACCCAGAGAAGCACACCAAAGAGCAGATATTAGACCTCCTGGTCCTGGAGCAGTTCTTGACCCTCCTGCCCCAGGAGATCCAGAGCTTGGTGAGGGAACACGGCCCGGAGTCGTGTGCCCAGGCCGTGCCCTTGGCGGAGGCCTTCCTGCTCAGGCAGCAAGAGGCCGAAAGAAAGGGGAAGCAGGTATGTCCGACAGCGCTGAGCGGCCTTGTTCTTGGCGCAAAATGGTGTGTGGTGATGAGTTTAAGTGTTTTGTATTTTGCTGAAAGAGATCTTATTACAGATAGTCCTCGAATTACGACCACAATTGAGGCCAAAATTTCCGTTGATAAGCGGGACGTTTGCTTTCCCCCATTTTACGACCCTGCTTGCCACATGCAGTGAGAGAATCGTTGCATATGTTAAGTTAGTAACACAGTTGTTAAACGAATCTCGCTTCCCCTTTGACTTTGCCTGTCAGGAGCTCATAAAAGGTGATCACATGACCCCCCCCGGGACACTGCAACTGTCATAAATACGAATCAGTTGCCAAGCTATCTGGATTTGGATCACATGACCTTGGGGGATGCTGCAACGGTCCTACGTGTGAAAAACGATCATGTCACTTTTTTCAGTGCCATTGTAATTTTGAATGGTCACTAAATGAAGTCGTAAGTTCAGGATGACCTGTATATTCATCCCAACCTCATCGCAAGTAGTGTAAGAATTTCTGGAAGGAGGCAAAGGCGATAGAAGTAACTTAGGTGACTTAATGGCCATAATTGAGTCCGGAATTATGGCTGTTAAGTCACGTCGGTAGTTAAGAGAGTCATCACACGACAGACCCCATTTTATGACAATTTTTGGCTGAATTGTGGTTGTAAGTCAAGGACTACCTGTATGTTGTCTGATTTAGAGTTGATGATAAGCAGGAGCTCGGCAAAACACCCGGACACATTTTCTGCGTTGCATGAGAAAAGCACATCTTCCTTCCCCTGTCCTGACCACTTTCTACAGAGGGACGATCGAGAGCATCCTGTCATACAGCATCACAGTCTGGTTTGGAAGCATCACTGCTTCAGACAGGAAGGCGGTGCAGAGAGTGGTGAGGATGGCTGAAAAGATCATTGGCAGTTCCTCCCTCCCATCCAGGACATAGCACAGAAGCATTGCTTGAGCAGGGTCCGCAAGATTATCTGGGACACTACGCATCCTCTTCACGACCTGTTTTCCTTGTTACTTTTTGGGAGGAGGCTCCGTGGTATCTGAAGCAGAACATCCAGATTCTGTCACGGCTTTGTTCCATAAACCTTGTGAACTCTAAAGCTTCCTCCTTCCGTTATGTATTGAAATGGGCAGTGATTAATATTTATATGTTACTTATATGTAAGGGTGTAGGTTTATACCAGGGGTAGGCCACCTTGGCTCTTTTATACCTCGTGGACTTCAATTCCCAGAATTCTTGAGTCAGCATGGCTCAGCTTGGAAACCTCTCCCTTTCCTCTCAGCATGGCTGGCTCAGGAATTCTGGGAGTTGAAGTCCACGAGTCATAAAAGAGCCAAGGTTGCCTACCCCTAGTCTATACATATGTTGTATATAGTACGTTTTAAATGTGTTATGTATGTGTACACTTTGAAGGGAAGCAACTAAATTGAATTTTTAATGTGTGCCATTGTGCCCACAGGAAAAAAAAAATGACAATAAAGGTTATCTAATCTGATGAGGAATGGGATGGCTTTTTAAGGTCCCCGCTTTCTGCTCTTCTTTCAGACTCGGGGAATCCGAGGGGTGAACTGGGCCGAGGTGAAGCCATCTCCTGTGGGTGCTGGGCTGAAGCGGATCCCTCGAGAGGTGAAGCAAGATGCCAGAATCCTGGGTAAGAATCTCCTGCCTCTGGTTCTTTGGAAGCTGTCACCTGTCTCAATCTGGTCTCAGCTGCTCTCCAGGACTGTGGAGTCACCACGGCCTAGAATTCCTGGCCAAAAATCGGGAGTACTGGTCATTCTCGGAATTGCAGTCTCAACATATCTAGCAGGGGAAGGTAGTCCTGTGAATCTTTGCCAATTTTGGGGGGGGGGGCAGACAGGAATGACTAGATATGCAGTAGATCAGGGGTCCCCCACCCCCCAGGTCTCAGCCCATACAGAACCGGGCCGCGCAAGTGGTGGGTGCTCAAACGGAACCATCCTCTCTTCCCTGCCCCCACCGCCAGCCCAGTCCATAAACCCGGAAAGATTGGGGAGCGCTGCAGTAGATGATCCTGCAAGTATCCTGAGCTCGCTTCACGTAGGGCTTTGTAGGTGGCAACCAACCCCTTGAATTGTATTTGGAAGCTGGTTACCAGCCTTCCCAGGTAGAGGAGACAGGAAACACAACTGGGTGAGCTAACTCTATTTTAGTGTACCACACAAAATGGAATAACAGAATTGGAAGGGAGGTCTTATAGTCCAGGGCTTTTCAACTGTCTCACCACCCCGTTTCTTCCAAGGCTGCTCGCTTGCTCGTTCACCGCCCCGTCTCTTCCAACACTGCTTGCTCACCACCCCGTCTCTTCCAAAGGCCGCTCACTCATTCACCGCCCCGTCTCTTCCAAGGCTGCTCCCTCGCTCCCTTACCACCCTGTCTCTTCCAAAGGCCGCTCGCTTGCTCGCTTACCACCTCGTCTCTTCCAAGGCTGCTCGCACGCTCGCTCACTGCCCTGTTTCTTCCAAAGGCTGCTTGCTCGCTTGTTCACCACCTCGTCTCTTCCAAGGCTGCTTGCATGCTCGCTCACCACCCCATCCCTTCCAAGGCCGCTCGCACGCTTGCTCACCGCCCCGTCTCTTCCAAGGCTGCTCCCTCGCTCCCTTACCACCCAGTCTCTTCCAAAGGCCGCTTGCTCGCTCACTGCCCTGTCTCTTCCAAGGCTGCTCGCACGCTCGCTCACTGTCCTGTCTCTTCAAAGGCCGCTCTCTCTCCTCACTGCTTCGCTAACAAAAAGCCTCTTCCCACCAAAACCTGCTCCTTTTATAGCTTCTCCTCTCTCCGCCCTCCTCCCCTTTTCTCTTCTGGGTGAACCGGAAGCTCTAATTAGCGTGTAACCGCGTGCCGATCCTGGGGCTTCTGCCGAGCCCTGCAACTCCAGCTGATCTCCTCCAGGACTGTGTGACGCCAATTTAGCTGGTTCCCTCCCTTGCTACACTTGGCTAGGGGTCGCGTACCACCTGCCAGATTCTAAAGTACCACCAGTGCTAAAGTATGCGTACCACCACCGGTTGAAAAGCCCCTGCCCTGTACCATTTCAGACAAATGGCTGTCCAGTGTCTTCTTAAAAACTTCCAGCGTTGGAGCATTCACCGCTTCTGGCGGCAGAATCTTGTCAGTCTGAAAGCACCGATTTCCCGCTGTTCCTGTTTGCAGCCTGATACGTTAATAGAGGTTCCTTCCGTTTCTCTGCCTGTTGTGCAGTTGTGGGCGATGCCCCCTCTTATCTGATTATCCCGTAGGCAGCGTCTCTCGCTCTTCTTCCCTCCGCCTCCCACATCTCCTTCTCACGTATCATTACACGAGTGCAGCTTTTCGAAAAGAGGTGGCACGTGGGTCTGAAGTGAAGCACCCAAGGTTGCCCAGGCATACCACTGCTTTCTGGACCCGCTGCTCCTTGCAAACACTCTTCAAGGGCAGCTCCAGGTAGAACCCCTTGTAGTAGTCTAGCCGGGAAATTAACTGCAGCGGGTGGGCGGAAGGAACTCCAGATGTTATTGGACCAAGTAAAACTTCTTGTTCCTTTTTTGCTCTAGATTTGGGGAACGCCAACGGGGAGCGTGCCGAGAAGGCTGCGAACCGCACTACCGAAAACGGATTGAAGGCACCCGGCAGAGCCCAGCTGGGCCAGAGAAGCTTCCAAAATCCCGATAACCGGGCCGCTTTCTGCCCAAGCCCGGCCTTCTTCAAGCACCAGCGGGTCCACGCGGCGGAGAGCCCGCACCAGTGCCCTGACTGCGGGAAGCACTTTACGCAGCGTTCCAGCCTCACCATCCACCGGCGGATCCACACGGGGGAGAAGCCGTACCCCTGCCCCGAGTGCGGGAAATGCTTCCGTCAGAGTTCCAACCTCTTGAAGCATCAGCGAATCCACTCGGGGGAGAAGCCCCACCAGTGCCCGGAGTGCAGCAAATGTTTCGCCCAGCGCTCCAACCTGCTGATCCACCAGAGGACCCACACGGGGGAGATGCCCTACGTGTGTGCCGAGTGCGGGGCCTGCTTCAGCCAGCACCGGGGCCTGGTCACTCACCAGAGGATCCACATGGACGAGATGCCCTACGGCTACGGCTGCCCGGATTGTGGCAAATGCTTCCAGCAGAACTCGGATCTGACGAAGCACCTGCGGGTCCACACGGGCGAGAAGCCTTACAGCTGCCCTGAGTGCGGGAAGAGCTTCAGCTACAGCTCCAACCTCAGCAAGCACCAGCGGATCCACACGGGCGAGAAGCCGTACCGCTGCAACGTGTGCGGGAAGAGCTTCAGCCACCTATCGACTCGCAACACGCACCAGCGGGTCCACACGGGGGAGAGGCCTTACGGCTGCACCGAGTGTGGGAAAAGGTTCATTTCGAGTTCGAAACTCACCCGGCACATGCGAACGCATGCCATATACACCCCTTACATCTGCAACGAGTGTGGGAGGAGCTTCAGTTCCCACTCGGCCTTGACCACCCATCAAAAGGACCATTCCACGGAGGGCTACAGCGTGGGCGGCTTGTGGGAGGGAGCCGAGCAGGGTCCGAGCGACTTCCTGGGCAGGCTGTCCCCTCTGTGACGGTGGCTGAGCTAGCCTGTCCTTATGAGACTACTAGTCAGGGCGCTAGTCCCTAAGGTATCGGAATTTGGCAGCCTGCCTCGTGCAGGCCGGTTGTGAGAGTAGGCAATGCTGGGCTATAGAATTAGTGTGGTGGTTTTTGGAAGATAGAGTTAGGCTGGAGAAAAAAAATAAAAAAAAAGGATAGTGCAGAGAACGGAGGCTTAGATTGTCGTTAGTTTTAGGAAGGGAGCAAAGCCTTTGCAGAAGAGAGAGCCCTGAAGCTGGTTAGTCATTGCGGGGGCTTCCCCCAGGCCCTGAGCCAGCATATTTACTGTACCCCCCCCTGCTGTAATTTAGCTATCTTACTAGCTCTGTAGATCCCCCATATTCAGGAGCAGGTTATCTGTGAGTGTTGGGTACCTGTAGGTAATAAATGAAAATTCTATAGTCTCTGGAGGAGGAAGGGTGAGTTATGATTTGGATTTAGCACCTAAAGAGCAGTTGTAAAAAATGGGGGGGGGGAATGGATGGAAACTCTTAATTTCGGAGAACTGAAATATATTTTACAGGCTTTAAATTTTTTCCCTTTCCCTCCTTCCTCCTCCCCCCTTTCAGCATCGCTAAAATCCAACTTGTCGGAAAGTTTTTAGTCATTTTGTGGTGTTTGGATTGACACACTAAGCGCTGCGTTTTGAGGGTGGGGCATGGTGATCATTGCAGATTATGTGCTGTGTCCGGTTATCCCCTGGTTTAAAATGCCAGGGCATACGGTTTCGGGTGGCTAGGTTGCATTCTCAATTGGGTGCCCATTGCCTCCCTTTGCTAGAGCAAAGTTTCAACTTTCAAGAGGCATTGGGCTTCAACTGCCAGAGTTTCTTAGCCCAGGGGTAGTCAACCTTGGCTCTTTTATGACTTGTGGACTTCAGCTCCCAGAATTCCTGAGCCAGCCATGCTGAGGGGAAAGGAAGAGTTTCCAAGTTGAGCCATGCTGGCTCAGGAATTCTGGGAGTTGAAGTCCACGAGTCATAAAAGAGCCAAGGTTGCCTACCCCCGCCCTAGTCAGTCATGACTGGGGAATTCTGGGAGTTGAAGTCCACACCTCTTAAAATTGCTAAGCTTGAAAATTATAGGCTAGTGTCCAGGGGTCTTCAAACTTGGCCCTTTTATGACTCGTGGACTTCAACTCCCAGAATTCCTGAGCCAGCATGGCTCAGTTTGGAAACCTCTCCCTTTCCCCTCAGCGTGGCTGGCTCAGGAATTCTGGGAGTTGGAAGTCCACAAGTCCTAAAAGGGCCAAGTTTGAAGACCCCTGTGGTAGACTTTTCGGAATGTAGAAATACTGTATATGCTCATGTGTAAGCCCACGTATGAGTAAACGGGCCCATAATTCTGTGGGAAAAAAAAACATTGCGAAAAAGGATGTTACTCACAGATAAGCCAACCTGCATTTTTTTGTGACGGTTGGGTTAAAACAATTCAAGAGTCTGCTCACCTACAGATGGGCCTATGTAAGATACCTGAGTAATTTTAAATGTATTAACGTATATACTCATGGTTGAAAGTCAATATTAGGAAAGGCCTTTAGAAGGCCAGATCCTGAAGTTGAAACTCAAAATACTTTGGGCACCTAATGAGAAGGAAGGACTCACTGGAGAAGGGCCTAATGCTGGGAAAGATTGAGGGCAATAGAAGAAGGGGACGACAGAGAATGAGGTGGCTGGATGGAGTCACCGAAGCAGTAGGCGTGAGCTTAAATGGACTCCAGAAGATGGTAGAGGACAGGAAGGCCTGGAAGAACATTGTCCATGGGGTCGCGGTGGGTTGGACACGACTTCGCAACTAACAACAACAACATATACTCATGGATAAGCCAAGTCTGATTTTGGGCATGTTTTGGAGCCTAAAATGTTTGGCTTATTATTGGTGTATATACCAGTAGGGGAAAAAAAAAAAAAAGAGAGAAGGGTCTGGAATAGAATATTGTGAGATACAGGTAGTCTTTGACTTATTTGTTTAGTGACAGTTCAAAGTTATAATGGCATTGAAAAAAGTGATTTACAGCTGGTCCTCACTCTTTCGACCATTGCAGGATTCCCTTGGTGGGTCACGTGATCAGAATTTGGACACTTGGTAACCGTATGATGGCTGCAGCATCCCAAGGTCATGTGATAGCTATTTGGGACCCTCCCAGTTGGCTGCGACAAGCAAAGTCAGTGGGAGAAGCCTGGCACGGTTAACCACTGCGTGATTCTCTCAACCACAATGATTGACTTAACAAACTTGGCCAAGAAAGGTTGTAAAATTGGGTGTGATTCACTGCCTTGCTTAGCAACGGAAATTCTGATATCCCAACGGTGGTCATAAGTTAAGGACTAAGCCTATATTCCAGCCAGCCTTCCCCTCTTGCAGCATACTCCATTCTGCTCTTTCCAGCTTTATGCCTTTCATTTTTCCGAAGATAACTTATCATCTATCAGGCATACATGATCAACTAGCTCAATTATCAAGCTAATTTAGGCCTCCCCCTTTCCAATTAGAGGTTTGTGAAATCATGTTTTGTTTTTCTCTAGAGCAGAGCTGGGAAATGATGGCCCCCTTCATGACTTACGGACTTCAACTCCCAGAATTCCTGAGCCAGCATGGCTCAGCATGGCTGGCTGAGGAATTCTGGGAGTTGAAGTCCACAAGTCGTAAAAGCGCCATTGTTCCCCACCCCTGTTCTAGAGCTTTGGGTTTCTCAAGCATGTGTCTCCCTCCCTTTTAGGTGGACGCTGTTTTGAGTGACACCCCCCCCCCCGAAGTGTCCTGGCATCAAATAGCTTTCATTAACTTTTCACAACCTGCCCTCACAAGCATATGCAGACAAAAAGCCCCAAATTTCACAAGATTGCTGGCAAGAAGGTGGTGCTCTGGTAAAGGGGTAGCAAAAAAAAAAAAAAAAAAAAAAAAAAAAAAAAACCAAAAGTTCATCTGATGATGAAGATTCCTGTGTGTTTAAGGCAGGGGTCTTCAAACTTGGCCCCTTTAAGACTGGTGGACTTCAACTGCCAGAATTCCTGAGCCAGCATGGCTCAACATGGCTGGCTGAGGAATTCTGGGAGTTGAAGTCCACCAGTCTTAAAGGGGCCAAGTTTGAAGACCCCTGGTTTAAGGAAAACACATCTAAAGGGCAAAGAGACTTGGCAGATTTGTATAAAATGCATGAATGGAGTAGAGGAAGGGTGAAGGTTTGCTAAGTAGTAAAAGCCGGGGGGGGGGCGGGGGGGAAATTGAATCAGAAGAGATTCAGGACAGATAAAAAAAAAAAAGTACAAGTAATCCTCGACTTAACAACAGTTTGTTTAGTGACTGTTCGAAGTTACAACTACATGGAAAAAAGTGATTTACGACCGTTTGGGGCATCCCCATGATCATGTGACCGAAATCCGGGCGTTTGGCAACCAGTTCATATTTATGACCATTGCAGCATCCCAGGGTCCTGCCCTCCCCTTTTGCCCACGTTCCGACAAGCAAAGTCAGTGGGGAAGCCAGATTCCTTTCACAACCAGGTTGCTAACTTAATCAGCTGAAGTGATTCACCACAGCTGGTCAGGAAAGGTCACAAAATGGGGGCAAGACTCACTGAACATGCGTCTCACTTAACAACAGAAATTTTGGGCTCAGCTTTGGTCGTACGTCGAAGATACTTGTAACGTTTTTGCACCAGGCATCGCTAGCTCGGGGGTTTTACCGGTCCACTGATAAAAGCCGATGGCCACCAACTGAAATTCACAGAGCTGTTGCTGATGGTCTGTTACCTTATCGCAAAGATTGGGAGTGGAAACTTCTGGATTTCAGATGGAACGGAACTGACATCTGGACGCTGTTTTCAGATGCTACTGATGGACTTTTGCCCAAAGGCATCCAGCTGGCTACATCTGGATCAGGGGTCCTCAACCTTGGCAACTTTCAGACTTGTGGACTTCAATTCCCAGAATTCCTCAGCAAAGCTGGCTGAGGAATTCTGGGAGTTGAAGTCCACAAGTCTGAAAGTTGCCAAGGTTGAGGACCCCTGATCTGGATGGATGATGCTGGAAGAGGGGGAACGTTGGCATGACCCAGGGGGCGTCCTCACAGTTCTTACCAAGTGTGGAAGGAAGAAACAAGCAGGCAGAAACCTGGGCTACAGAACTTGCACAGGCGAGGTCCAGGAGCAGCAGATGTGTTTGGAGTGATGTTCTCACCAACCAGAGGTTTTTGCTGAAGATTAGAAGAGAGTGTCACCTCAGAGCGGTGTTTCTCACAGTTGGCAACTTGAAGGTGGGTGGACTTCAACTCCCAGAATTCTGGGCATTGAAGTCCACCCACCTTCAAGTTGCCAACAGTGAGAAACACTGTCTTAGATTAAGAACCCAAGAACTGAAGAATTTTCCTTATGCGTGGCTTTATATGCAACTCCAGAATTAGAATTTAGAATTTAGAATAGAATAGAATAGAATAGAGCTGGAAGGGACCTTCGAGGTCTTCTAGTCCAGCCCTCTGCTTGAGCAGGAGAACCTATACAATTTCAGACAAGTGACACGCTAGTCTCTTCTTAAAAACCTCCAGTGATGGAGCATCCATGATTTCTGGAGGCAAACTGTTCCACTGGTTAATTGCCCTCACCGTTAGATCCTTAATTCCAAGTTGCTTCTCTCTTTGGTCAGTTTCCAACCATTGTTGCTTGTCCTGCCCTCTGGTGCTTTGGAGAAGGTTTTGGGGAGTTTAACACGATTCTGCTACAATTGAGAAGTTCTCAGCTTGGAAGATTCTCCATTGACTTCCTCTTAACAGCAGTGGATAATCTTGGTCAGGCTTGTGCTTAGAAATTGGCGGCCCAAATTAGAACAGAATAACCCTAGTTGGAAGGGGCCTTGGAGGTCTTCTAGTCCAACCTCCTGCTCATGCAGGAGACCTTATACCATTTCAGACAAATGGCTGTCCACTCTCTTCTTAAAAACTCTCCACTGATGGAGCACCCACAACTTTTGGAGGCAAAGCCGTTTTGCTGGCTTAATTGTTCTCACTGTCAGGAAATTTCTCCTCAGTTCTAAGTTGCTTCTCTCCTTGCTTAGGTTCCATCCGTTGCTTCTCATCTCGTCTTCTGGTGGAAAACAGAGTGACTCCCTCTTCTTTGTGGTAGCCCCTCAAATATTGAAACAGTATTTGAATAGCGGAGGCTGTAAGCAGGCCAAGCATTCAAAATAAGGGCGGGCCTGTCAGATGGGGTCGGAGTAGGAATTTTAAAACCATTACACCTCCCCCCCCAATTTTGGAGGGAAACGATAAGGGCTTCATCTTATTTGGTTATATTATTTTACAGGGTTTTTTCCCCCCCCCTCTTCCGTGTGTTTTCTGCTGCAAAATGGAGGGAGTGGATGTCCTCTCAAGAAGTGGATACCATGAGTACTAACACTACTTTTACTAAAAGATTGCAGCAACGGAATTTTGGACGTCTGAAAACATGTCTCCCCTTCCTTGCCGTTGCTTTCCGAGGAATCCGGGAAGGTCCATTCCAAGATGCTTTCTGCTCGCCCGTTCCTTCTCTGGGATGAGATGTCTCTTATCTGACTCTTAGCCTGGCTGTGGCTCTCCTCCCCCTATCTGCCAAGGATACAGGCCGTCCTCAACCTAACAGCAGTTCATTTAGCGACCATTCAAAGTTACCACGGCACTGAAGAAAAAGTGACTTATAACTGTTTTTCACAGTTAACGACCGTTGCAGTATTCCCCAGGGTCATTTAATCAAAATTCAGACGCTTGGCAACTGACTCATATTTGTGACGGTCGCAATGTCCCCGGGTCATGTGATCCGCTTTGGCGACCGTCTGACCAGCATTGTCCTTGGGGAAGCCAGATTCACTTAACAACCGTGTTCCTCACTTGACGACGGCAATATTCACTTATCAACTCTGGAAAGAAAACTGGTAAAACAGGGCAACATTCACTTAACTGCCTCGCTTAGCCCCAGAAATTTTGAGCTGGATTGTGGTCGTAAGTTGAGGACTACCTGTATTTCCTCTGACTATTGCAGGGGTAGGCAACTTTGGCTCTTTTATGACTTGTGGACTTCAATTCCCAGAATTCCTGAGCCAGCATGGCTCAGCTTGGAAACCTCTCTCTTTCCCCTCAGCATGGTTGGCTCAGGAATTCTGGGAGTCATAAAAGAGCCAAGGTTGCCTACCCCTGGACTATTGCATCCTTTCCCAATGTAGCAGCTTCCACAGGTTTTTATCCTGAAGGCAAGATAGTCAAGTAGACTAATAGACAAAATGCAAGGCAGACAAATGTGTGTGTTGTTGTGGACTAGGAATTAATCCCTGTGTCTTCCCATTTTTTAGCCTGCCATGTTAGCCAATGTGTGGGCATAACGTATCCCTTAGATTTAGTTAGTGTAACCTGGGTTCATTTGATGAACTGCAACGGGAAGGTTCACACAACACACTTAAGCCAGGGGTCTTCAAACGTGGCCCTTTTGTGACTTGTGGACTTCAACTCCCGCCTGGCTGAGGAATTCTGGGAGTTGAAGTCCACAAGTCATAAAAGGGCCCGGTTTGAAGACCCCCGCACGAAGCCAAAGTTAGGCCAACTTCTATTAAGGCTTAGCCGTGTGTGAACTCAGCTTCGTTCTCACATATTCACATTGAAGTCCAAATAAAGTTCCAAACCAAAGAAACTTCGTAGTGTC